TCTCACTTTCACTTATAATCTTACAGAAATTTTGGAAATTCAAGAAACAACCAGATATATGCTGCTGATTTTTCTTATTAATAACAAGATTAGATACTGGATATGTGTATTCTCCTACATAATTCACGTTTACCGGTCAATATCTAAAGTACTTCTGCGCTTGTTATTGATTCTCTCTCAGTTCTCTATAATTAATAGCTCTATTACCGAAAAGAAAAGGTATGATTTAAGGCGCAAGTATGTATATAAATAAGCTTGTGTTGGACTTTTTCTTTCTTAAATATTCTATGTTTATGTAAACGTATTTTTTTTCTGATTATATTATTTATAATAATGAAAAACAACATCAGTATTAGCAGGGATTAATGAAATTTTCTAACAAATCAACATCTATTGAAATAAAAATAAAGTTAACTTAAAGGAGATTTAAATAATTGATTCACATAAAAATCTATAATGCCAGTGCGAATCACTCAAATTTTTCATAATTACAAGAACATTATACTAAAGTCTCGATCTGTTTACCATTAACAATTAGGTCACTACTATAACTAGCAGCACCTACTCTATTTGATACTGTACAAGTATATGTTCCAGCATGATTAGCGCGAACAGCTTCAATTTCTAAAATACTTCTACGTTTTGTGGTCGAAATTGAGATGTCTTGAAAATTAGAAGCGGAAAATGGTTCGCTATTAAAGAACCAAGAGAATTCCATTGGCTGGTCTCCAGCGGATACAGCACAAGTTGCTGATACCGAATCTCCTGAATTGGCAGGTCGATTGCCAAAAGTAAATTCCATAATCGCTGGTGCAACTATAGTAATCGTTGATTAATAAATCTAAGAGTTTATTTCATTTTGAAATATAGGATATAAAATTAAATCAATTAGAATGTTGACAAAGTTAACACTCAATTAGGATTGAATCGCTTAAAAATGTCTTTTTATTGATATAAAATACCATTGACGGCTAAAATGGCACTTCGACTAGCTTGACCAGCCAAATATTTTTAACACAAGTGTATTATGCCCCAGCATGATGGACCGTAATAGAATCGATAATGAGAAAAGATATCGTCCGACTGTTGCCCAAAATCATTATGTCCGGATGAGTTTCAAAAGTTATACGTTCAATGTTCAAAGTCCATTGTATATCAATGCTCATCTCCTATCAGTACTGGGTCTATTTATGGTGGAATTGTAATTTTATTTTTGAAATTGTAGAAATATCGCGAAAATTTATTGATTTAGAAGCATCAGTTCACATGAATAATGAATACTATGAAATTGTTGATTATCCAACAGTATGTTAGTCACTGTGATGAGGAACAAAGGTTTTTTGAGTTAGTATCAAGATTGGTATAGTAAAGGTTACGAGTCACTCTTTCAACAAATAAAAAACAACTATACGTCTAATCAGTGGTACCAAGATATATAAGATAAATGTAGTTTTTCTTAAGTACCATTCACAGATATAACAGCGCTGCGACTAGACGATCCGGCTAAATTAATTGCGACGCATGTATATTCACCGGCATGATGTGCATTAACCGAAGCAATAACCAAAAAGGAAATTTTTTGTCCATTGTTCGATATGGTCGTGTCCGGATGAGATACTGGAGTTATCATTTCACCATTTAATAACCACTTTATTTCGATCGGATCGTCTCCTTTTAGTACATTACATATGAAGGATATTTGTTCACCCCAATTGGCAGGCTCTTGCCCAATACTGAATGGCGCGATTTGCGGTGGAACTGTAATTATTGTTTGAAACAAAACGAGACAAACTGAATACTTTATTAATAAATTGTGATAAAAGATGAAATGAAATATGTTAGGAGTCTGTTTCAAAATACAAGTTAATAAAATATTACCTAATAACTAATAAATTATATCCATACGAAAATTGATTATTACATCTTTCAGTAATCTATTTTCATCATTAACAGCAAGTAGGCTGCTGTAACCTGTGAGGCCAGCTTCATTCAATACAGATCAGGTTAATAGCTTCGATTTTTAATAAGCTTCTGTGTTTACTGATAGATATTTATATGGCCTACCTGGTTTGATTTGGTTTGATTTATTCGCCATTTAAATACCATGAGAATTTTTATGACTGGTCACCACGAGAATAGTGCAAACAGTTAATACGATTTCACCGTAATTCGCTGAATGTTCACCGTATACGTATGGTACAGATTGTAGAGAAACTAAAAAATGCAGGAAATGGATGACAATCAAATTTGTATAGAATATACAAGTCTGTGAATAGTTCAATGAAAAGTATAATGAAGAAATCCTAAAAGCCTTAACAACGACGAAGAAATCTTGAATAACAAAGGAGTGGACAAAGCAAGAATAAGTATTGTAATTTTTAAAAGTAATAAAACTATCGATATCATGGATTCATCAGATTTGCAACAAAACGTTAATTTCTTCATAATCTGATATATCCATGTATTTCAAGTGTGCTTGTACAACTTTCAAAGAGAAGGCAGAAGGATTTACCACAACCAGTAAGTCCACTGTAGAAATTGCTGCATGAACTTCGTTAGTAACCAAAAAAGTTTGTGAGTGTCAGCGTAGCTACTCACATATTCAATCTTTAATAAACTTCAACGTTTTCTATTAGATATCGACAAATCTTGCTGGTTGCCTGCTAATAATATCTTTTCTCCACTACGGTACCAAGTAAACTCCAATGGTTGATCACCGCGAGATACAAAACGAACGGTTCATAAGGATTCAATGTAGTTCACCGGGTCCTCGCCGAATGCAAATGGAATGATTTGTGAAGATACTTAACATGCAAACAATGGTAAAAGATGAAAATTAGAAAAAGAAGTTTTTTATGTTAGTTTATTGTAGATCAAGGATTGATATTTCGATGTGTCAAAGAAAACTTTGTCTGAAGTCGACCATTGGAGAAAAAATCTGTGTGTCGTAGGATTTAAGTGGAAAGGTTCTGGGAGCAATAGGATATGATCGAAGAAAGTTATAGGGAAATCCTGCCATTTCAAAGCATACCGTTGACTTTTAATTGGGAAGAGTGACTTGCTGCACCAGCTTTATTTGACGCTGAGCAAGTATAGAATCCTGCGTGTCTAGCTGCAACTGACTCAATACTCAGAATACTATTCTTTTTAGTCGTTGCAAGCACAACAACGTCTTCGTGCTTTTCTTCAACTGGTACATCGTCAACAGACCATGTGATTTCCATTGGCAAATCACCTTTCAAAATGGCGCAAACAACGGAAATCGAGTCGCCAGAGTTGGCAGGTTTATCAGTTATCTCAAAGGGTGCTATTTCCGGAGCAACTGTAAAAGTTTGGTTGCTTCGAGCTTACATAGGAATCAAGAAGTATTTTGTTTCTTTTGGATTATTAAAATAAAATTTATCACATTTATAGTATCATTAACATTTATAAGCGATATCTGTATATCGATAATATCTTACATACACTACAAGATTTAGTACTAGAACATCCGTATTTGCATTCTGGGCTGTATGATGTTAGGATTCTAGAGGTTGATTAAAATATATTACCATACACAATTCTTTAGTTCTCTGTTATCATCTACTATCAATTTTTTATTTTGTTTCGAAGTTAGCTGAAATATATAGCAATTAACGACTGCCAAAAGTAATAAAAATATAGAGACAGAATAGAGTGAAATAAAACTCAAATTTTATATAGAAAGCTAGTATACAATATGTATAAAGCAACAAATTTTGTGGAATATGTTTATATTAATGATCTACCATTGACCGAGAGACTTGCCGTGTGGCTGTCAGATCCTGCAGCATTTGTCGCGATGCAGCTGTATTTTCCAGCATGTCGCGCTGCTACGCTATCGATGCTAAGAAAACTCACTCTTTTATTCAAAACAATATTCACGTCAGATCGATCCATTTCAAGTGACTCGCCATTGAACGTCCATGTAAAATTTATGGGAAAGTCTCCCTTGATGATTGTACACGATATCGAGAGCATTTCTCCAAAATTTAAAGGTACTTCGCCAAACGAAAATTGCAGGATTTGCGGGGGCACTTTAATTGGAAAATTATGAATTTTAAACCACTTTCATAAAGAAAAAATTAGACACTTATTTATTTTTATTTAAATTGAGCTAAATAGAATATAACAATAGATAATTTTGATTGCATATAAAATAGTGGATTGAGGTAGCAAATGTCGGAAAGATCTGATAACACGACATTAATTTTAATCCACGAGGTCAAAAATATTTATGCAATGTGGAAGTTTTCAACAACAACTTCAAGAAAGAAATTACATTTTTATTGAAGTTTTAAATAGAAGAAACTGTCATCTTAGCATGGTTAAATTTTCACGTGGGAAATGAGTTAGTTAGAAAGAAAAAATAATGTGCAAACGAATTACGCAGTTGTTTAAGTACCGTTGACAGCAAGATATAACGAGAACAAAGCAATACCAGCATGATTAGACGCCAGTCAAGTATACTCGCCGACGTGTTTGTCATTGACCGACTCGATGCTAAGTACACTATTCTTCCGATTGGTACTCGCCACAAGTATGTCGTAATCATACAGCTCTTTCACGAGTACTCCATTAAACGCTTATGAGATATAGATGGATAATCACCTTTGGCTACTGAACATCTGACCGAAACAAGTTCACCCCAGTTGGCCGGCTTTTCACCAAATGAGAACGGTAGAATTTGAGGGGCGACTGATAAAAATTTGTGACTCGAATGACTACCAATTTGTTCATTTTTATTATAATACAAGTAATTCGCATAACTTTATAATATTCTCTTTAAATACTACGAAAAAGTGCAACAAACTAACTTTAAACTATAATACTAGAATCATTTATTTCTGCAATACTTTCTCTCACTTATTATACAGATTTTGATATGGCGGTTATTGATCAACGTCTATTTGTCTCCATATTTAGGGATCAAGGGATAAGACAAGGATAATATCAAATCATTCAACAACCTATAGTCGTACCGTTAACAGTTAACACGGTGGAATGACCGATGGAACCGGCAATGTTGGCAGCAGTACATGAATATTCACCGGCATGTCTTGCAGAAACACCTTCCACGCTCAACGTTGTTAGATATTTATTCACACGGATAATAGTGATGCTTGGATCAATAGAAGACTCGATTGGCGAACCTTGAAATGCCCAACTCATCTCCATCGGCAAATCGCCTTTGAGAACTGAACAAGCCGCAGATACAGAGTCGCCTTCGTTTGCTGTCTCAGTGTTGAACGCGATTGGCAACAATTGTGGACCGACTGTACGACACATATGATGCTTTAGATAAATTTTGTCGTATAATTTATTGTTTTCTTAAAATATTTTTATTGTTTTATGCAAGTAACTTAAATTTATTTTTTACGAAGTTTGAAATGTTCAATAAATGAAGTCAAATGAATACTTTGAGATTATTCTGAGAAATTAATGTTCAAACCCTAAACCAATCTGATTAAACTTTATCAAGTCGTACGTAGTAGCTTACTTTCCCAACACAAATACACTGTTATCCATAATTGAACAAACAGCAAAACTTACCAAACAAGGTAAGCTATGTATAATTTGGTAGAGAAGGAAAAAAATGATCAGAGGGCAAGCTCAAGGAAACTATATCGAGTGAAAGCTAGTAGTGAAAGATAAGAAAAGCAATAAAGGACGATTGATATTGATAATCGAGCGAACCGTTGACATCGAGAGTTGCTGTGTAAGAAACCTTGCCGGCGGCATTTTTCGCGGTACACACGTAGTCACCAGCATGAGATGCTTGTACCGAGCCAATCATCAACATACTCACGCGCTCGGCAACTTTAGTCACCGTCGCATCGGCCATGTGAGGATGTGTCCAATGGATTCTCAAAGGCAAATCACCTTCCACGATACACTGAAGATTCACGAAATCACCGGTACTCATTGCTTGCTTCGTGAAGGCGAACGGTTGAATCGTTGGTGGTACTGTCATTGATATCATTGGAAGTTATTTAAGTATTTGATTGACTACGATTTAAACCTTATTTTAATGAAATACAGGTACTAATGAGAATGTAAAATATTAAGTGTTTACCTATGTTTCATAAACTTTAGTGTATTATACCGTCCGATGTTTTATTGAACGTCGATTATTTTGACAATAACGAAGTAATAATTCTAATTTTTTTTTCCGTAAAGCAGCCAATAGTTATTGTCAGGTAATGATAATAAAAGAAATTATCTTATTAGATGAATGCAATAGATGAAAGAACGTCAATCATGAACCGCCATACCAATCTTGATAAAAATTGCATAGAGAAATAGAAAGATAGAAATAGAAAAATAACAGCACCCTTGTTTCGCGAAATAACAGTGTAGACATTTTGTTATTAGTGAACGATATGAGAGAATTAATCAATTATTTTTTCTTCGCACATTAATTGTTGATGTACTATATTATGGCAATATGTCAATGAATCTTAATGTGACGGCTGAATGAGCATGTCTGCTGCATGATGACGAATTTTCAGTCATTCGACGACTATCTGCTCATGTTCATGAAAGAACCATTGATTAAGCAGTCGCGTGTTGAGCTCACTGAATTAAACTGTACTATTTTTGATTTACAACACCTCGGAAATTTTTGCCCATATCTACAATGATATCAATTGCAATAGTTTTGTTTAATGTTTAATTGTTTTACTTCAATGAGCTCGACACTTTGAAGCCTACGATTTGCTAAGACGATGAAGCAGACAGTGTATATTACTTGTTTATATTGCTCCTGATTGTCTATACACAGCGTCAGTAACATCTGTGTTCGACGATAATTAGCTCCACACTTTATATTTTTCCATCTTTATATTTTTTTTCTAGTTTAATTTATCATTTGCTATAGCAAATTTTATCATAAATATAACGTAATAAATAATTGTACCTGAAAAAAATAAGTATTGTACCTATATCTAAATGAGTTTCGGTTTTCGTGAAATTATTATTTATCAACGTACTTTTACCGATAAAAAAAACTAAGTGAAATTTCATAACAGCTTATCTTTTAACTTAGTTTATTCAAAAATATGTAATAGAATTTACTAAATTATTTTACTAAATTTGAGTTTGACTTACACATCTGTAAATTATTTACCAAAAGTAAAAAACAAAGGCTGTTTAAAAATATTTTTTAATTGTAATGTCTCTAAAAGAATAATTCAAAATAAACTTCCGTTATCAAAACAAATATTATCGAGCGCAAATAAATAATTCCTCTGAATATTATAATCGATAAATCACGAAACAATTTTAACGAAAAAATTAAATTAAAAAAATGTCAACTCACCCATGACTTGAACTTCGAGTGTACCCCTAGCGCTGTAACCTTGAGCATTGCGGGCGACGCAGGTGTAAGTTGCTTGATCAGCCATACGTTCAACGTTTTCGATAATAAGGGTGCCATTGGGGAAGACTTTCTGTCGACGATTGATAGGTAGTACTCGAGTATCACGTTCCCAGACAATGCTTTCGATAGGGTGGCCGGCTACCGGACAGGTGACGCGCAGCGTCTCCCCGGCTACAATCGCCTTCTTATCCATATGACGAATAAATGGCAGACCATACACGTTCAGTCGCGCTGAATGCTCAGCTGAGCCAACCTGTTTGAAAACAGAAAGTTTTAATCTGAAGAAAATTTGAAATATCGATAATTGTAATGTAATTTTTGTCAATTAGAGATTTGTATAGTTTGTTACCTAACTAGTGCGGGAAAGTAGATTATTATCTCGTGTGAAGTTTAAGCTCGAATAAAGCCAGATTAGATAGGCATACGAGACGAGAATCTTTTTCCCGAACATGTTAGGTACATTATTTTTCCAAACAACGTGTGGAAAGCGCGAATTTGAGTTCACGTTTTCCACTAACCGTGCGGTAAAGGCATACGTTCCGGATTTTTACGGATATTTAATTAAATAAAATTTCAGAACAACAAATTTTTAATGCTAGAATAAAATTTTCTATTTTCAGAAGATGAATGCGATAAAAATGTTACTGAAATAAATTGTGTTTTTTATATAAATTAATGGATTGAAAATCTATATCAATATGATATCACTGCCTTTCTTATAATAGTAAAGAAAAAATGATAATGATAGTGATTAGGGTCACGCTATTTCATAAACTATATCGATTATTATCGGTCACAAAGATTTATAAAAATTATACTACAAAAATGAATATGATAACAAGAAAAAGTAACTATTTAGAATTTCAAGTATAATGGCACTTGAAAAATAAGACTCCGCCAATCCTCTATGCAAGAGAGTCAACGACGTACTTTTGATGAAGCGATGCATTTGTAGAGGCCGCCATCGTTGGTATGTATGCTGGAGATGTTAAGGTTCGAAACAACATCACCATTGACGGTGACGTATTGGCCAACCTGGAAGCGTTCAGTGTTGGACAACTTCTTGCCGTCGAGTTCCCACGTGATTTCTGGAGTCGGGTTACCGCTGGCAGTACACTTCAGGAAGACGCTTGGGCCTGGCTGCAAAGTTTCCTCGTGAAAAGCCGAGCGGATTTGAGGTGGCTCAACTGTGTAAAAAATATTCAATTAGATTTGATTTTTTATTTTTTAGGTATGAATGAATTATTAAACTTAAAGGTAACACGTAATCAACGCACGTCAATTGATCAATACTATTAAAATTTGCACAAAACAATGTAAACTATACAAAATATATTTTTAATCAGTACTATTCATATTTTGAGACTGGGGCCATATATCAAAATAAATTTTTAGAAAAATAGTAAAACTAAATCATGGTTGCCGAAATAAGTGATATTAACATCTACATAAGAGAAACAGTAATGAAAAATGAAATTCGTATGTCAGTTTTTTCGAGCAGTCAATTATCGATTAATCAATCGCTCCTCGTATCAATCATTTTTCGAAGTAATATATTGTATTTTAAAGTAAAAACGGAAATACTCACATCGACCTCCAAGCTTTAATTCGGCAGTAGCCTGTGCACTTTCCTGATCATTTCTAACGAAACACTGATACATTCCTTTATCATCCTTCTTGACACTCTCGATTCTCAGGACAGTCTCTTCATGACTAAGAGGCTTTCCGTCTTTCAACCATGAGATAGTCTTGATGGGATTTCCTTTGATGTTACAGGTAAAGGTTGCTGGTCTACCAAAGTCGATGGTCTGACTACTTGGCTCGATTTCCGCTGATAATGGAGCTGTCACCGTCAACACGGTTTCCACGCTCTCACCACCAACTGAGTTGTTCACCACGCAAAGGTACTTGCCCGAATCTTCGACTTGAGCTTCTAGAATAATCAGAGTACCGCTTACTTGACGAACACGCTCGTTCAGTTGCACTGGCTGACGCCGGGATGTACCCTCGATGAATTTATACCATCTGTGAATGATTCAGAAAAATATTAATTTCCGTAATTATCGGAACAGTTGGTGTTGATTTTTAAGTATCGACCAAATTTTTTATCTCAAAACTCATTATTATTCCTTTTTATCTTATCTTAACTTGTTATTATTGTCTAAAAATATTTTTGTGGTATCTAAGAAAAAATTGTAAATTTAATCATTCAATTTGATATTACGACAGTCTATCGTTAATTGTATACTAAATCCATCATTTCAATTGAAATTAAGAATTGCTGTCTGGTCGATACTTTTAAATAATACTTTGCCTCGATTTTTTTACGTAATGTTACACTAGTGTTCAATTCTCTAGAAAAGTTTTATTTGTAACACTAATTACTACTAGCAATTATAATTCTTGAAAATGAGAAAAAGAAAGACATCAAACATTTTTAACTTCTTAAGTATTTGATTTGACATATTTATAGGACGTTCTTTGTCAACCGGAACAAAGTTCTCTCCAAAATTCACATGGATGGATTTTGGCGATCAAAAGCTCAAATTATTTATTAACCTCCAATTAAAAAAAAATATGTCAGATAGATACCAAATTTAGTCTACGGAAGTTTTTGAGGTCGCTCCGAGGTTAGATTTTTTAATTCAAAATAACAGATCCAATATGGCATCAACATACCCTCAAACTCAACTAAATAAAAAAAAATTAAGCAAAATCTTCTTGTTGACATGGATATATAACGGTTTTTGAGGTCACTATATCAGAATCGGAATATAGATTTTCAAAATTCACAATGGCGAATTCAATATGGTATTAATGCCCTAAAACTCAGTTAAGTTTATAAAAATCGAATTTAATTGTCTTGTATCTTCATGCCCGGGACGAACTCCTTGATTAATTTTGAAAATTGGACTTGTAATTCTTGTTCAGAGATGTTAAAAATTACTATAAATATATATCATCAATTCTGTTAATTACTCGGTTAACTTTAGTTTTCAAGGTGTCGCAGGCATATTGGATTCACTATCGTGAATTTTGAAAATTTTACCTCGGATTCTTATTCAATGACCTCAAAAACCGTTATATATCCATATCAACAAGAAGAGATTTTGATTAATTTTTTTGTATTTAGTTGAATTTGAGGGTGTGTTGATGCCATATTGGATCTGTTATTTTGAATGAAAAAATCTAACCTCGGAGTGACCTCGAAAACTTCCGTAGACTGAATTTGGTATCTATCTAACACATTTTTTTTTTTAATTTTGACGATTTTTTTCTTTTAGCAGCCATTTTGGATTTCACCATTCTACCTTGTTAACCCTATAAGGACGCCAACTACCAACAATTTGAGGCTTTAATCAATGGAATAGGACGTTAAAAAATTTTTTACAAGCTTTTATAATTGTTTCCATTTTTCCGTGTTTTGTGACCGTCATATTGAGTCATCATATTAATATTTTCGAAAAGGCCATGTGGGTTCATGAAACGAGGTTGATAAGGAATAATTTGAGTCTTTGATCGCCAAAATCTATTCATATAAATTTTGGAGAGAACTCTGTTCCGGTTGACAAAGAACTTTCTATATATATGCATATTTTGTTATATGATTTAAAAATAGTTTATATAATCAAATGAGTATAAATCAAGAAAGAATTTTTTTCTATATTCTTCAAAAATATAAGTAATTAGCAAATAGCGAATTGTTTGTTACTCAGTTTGTATTGTAACTTAGTTGATGTACAAGAAGAAAACTAAATACTTTTGATAAAAAAAATCGAAGCATAGTTCTCATAACAAATATCACAGAGGAAGAATATTTTAAATAATTGATTAAATCTTTAATAAAATACCAATAACAAATACAAAATTAGTTCTAAAACAAATATTTTTGATAGTTAAAATTTTTTTTAATGTTTTGATTTAATATTCTTCCTGCATATTTCATGATATCTTGTAGTATAAACATGATAAACATGAGTAAACAAACTCAAAACCAGTTTCACCTTAGTCTGTGATAACACCTCACAGAAGACAGATGGTAATTAAGACGAGTAACACTTAACTTCCTAAATATTAACGAATGACGTACATGAGGATCGACAACAGATGAATATATAGAAATGAATAAAGATTCGTTCAAAATTTTCAAATAATTCATGTGAAGATTAGTACTGTCGATTATTATATATCTTTATAAATAGTGTAATTACACTTAAAAAGTTACACCCAAATAGATATTATCATACAATTATCAAGGCACCATTTTCTCGGAATGTCGATCATTAATCGTTTAATCGACAAAATAATTCCAACAGGAAGTACTAATTATGGAACATCATAGCACAACCTTAAGATCAACAACCAAATTAATAAATCTTAGAGGTAAGAAAGAAAGATTTCTATATAAAAATGAAGTGCAACGTTAACAGTCAGTCCCACTGCAAACAAACTACCTCTGAATGGGCGCGGGTGAGCCCTGAACCGCGCAAATCAGACCAACCACTTGGCCTGTAACCACGTTGACCAACCGTCCTCCCTCGTAACGTTCACCGGCTAATCTTGGTGCTACGTTGCTATTTGGTTCTATTGACAATGCATTTCAATTGTTATCACAAATTTGACGACGGAATACTTTGCGTGGAACAGAGTAGTCCTACGATTTTGCGTAACTCTGTTGATCATCGCATATCATTGATATCCTTGTCTTTCACATTTGGTGGCATATCCGTTCGGGGCTCAAAGATTTTTGTTTCTATTTATTTGAAATCGCAAGAACAATTAGGCTTTCTCGTGTACTCATTTCTATTTTTTCTGGGACTGAGTATTCGCGGTGTATAAGGTCAAATGTATTTTCCTCACCTATAGAGTGGGGGTGGACTTGACTGCGCGTCACACAATAGAGTGATCATTTTTCCAAGTGATTTGGTTACTTCGCCTAGTTTCGATCTTGGAGGTAGACGAGGAGGACTACCACCGATCGGTTCTAAGAATCAAATTCAGATTTAATGGTTCGTTTTGATTCGTTAAATAAAAAACCTGATGCTGAGATAAGGGACTTTATCTAAAAAATAATCCGTGCATTTTTCTCACTCACCTGTAGACAGGAGGAGGACTAGATTGCGCTTCGCATCTTAAAGTAACCTGTTGCCCTACTGGCTTAGTTACTATGTCTAATTTGGTGTTGGGTAACCGAGGAGGACTTCCTCCAATAGGTTCTACGGATTGGAAAAATTTATTTAAATGAAGCTATAATTTTTAATTTTCTCAAATGAATGCTGGAACTAGACAACCCCTGATGAAACATTTATAGTGAATCTACACTCACTTGAAAAACGGAGGAGGATTGGACTGTGCTTCACACAGCAACGTAACCTTTTTTCCCATCGACTTCATCACCTCAGATTGTTTTAGTTTAGGTAGACGCGGAGGACTACCTCCAATCGGCTCTAAAAAATTTCGGCGATAAATGTTGCGATCAACAGGAAATATAAGCAGCTACTATGACAAACATATATGTGAATGCTGAGACCGGTATTCAATAAGCAACACGCTATTTCTCACCTGAATAATGGAGGTGGACTAGACTGTGTTTCACACATTAGTGTTATCATTGATCCGATAGATTTAGTCACTATATCAGATTTAGATCTGGGTGGTAAACGAGGAGGACTACCACCAACAGGTTCTATATATAATTTTTATAATAAAATTCGTTATTCGATCGCGCGATAAGGTTTTCAGAATGCTGGGAACGAGTATTTTTGCATATATTTCTTAATAAGTGCAAACCTATATAAAGGAGCTGGATTAGATTGAGCTTCGCACATTAGTGTAACTAGCTCGTCAATAACCTTCGATGTGCCGTCAAATTTTGATCTTGGCGGTAGACGAGGAGGACTACTGCCGAGTGGCTCTAAAAATCACATTGTACTGTGAAAAAGAGTCTTATTGCTACTAGCATACCTGAAAATTGGGATCGGGTTAGCCTGAGCTTGGCACAGTAATGATATCGTCGACCTTGATGCTACCGATAAAACTGTTATTTTAGCAGTAGGAGGAATTTTTGGAGCTGCGCCACTTACTGGTTCTGAATTTTGGCAAGAATGTATTGTTTGTACTATTTTTTCAATTATAAGCTACCTGAAATTTGGAACCGGATGTCCTTGAGCTTGACAAAGCATTGTTACTTGCGATGAAGCTGAACTTGTAAGAACAGCATATTTTTGTGTCGATGCCACTCGTGGTTTTGCACCATTTACCGGTTCTAATTAAAAATTTGTTTTCTATATTACACCCAATTCATCGAATGTTTGACTGATGATGAAACAGGGTAACAAATTTTGAAAAATTGACAGTATCAATCGGCTTTCTCGGTACTAATTTTGATTCTTTATTAAAGGCTTCAATTTTCAAAACTCCTATTACCTGAACATGGGAACTGGAAAACCTTGAGCAGGACATTGCAATACAACTGGATCTTTAGTTAAACGCAAGAAAGATGAACTACGATCATCGGACGCAAAGTTTGGTGCCTTCACTCCTATCGGTTCTAAAAAATTTATTTTTGTAAATAACTGATGATTTATTTTTATAAATAATGGATGTTGAAGCAGGGTAATGAATTTGTAAAAGGTTTGAGTGAAAATTGGCTTTCTCGATAGTAATTTTGATTGGAAGTTCCTTTTCAATTGTGGAACATCTATTACCTGAACATAGGAATAGGAAACCCCTGTGCAGGACATTGTAAAACAACTGGGTCTTCAGTTGAACGCATGAAAGAACGACTATGATCATCGGACGGAAAATTTGGTGCCTTCACGCCGATGGGTTCTACAAAATTTAATTTATTAAATAATCGATGCTTATAAACTACCTGAAAGCTGGAACTGGATGTCCCTGTGCTTGGCATGGTATCTCAAACGTTTGTAAGTTTTTCACGCGTAACCAGCGTTTAGTATCTCCCAAAACTGACGGAGATTTACTGCCGACAGGTTCTTAATGAAAAAGAAATAAATGAAAGAAAAGCTAAGCAAGGTAAAATAGAGGAGAACCTTTCATAAAATACAACTAGAAATTCTCGTTGATTTTATCAGAATAATTAGTTGTTTAATCGGGTGAATATACGCTAGTAACCCCATATTTTTTGCGTTTTACGCAATCTTTGTTACAAGTTACACAAAAGTTACCTGAATGTGGGAACAGGGTGACCCTGTCCAGGGCACAGAACAACAACATTATCGTTTGTTCGTCTTTCCATCAAGCTACCTTTCTCGCCAAATAAAGATGGGGCTCGACTTTGAACCGGTTCTAATCGAAAACACCAATAAATTACTGTAATCTTTCCGAAAATATTATGCGAAAGATAATCAAGAATTTAATTAACAATTCCAATTAATGTATTACAATTGTTAATTATATGTGTGAAGATACCTATGATCCTTCTTTTGTTACCTGAATGTGGGAACGGGATGAGCCTGACCTGGGCAGAGAACTACTATATTATCATTCTTTTGCCTTTTCATTAGACTTCCTGCCTCGCCAAACAAAGATGGGCCTCGACTTTGCACTGGCTCTGTCAAAGCATTCATAATAGTTTAATTTAGGAAACGTAACTATTACCTAAATATAGGAACAGGATGACCCTGGGCTGAGCACAGAAGGGCAATATTTGTATCTGATTTTTTAGCCATCCAACCACCTCTCAACTCGCCCATCAACGCTGGAGCTTTACTCCCTACAGGCTCTAAATTGCAACGAAGAATAAATAAAAATGCTTGAACATTTCTGCTGATTGTTTTACCTGAACGATGGAACAGGGAAACCCAGTGCAGAAAAAAAGCGTAATGTCACATTTGGATTGTTTGTCATACTAATCTAATTTGACATCATTTCAGAATTCAGAACTTTAGTCGTCACGGATTCTAAATATCAATCAATGTACATTTATTTAAAGATCATAATTTTACGAAATACTTGTAGCTAGGGACAGGAAATCCTTGCGCTGGACAAAAAAGGGTTATATCGTAACCAGTGGTTTTAACATACCATGCCATAACAGCGTCATTCGAAAATTTTGGCGGTTTTATTGAAACAGGTTCTAGTTACAAATAAGCAAGGAATATAAATTATCGAATCATCTGTAACAGATAACGTGTACCTATATGAAGGAACAGGAAATCCTTGGGCTGGGCAGAATAATGTGATGTCATGGCCGGAATTTTTGTCATACCATGATTTTTTAGCTTCATTTGAAAATTTAGGGGCTTTTGTAGCAACAGGTTCTGCATTAAAATATTTAACAAAAATCAAATGATCATGTAATCGCGATATTGATTGCAGTACCGGGACAGGGTATATCTTGACATTGGAATATTAATCCTAAGAAAATAAATAAATTTCAATAAATTCAAGGTGAAAAATCACCTAGCTATAGGTGCAGGATGACCTTGGAGAGGACACATTAGGTTTGCATTTATACCTTGCGATGTGTCCACAAATTCAACTTTTCTATTTGTAGCTAGTTTTGGTTTTGTGTTTGAAGACGGCTCTGCATAATAATCGAAAATGAAAAAAAAAAACATATAAATTATCTTGAAAAAGACCAACCGAGTAATAGGAGCAGGGGAACCCTGTGCTGGACACAGTAAAGATACTTCGCTAGTACTATGAGTCGGCATTACAACTTTGATATCAGTACTCGATAATTTTGGTTTCACACTGGATATTGGTTCTATTTAAACAATGAAATAAAATTTTTCGATATAAAAATAAAGTATATTACAAACTAATGAACCCTGTTGCAAGGTAGACCTGAGAACACTTTCGCTTATAAAATACTTCATGTACTTAAGTACCTGAATCCAGGTACCGGAAAACCTTGTACAGGACAAAGTAACGTCGAAGCCCGGCTCAACAAAACAGAAGGGTTAGTCGATTTTACGTCCATCGCTGTCATTTTAGGTCTCGTGCTTGACACTGGTTCTAATACAATGTAAATAATCCCTTTAGTAAGTTTACAATATTAGAGATTGGAAACCTGATGTGGGACAAAATACTTCGCCTTAGAGCAACTAGATTGTAGGTAAAAGTAAAGAAAGAGTAAGAAAAATGTGTACCTATAGAGTGGAACAGGAAATCCTTGAGCAGGACATTGAAGAGTAACATGTTTATTGACAGCAGAGCTAAATCGAAAAAAATCTGTGCTAGCGGACAATTGTGGTCGGGTGCTTGATGCAGGCTCTGAGAAATTAACGAATCAAGTTTATCACTAATTGAAAGTCTATCTGAATTACAAGTAAGGGTAGATTCCTTTGGGCATGACTCGTATAAGACCACGTATGCATACATTGTTATGAAAAATCTAATGAAGATCTAACCTATATAGTGGAACCGGAAATCCTTGTGCAGGACAATGCAACGTTACGGATTTGTCAATAGCGGTGCTGAAACGCTGAAGATCACTCCCACTGGCTAACTGTGGTCGTGTACTTGCAGCTGGTTCTGTATAATTTATAAAATAATTGCAACTTAGTTGTTAATCACTTCAAGCTAGTTTACCTGTAAAGTGGAACAGGAAACCCTTGGGCAGGGCACAAAAGAGTCTTTGTACCATTAAGTATAGCTTGAAACGTTTGTGAATTTGCCATTGATGGAAATTTAGGTCTTGCGCTTCCGACAGGTTCTGTTATTAGGTGCGATAATTAATGAAGATATCATAGAAGCTCAAATTGAATTCAATAAATTCACGACTCCAAAAAGACAATAAAAGTTTTACACATTTGTAATACCCATAAGTCATGTCAGGTCGTAAAGTATTAAAAAAAGACTATTTTTTAATAAACTGATTATAGTCTGATACCTGAAGACTGGAACAGGAAATGCCTGTGCTGGGCAGAAGAGCGTCAACGGCTCCCTGTACCGATTAGTGTAAGTGCGCGAGTTCTCGGTTGTCGAAAATTTCGGTCTGACGCCAGCAACAGGCTCTACGAAAACAGATAAACATAAAATAGCAATCTCACATTCAGAAATATGAGTGCGTGTTTTATTGTTGTGGAGCAGTCAGTTTCGTACTGTAAGCCAGTTAATGAAAAAAAAAAGATAATCTAGGCATCCCTCGAGCAAAAGCGTGTGCGCATGATTTATCGCTGCTGGTGAAAACTAGTCACTCTGTGAGTAATAAGCCTACCTATAAGATGGAACTGAGAAGCCTTGGGCTGGGCACAGAAGTGGTAAACTTCGGTTTAAATGCGTCACCAGCCCATTTATGTTGTCCATACTTGGAAATTTCGGTCGAACGCTTCCTACTGGTTCTGTATTTTATAGGAAAATCTTGTGCGTTAACTGATTTGTCATTTTGGTAATTTTTCGATTCAAAAAATGTTGGAAGGGTCCAAATAAACTTAAAAAAAATTTAGAGCAGTTTAGCTAGCGTATGAATGCGATACCTCTTTTATTCTCACAAAATTTTTCCCAAATCAGATGATTTCTAATACGTAGTACTTAACGTTTCTAAAAATGTTTTCATACCTACTAAAGGGAACTGGAAATCCCTGAGCTGGGCATAGAAGCCGTAAGTTTTTACCCGATGAAGTTGACAGTCCAATGAGATTTTCCAAATTTGGAAACTTCGGTCTTACACTTCCAACAGGTTCTAAAGATTTTTACCAGAAAGTATGCGCTATGAATAAAAATTTTATGAAAGTAATCAAGTTCACGTGTATTTTGTTTACAACATTTTAATCTCCGAGTAGAAAATTAGTTAAAGAACAATAGTCAGCTAAAAGTCGAGGTATCGCATCAGTTCTTTTTGAACACATTAAATGAATGTAGTATCAAAATTAGTAAACGAGAAAGCCATAAATTAAACCTTGTAGAAATTTAATAAAATGTAGTTACATACGTGAAAAATAATTAAAATAAGAACTTTTTATGAATACGACAGGAAATAAAAGTAGCTCGTTAGCGGCGTAAATACACAGTACGTGCCCGCAGGGGTACCCTGTCCCAGCATTCAGGTTTTCCGCTAACAAACTTGGTTACACTCGATTATTTAACATGACTAACTTAATTTTAAATATGTGACAAAAGCAAAAGTAAAACAAGACGAGTTTTATTTATTATTATGTTTTTTGAGTAACAGCAGTATTTAATTTTGTATCACACATCAAGATTTTGAAACATTTTAAGATTTTTATGAACCAAGTTTATGAGCGAATAAAATATTACCATAAAAATGTATACATTACATGAATTAAAAAAGAAAAGGAACTTTTTACAATTCGCTAAGAATACTGGTGGAAAAGAATAGATAATAATTTAAAATGAAACGTAGTCCATTTTATATTGTATTTTAGATATATATTTCTTTACCGAAATAAAAGTTGAAACCTCATAAAAATACTTTCGATACTCTTAATTAAATATATTTAATCGCATTCGGAAATTCTTTTTTATTGAAGATTTTTAATATCATATAATTTTATAGTTCCCTTTCTTTCTCATTGAATAAAATTGGATGATATGAAATCATTAAAAAATTAACTGAATTTTTTTGAAACTCCTTGATGCTGTAATGTATTTACTAATGTAAATGCGATTAAGAATCAACAAACAAATTATGGTTATTTATTGTTGAATGCTAGATAGATATTATTTAACTCGATCAAAATTGCATCGCATTTGAAATATATTTTTGAAAGTTACATTCATCCAATTTTATTAAAATAATTTATTAGTAAATCGTACATAAACACTTTTGAAAATAGCATGTTATTAGTACATTATTGAATGTATAATATTTAATGAACATCAAAAAAGTTATCCGAGGCGTGAAGATAAAAATTTAGGGTTTAATTTAAAAGCATACAATTATTTGATGTAAATGAAAAAATTGTGTGTTAACTCACAATTAAATTATTGAAATTATACAGATACATCTTTTTACACTTTGAACTTTAATTAGTAATAAGGTTTTAGCAATGATAAATTTATACTAAAAATAAGCAATTTCCGTTTAAAGATTAATGAGAAAACCACTGTACGTTTTAAAATATTGATTTTTTAAAAATTATTTTTTAATTTAATGAAATCTAATTTCAAGTTCAATAATTGTTTATTTAAGAAAATCAACTTTGAAGAAGAGACATATGAATAAATATAACAATTTTTAATAAATTGTTGAATTTAAATTTGCATTCTACATTTAGTTGCAATTTTTCAGTGTTTATGTACGATGACATTTTCTTTTCTGGTCTATGAGAATTGTCAAATAATCAATATCGAAAAATATTTTTTTAATTGAAATTTGGGATAAATAAATATTATCAATGCCAGAAAAGAAAAATTGAAAAAAGTAAGAATTAGTTATTAACTTGCAAGGTTAACTTACCGGTGATCACCAATCGTCCCTTAGTCGCCGATAATCTTGTCTCGCCAGTTAATCTGTGCTTTGTTCGGCACTGATAAGTTTTGTAACCGTCTTCGGGACCAACATCTTTAATGTGAAGTTCTCCAGATGGAAGTACGAGGTATTTCCCGTCTATTTTTCATTATAAAAAAAAACAGAAAAAATATCTTAGCTAATAATTACTTTTTGTGTATAAAACTTAAAAAAAAAGGCGTTACATGTATTTCTTTGTGAAATAGAGGTTCAAATTTTCAAAAGTAAACATTTTTTTCAAATTGAATCTTTACTTTTTCCAACGCCTAACAGTTTTCTTTCATTTTTTGAAGTGTTGAGCATTCACATTGAGAAATGCAGTCTTTTCGTCGTCAAAAGCCGAAGAATATACAAAGAAATTCCTTTGGGTCTATGAACTGGTTTGTTACGCATTGTGCATACAAATGAGTTAACTCTTTTATAGATAGATCTCTTTTATTTCGAGATGATAAGATTATATGGTATTTAAATGCTTGTTTCTTAGCTAAAACAGACTTTGGAAAATTGAACCTCTTCAAAACTACTATTTAATTAAATAATTAAAGTAAGAACAATCTTTATCATACTACTCTTAGCAGCAAAAGTTTTGACCGAAATAAGCTAAAAAGTGACCAAGATCTTATAGCTAATAACTTGTGAGGTAATATTCATAAAATTATTATTGCAGTAAATAAAAAAATAATATAATTATCATCATAAATAATACTTCAATTTTATCAAATATCTACTTAAATTTCTTAGTATTATTTAATATTTTCATAGATTATTAACAGCTAAAAATTTAAACATTTCATCAGATGGTTCTTACTTTTGGGCAATTCAAAAAAGGATAACATGCAATGACAATAACATTGACGCATGCAAACTAGTCAGATGTATCTATCAATAAAAAAAGCAGATTCTACTGGAATAAGGGAAGGAACGAGTGGGTAATAGGAGGTATAAATATAGACAACATGTATAAGAAGCGCAGGAAAGGAAATGAGAGTGAAGTAGTCTGGGACAGCGCGAGCAGCTGCAGTTAACGTCTTATGACTTGAGGCACAAACCAATGATTCAACGTTTCAATTGTCATTTCTGAGTGAATCTCAATTTTGAAAGAGCCGCGACGCAAAGGTGCGGTATGAATAATTCTGTCCTACACTCAATTCCAGATCGCACAAAATCTAGAAAATAATTTGAGAATAGAGAAACCGTGGCAAGCTATATACAGGTATACGATCGAAACGAGCGACAACGAAAGAAAATTGAAGCTGCATAGAAAATAGGGCATTGTTTTTTGTTTGACATGAATTTGTACCGTAATCTCGTCCAGGATAAATCTCGGTGGCATCATCTTCAAGCCACGAGTCGACGAGAACAAATTCGGCGACAAAGCTCGGTATGTGACACTTGATTATTGCGGCGTTACCCCTTAACACGTGCTCGTCCATGACGTTCACTGCGTAACGCTGCCCGACAACTGTGAACCAGACATTTTGTTCTTTGTCAGCATGCCGCAAAAATCAATCGTGTACCGTATGACTGGTTGTCGAAGGTAAAACTCTCATCGCTGGAGCTTATCCATTCGGCGACGACAACGTAGTCGCCCACGAACGATGGTACTTGACATTTGAATATCGCTGCGTTGCCACGGATCGCGAACACGTCGTACACCTGCACTTCGAAGTACTGTGATACCGCTGTAAAAAGAATTTTGAGCCTATGTAATCCCTCCCTCGTCGCGTCGGTTTCACGTCACGCGACCGAATCAGTGGCATTCAGCAATTGTCTATGAAACGCTTGCTCTGTCCTCGACGATGCGTATGTTTTCCCACGAGCAGAAACCAAACTGACCTATGATCGTGAACAATAGCCGAATTATCGAGCATCGTATAATCGATCGTTCCTGCGCTCCTGCGTGTGTACGCGAAGAAGGAAAGAACAGTGGCATCTGAAGTGGGCTGCATTGGAGCAGAAAATAATTTTCCAATAATACGACTCAAGTGCCGTCAGTCGGTAATTTCTCAAGATCAGCCTATTTCAGCATTCTACTACTTATTGGTCCCGAACTATTTGGAGAAGAAAATAGAAGAATGCGCGTAGAGCGTGTTCCTGTTCGCGTTAACGTATCGCGCCGTGAATGGGCTTTCCGCAGATACGCAGGTAAGCAAGCAAAACATAGAAATTAGGTGAGAAGGGACAAAACAACGAGAGAGTATGCTGGTGAAGCTGCTGGCGTGCGCTAAATTGTAGATCATCTGACTAGTAGAGGCTAAACGATAGGCGCGTAAAAGTGCGATCTACCGTAATCCCTGTCGGGCGTGTAAATGGTGCCATCGCTATCCAGCCACTGATCAACGTAGATGAACTCGCTGACGAAGCTTGGTATTTTGCACTTCATGATCGCGTTGTTCGCCTTGATCACGTACTCGTTCTCGGCCTCCGTGACGTAAGACTGCGACACAACTGCCCGCGCCAACACAGAGCATGCACTTAAACACCACTCTCACTCTCGTGTTTTCTCTCTCCGCGACTCGCGCATTCGCACGCAGCGCAAAAGGAACCACAAACATAGCCGTCGATCGTAGCAATATACCCGAGTCGCTGCTCCTAGTATAAATCTCGCCATCCTGGCTGATCCAAGCTTCAACGCTGACGAACTCGGCCACGTAGCTCGGTATGCTGCATTTCAAAATTGCCGCGTTGCCTCGTATCACGTACTCGGTCATTATCTCCGGGTTGTAAGCCTGCGTCACGACTGACAATTCGCAACAAAATAAGACGTTTTCCTTTTGAACTGCACTGTTTTCGCGCCTTGCGGGTATGTGGGAGATTTTCTAACCATGGGACAGTCAATATTTTTATGCGAAGCAATATCAATACACAAGCGCTTCTTTTTCTTAATGCATGGCTACCGTAGTCGTGGGACATTTTGTAGCTGGACCCGTCGCTGCCTTCCCACGCGTCCACCGAGACGAACTCGGCCACGAAGCTTGGTATTGTGCACTTGAGTATGGCGGCGTTGCCGCGGATCACATACTCCGACACTACTTCCGCCTCGTAGTACTGCGTCACCACTGTTTTTTTTGCCGCAATTTATTCTCATTTCTCCCTACTTTTTCTCTCATTTTCATTGATTAGTTTCATTCATAAGACGATATAACGCAGTCTGTCCTTCTGCTTTCGTGTATGGTTGTGTAAGGTATGAAAATGTTGAGAAACAATTACCGCGCAAGTGACCCGCATGGAAACTCAAATTGAAACTGTGTGCTCACGCAGCCGGACACGGCATACTATGAATTAAGAGCGTCATTAAATTTATCTCTCTCTCTCTCTCTCTCTCTCTCCCGGTTAAAGAATGAATAGATGAAATCACGGCCAATTTTACGTGTGCTTCTCTGTTTCTTTGTTCGGGCATGAACACACATTTTTTCACATTTTTAGGTCTATGTTAAACTCAATTACTTTAATGGTGTTAATTTAACGTAATTTTTTATGAAGAACATTTTCAAATACCAAAAATAAAAAAAAACGGCTTATACTTTTGATTTCGATTTGAAATGCAGAATTTCCAGAACAAATGTGTGGAATATTTTAATAAATATGAAATTTCGAATAAATATCGTAGCAATTGCCCATCAACATTTTCACTTCGAGGGAAAAGCTGCAGCTTCGACACAACGATGGCAAAGAAAAAGCATTCCGATAATCTGCAGAACGTTAACTACCAGACTCGCCGCCCATATTGAAAGCAATTCCCTGATCGTCTTGCCAGCCGACGACCTGTACGAACTCGGCGACAAAGCTCGGTATGCTACACTTGAGTATTGCCGCGTTTCCACGTATGACGTACTCGTTATTAACCTCCGATTGATAGTACTGATGCACGACTGTAGAGAATACATAATTTTCATGAAATGCGTGTAATCTCCGCTTTGCGTGATCTATAAAAGCCTTGTGTTGCTGCTTCTGTCGGCTGTCGGTCAATTGACTCTTAATAGGGAGTTTTAAACTCTCCACGACACGACCTTGTGCTGGTATCCACGCAGAGAACAAGAGCTTTTCAGGCTTTTCAATTTTAACTTCAGTAATTATAATACAAAAGATTCAAGCTTGGCGATCGCGTGCCCTACTCGCACTGTTTTTCGCGCAATTTTAATTATTAGCTAAACGAATATAATTCTAAAGCAATATTGAATGAAGTTATTGGATTGCGTGCTATACCATCAATTTCACTCAATCGTTCGCCTAATGAATCACAATGACTTTCTACGATCTGATAAAATCAATGGAAGTAGGAAAACCTTTGCGCGCGTGCAATTAAAGCCGTTTCCTATACATCATGCTCTCGCATTCTGTCCCAGCCTGCTTTTGATTTTATTTCACTAGTACCATAATTGGCGCTGCCATCGGTGTTCCGCACAAATTCCTCGCCCTGATCGGTATGCCAAGATAAAACGGTGACAAAATCGGCGACAAACGATGGCACAACGCATTTTAAGACAGCACTGTTCCCTCGGATCGCGTACTCTTTATTTACGTCTGTGTCGTAGTATTGTGCGACCACTAAATCAATTTTATACATGCGATATTATGTTGGACTTATTATTGCTGAGTCATTTTCATATGAAGTTTCACGAGATCGAATGCTTAACTGACTTATTTATTTATATTACCTAAAACCTATTGCTGCAGGAAATTAATTATTAATCAATTTGGAGTCTAGGATTTAATCCTCGGATAGATCTGTTTTATCTATTATGTTTTTTCAACATTTGACATATTGATACTGGCATATTCCATAAGTCGTTCGTATTTTCAATTTTTAGTTGCATTTAAAAAATTCAATGTCAATTGCAGAAGATATTCCAGCAATGCGTGATTTCAAAGATAAAAATTCAGAGAATGTTTCGCCTACGAGACTTTTTCTGTACACTGATTCATGGATTGGACTGAATTTTCGAAATTAGGAAGGATATGTTATCGGCGTCGATGTGTTAAGTAGTCTTTCTATTGACTTCAAGTTTCATATAACAGAAGCTTCTTGATCAATGTGTAATACTTGAGTACCAATGAGTATTTCTATTGAATGAGTAAAATTTAAATGTAACAAGCAATATTTCTTTTTTACTTCTAATGAAACATAGATATGCTTGAAAATACATATAAATACTATAAACATTTGTAATAGGGTTGAATCCGTTTCGTTGAAAAAATAAACCTTTCAAAGTATCAAGTTTAGCGAATCATTCTCTTTATAGCAGTATACGACATAACCCAAAATATAGAGGATTAAGACCTTGACTCTTTTTAAGATTCTGTTTCTTTATCAACGGTTTTCAATTTTTTCAGCATTTGTTTATAATGAAATGTACAGCGAATCTTACCGGCTCTTACGTTGACATCGCGGCTGTGAATGGATCCCACGGCATTTTTAGCAAGACAAATGTAAACTTGTGCGTGAACTTCTTGGCGATAATCTTCAGCCCGGAACGGTGGAAATACAAGATTACCATTCGGCAATACCTGTGAAAAAATATGCCAATAAGGTAGGTGCTTTCTTTGCTGTAATTGGAACGTGTTCAATAATGAGCAGTCGGATTTTAAGTTCTCGGCAAATAATTAAACATTCGGTCAAAATCGAAGTTAACAATTGATTTGAAAAACTTGTAACATCGATTTTCAACAGTAGTCAAAGGTTCAATAACTTAAATTAAATTTTATTCCAACGACATAATTCAACTTTCTTCAAGTAAGTAATTTACATTGACCGACCGCAATATCACAGGCAGCGCGGACTGTGCAGCAAGCATGAAAATAAAATGAGAAAAACGTACTTGTCGCAATCCAGGCACATCTCCAACAGCAGTACCGTCAGAGCGAATCCAAATAATATCAGGTTGCGGGTTTCCTCTGGCTTGGCATTCAATCACAGCCCCGGTACCATTCGAGAAATCAACACGATTCGGTGGTTCCTTGACGAAAATCGGACCCATAGTTTCATCTTCAGCTAACGTTCCTTCAAAATACGAAATGTACGATCATGAAATTTTTGTTTTTGTTTTGAGTGTCACATGCCATGTATAAAACGTAATGTTCTTCGCACTGTACCAAAAGTATTTTCATACAGATCAAAGAGAAGGAAATGTAAGTACTTGTCAATGCTGACTTACCGCACGCAAACGTTGACAAAATAACGAGCAAAATTGCGGGTCGGAAGTAACTCCCGTAGCGTACGGGAGCATTCCGCCACATCTTGATTTGTTTTATTAACCTTTTTCGCTGCCTCTGATTACCTGAAAACATATATGGTAATGAGTATTTGCATGTAATTCAATTTTATTCAACACATGAAATTATTTTTCGAAGATGTCAAGGTGAATCGTTCATGAAATCGGGACCGGTTAAAAAATAATTTATAAAATTATACTCTACTGCGAAACGTGACGTTGCTTGCTGGTACGCGCATATTCGAACCCATGCAATGTTATAATTATAAGAGAATGCTGAATATGCATCGCACTGTTGCAAAGAATCGTTGAATAATATCTAGTGTTCACACATTCGCACTGCCAGAACCAATTGCATCAAGAAGAGAAAAAAAATTAATAAATTTGACGCTCAAGTTAATTTATAAAAATCATGCTTAGCTGCTCTGTTCATGCACGTAAAAATGCTGACAAAAGGAAAACATTGCCGCGACAAAACATCCTTAGCTCGTGTATACATGCTTTCTAAAATTGCACGATCTATCTGTTGCTTCAATCCAAGAAAGAAGCACGAATCTCATAGGTTGGCATAAACTAATAACGCACTTTTCGCAGTGTTTCAACATCGCACTCCCACAAGCAATAAAAGCATCCGTAGTGAAAGTCAAAATTAAATAGAAATTCACTCAGAACTGAATTGTCTTATCGTTACCAATAACCGACACCGTAAGTAGCTCGAGATAAAATTAAATGACCGCACGAAAAAAATAAGAAAACTTAAACGCGTGCTCGTGTAATCAGGTGTTCGTCCGACTGTCAATCCGGTTCCGTCTGTAGCCGGTGAATGACTCATCGTGCTACTCGCTTTATGCCGGCCGAATCATAACAAACGCATATCGATCGCTGGTTCGCGACACCAAAACAAACGTAAAAATAAAGCTAATACTATCTAAATGCTGCCGAATAGTTGATCGATATAATCGAAGTTCAACACATCGAACGCAAAACGTGTATCAGTAAGGACTAGATAAAGGAAAAAGGTGAATGGTTTGGAGTTTATGCAAGCGCACGTGCACACCTTGGCACGCGGTTCGCCGAGCAGATGGTTAGACGCTAGAGAGAAAGAGAGAGAGAGTCGGGAGAAGAGTGGGGGGAGAGAGCGCGAGAGCTGTCGCTTGCGCGGGGGAGGTTTTATTGATCGTGGCTAATGAAAATGAATTCGATCCTTGCAATTTATCAGCACAATTTGAAAACAAACGATTCTCATTGGCAACGAGGACGATAGGACGAGGATGTATGTGATGATTTTGACGAAAGGCACGAGCGCGAGAGCGTGCCGCAAGGTGTGGATTTATGAAAATGGATGCCCACGGCCATTGCTCTCTGTCTCTCTCTTTCCCTCGCGTGTCACACACACGCGACAATTTTTCAAGGTTTCAAAATATCTAGTTTTCCGTTTTGCCGTAGCCGTAGACGGCCTGCACTTTCTGTTTCGATTGCCTCTTCCTTTCTGTCTCGCGATGAATAGACGTCTCGACCGTCGAGCTTCATGCAAAAAGCTTATTGACGGCGACCGACGAGTTTTGTTCAAAACAATGGGGATGCTGCGCGCATGTCCACCTTCGTGCGCGATTGTTATTGCAGTCGCACGTCCTCAGCTGTATGGCTTTTTTTAGGAAGCGCGACACTTTTAAGCGAAAACCGGAAGTCCGAGACCGCCTTTGTTTACACTCGACTGGCAAGATCGAAAGAGCAATGACCAAATATTTGACGGCGTTGACCAACCTCTCGGCTATGCTGGATAAACAAATCATGCAAAAGCAGTGCCGACGGGCGACAGGCAGGGGCAATGGCAGGGATTAAAACACAAAAAGCACACTGTCTTCGACTAAGCGAGTAAAAGCTTCCATCGATGAGCGAGTCAGAAATTGTAATCCCACCTCGCGATTCAACAATATCTCCTCGGCACACTACTTGCACACTCGATCAGAAGTTGATCGTTTAGATAATACTCCACGACACCCGATGCGACAAACGGCAACGAACAAATTCAATTTTACTCCGATCTGACTTTTCTTTGATTTTCTGGCTGTATTTTTAATATAACGCGAGCGCGAGTGCGTACTACACGCCGTCGACGCACTCACAGACAGGCAGACTGAATACAGCTGCCGCAGTGCTGCTGCTGCTGCTCTCCGCGATGCTACTTTGTGCTTGTGTGCGCCCGCGTAGCTGGGTGTGTACGCGACACACAGACTGGAGTCTATATGTGCCGCCTGCCGCTTGCTCGGCCGGCAGGCGGCATCTTGCCAGTCGAGTGTCGAAGCGCTTAGCGCAGTGTGCGCTGTGTGCTGCCTGGAGCCACTAGCGTGGGCGCCAATTTTCGAATACTCGTCGTAACGTGCCGGTGAAAGCCATATTTGACGTAATTTGATGATAGAGGTTGCACGGGCGCCCGATTTACGACTTAGGATAATGTATCTTGCACGCACATACGAACAATTGCTTGATTCTGAATTGCTTTTTCTCGTCTTATCATCATTACGCTAATTGATCGATATTTAAGGAAAATCATGTGTTCTCTAGACTCAAGTTTCGCCTGTATTTTCATGAAACGACTAATGTTGAGCTTTCCGCTATTTCAATTAAGAGCTGCTGCCAAGACAAATTTCCACATTAGGAAATGTCGCAATACTATCTTTTGAATTAGTGATAATTAGGTGGTCATTTGTATAATAATGGAATATAATCTTAATGAAAACATCGATGTACACAAACGTTTGTTACATAAACGTTTAAAAAATACTTATACTGAAATTACTATATTTGAGCTGTTCCGCGAAGCGCGCCTAATAATTCGATTGAATAAATTAGAAAATTTATAAGAATGCAAAGTATCACATCGCTAGAAATCGAACACATCGGCATGCTCGTGCACGATATCTTCTTAAACTATTCATTAAACAGTGATATAATTGTAAAAAGTACATTAGAATACTCAGCTGATTTACGTATTAGCAGGACATTATAGTAACGATACTTGGAAATTTAATGAAGAGAACTTTGTCGATAGCAAATAACCAATCTCATATCTTTATTATACTCTAACTTAGATAGATGATTAATGAAGGAACTGGACGACCAGTTTAGCAAGAAAATATTTTTAAGCACGGTCCATCAATTTGGCTCGTAGATCTCAGGCACGTGCGATTGAGTGACAAATAGTCGTTGCAATTTGCCTGAACGAAGGGAAAAGAATCATTCATTGACATGTAAATGAAGCTCGGAATAACATGTGACAAGGTGTTCGGGGATCAGCGATTGGCCGATTAGCGTCAGAAAAAGAGTGCAGTATAAATCAAATCGTCCGAAACACACAAAAATAACTGGCGCCACTTTCGACTGGCGATATAGAAAGTATCATTAGTATAAGTGTAACTGGAACGGCAGTGGCAACGGTTATAAGAGTGAAGGTCGGTGCGTGCGCCGTGCGGTCCAACGCGGCAGCTGCAATCTCAGACAGCGAGTGCTGTATGTGGCTTTTTCCGCCGTTCTCTCTGCCCCCTTCCAAAGAATTGGATGGCCGCGCTACAGGTATACACAGCGCGTGCACCTGCCCGTTTCTTATCCTCGCGCTCGCTCCCGCGTAAATATTCTACACGCGATGTTTTAGCATTTTTCACATCGCGCCTCATCCTTTTTTTCTTCTTTCAATTTACATGTTAATGGTATTTTTCGGAATGCGAAAACGCCTGTCACAGACATGTTTTAAGACTGTTTTATTTGAGCGCGTGAATGGCCAGCTACGACGTCTCAATACTTTTCTAATCGGCATTAGCATAACTTGAAAATAAGGCGACTGCTAGATCACCACTGACTCGACTGCGCTGTAATTTTTTTTATATGTATAGTGAAACGATACCGACCATGTCAATGTTATATCGTTTTCACATTTTTTTTCGCCATTTCGTAACATCGAGCAAAGATGTCTTTTCAGGATATGTCTTTGGTCTTATTCTTTTGTTTTTGTTGGAGTTTCAGACTTCTTTAAGAGAATACAATAACCAGATCTTCAATAAATTTCATTCTCAAATAAGATGAAAGACAAGTTTTTTCGTTTTCTATCATCGTAACTCTATCCTTTCAAAAATACATTATCATACAAATTATGCCTGCATTTGAAAAATTCATTGTAAATTTATCAAGTTTCTTATAAGGTTTCATAAAATATTGACTTACCCTACTCGGTAAAAAGTAAGAAATAAAACATAAAATTTCTGTCAGAATAGAAGAACGAATTAAATACACTTGTATGATGCAACAACAAAATTCGATATTCAGTTGGCGGATATATGTATAAGTTTTCGTGATAAAAAGTCATTGTAAAAAAGTATTGTTTGAAGCGTAAAGAAAAAATCATTCTTATGAACGTAGATGTCAGCGTTGGAAACTTACGTAAAGCTGTGCATGGTTCGTGCTAAAAATTAAATTATTTTAACGTAACCAGATTTTCAGCTTCGAATGTTAATACAATGGAGTAGTTAACTATATATGAACACGCCTGACTTTTCATTAATTCAAATAATTATATTTTTGATTGAAGACTTTCGGATCAAAGACTTTCGGAACGGTATATTTTAAGTAAAGAAATATTTTCAAATATGGACCCGACGGCACTCTAAGTCATTCAAATGTCAAGAGCAATTGAAAATTCAAATGTACGTGACTTTGATGCCATAAAGACGATTCCAACAATAGTATTTAAACATAAATAATATCAATTTCTTAGATAATTTATAGAAATCAATGAGCTTTGATGTCTGCTAAAATTTTAATGGACAAAAAATATATTTTTCTATGATACTCTTAAAAATCTGGAAGTAACATATTCCTGCGATAAATATGCGGTTAACTGAAATTACTCAAATAATCATAGTTTTCCGTACAATTTATGAATAAATAATCCATAAGTATTTGAGACGAAGCTTTCAAAATGTTTTCAATATAACATTAATCTTAATAACAGAAAAAATTGCTCCATACTTGGAAAATCTATTCTTCAACAAAATAAGCGTTAGAGTCTGAATTGAAACGACTGATTGAACGTGAACTAATTAATGTGAAAAAGAAAGAAAAATGATCATTCACACGATGACAAGGTGCATGAATTAAGAATTATTAAAAATCCATAAAAAATTGAGCCACCAATCGAGTTCGACTAATTTTCTCAAAAGCTCATCGATCAGTGTCAAGAACGTCAGCTTAGAATAGCGTAAGAAGAAAAAAGTGAGAATGGTCAAAAGGTAAACAGATCGCTGCCATTGCATCCTTAAAATCCTCATACATCATGACATTAATGTTGCTTAAAGAAGAATTGTAAGACCTCCCGCCACCCAAGGTAGCGCGCGCAAGTGTATATAAAGAGTGGTGGCCGGCTGTTCATAAAAATTGCGAGTTCGAGTGTCTAGATCGAAAGTAAAAGCCCATTGGGTGTGTATGTGTATGTATGTGTGTGTGTGTGTGTGTGTGTGTATGGTGGTCATCAGGATCGATTTTCGCGGCTACAGCAATACGTCAACTTGAAATTTTTGAACAGCTCGCTCTCGTGTGCACGCAGAAGGGGCAATACTTTCTCTGGATGTGCACGTTCGGGTGGTTTGGTGGGAGTTTGCTTGGTTGACTCTCTCTTTTAGCATGATAGCCAGCTGATCGTTGGCGCAGTTGGCCGACAGAGACTTTCACGCGAGGTTCGTCTCTACGTGCCGCGAGTAGTCGCCGATTTGGTCCTCCTTGGCTTTTTTCTCGCAGCGCGGTCTCTCGTTAGGTTGTGTGCTTGCAACAGCAGTCGCTTGCGTCAATTGTTTTCTTAGGAATTGGCCCAGGCCGTGGGCAGACCAGCAGAAAAGCCGCACGAGAGCGGCGTAATTGGCTAGTGAAAGTTTTTTTCTGCAACGACCGACGAATTAATCGACGATTTATATATACCAAAGTGTATGCTGTGCGCGTATACCACCGGACAGGTCAAACATTTTTTGCGCTCGAGCTGTAATGTTTTGTACGGGGACTGTCGAAAAACCCGCTTTCTCCCCGTAACAGAGGCTTCCTTTCACGTCTTCTATGTGCGTACGCGAGCGAGAAAGATCTGATGTGACAATCTTTTCATTCGTCCGACGCGATGGCTGTTAAAGTGCTGCTAGTAATTTCGACTATCGTTCAAGTGTCTCATGGATACAACGTGTTGTTAGCCACAATGGGTGGTACCAGATCACACACGGTACCATTCGTTGCATTGGGCACTGCACTCGTGGAACGTGGTCATAACGTCACTCTGGCTAGTGGTTTTTCCGGACCTGCGGCGAATAATGGACTGAAGGAACTTGTACCACCGAGGCTTGAAGTGAGTTTCTTGTGTTTTTCCGATTTCCGTCGTGTCGATAGTTTATTATGGGTATACGTTGTTAAAGCACGTGCTCGCGAGTTATATCAGTTATATCAGGCGAATATATTCTGGTGTCGGTAGAAAGACTTTACTTTTATACACGCGCGTATGGACAGGCCGAATGGGGGAAATCCGACGACAATGATACATTGGTGAACGTCTCAACTTACATGCTTGTGGATTTTACGATCTCGCGCGAGAATCGAATCGATTAAGAAAAACCAATAAATAACTAAATAAAAGATTTTTATTAGCGTGCTAGTTGAAAGATGTTTGTGAAGACATTTTGTGGGAAATTTATCGAGAACGAGAATCGATGCTTGTTGGAAGATTCATTGGAACCGGCAAGCAAAAAAGTGAGTTCTCTTACAGAATCGACGTTTTAGCGAGACTACGGCACGTTCAGCTCCCTTCCCGGTAGTTTTCACGTGCGCGAAAGCGTTTCCTCGATCGTGAAACTTGGTTATTACAACGTTCTGTTGCGCGCGTCATGTTTTCGATGCGATTAAAGAAATTGTACAATCCTACAAGAAAAAGAAACACGCGCGAGATTTTTCCTATGCCTTACATAAAATGCGTCGCGACTCGCTGAAAGCTGCGAAAGACGTCAAAACAATACGTAAATATTCAGCTGCGACGAGAAATTCCAAATTGTTCATGTGTTCCGAGTAATATTGACAGAGCAAATGCATCGGATGTCATTTGCTTCTTTTATTTTCTTAAGATTCAGAGCAGCGTAAATATTTAGTCAGAATCAATGTTGATTTGGACACACTTAGTCGGTCGACCAAAAGCGAGTAATAGTCAAGCATATCTCAGACTCATTACTTGATATAGTTACGCACGAGACGGATTGCAAGAAATGCCTAAATGCGCAAATGAACGAGAGCCTAACACTCGATGATGCGCGTTCTCGTGTCAAGATTTAATAAACACACTCATGGATATAACTGTCGAAATTGAATTGTTAGCATCGCCGCGTATGTCTACCGTAAAGTTTATAGATCAAGCAGTCAATTTGCATGATGGCTCGCGAGTGGCGTGACATGGCTTGTCGGCGCATGAATAATTACAAAATCAGCGTGGCTAACAAAAAACTTGAGCACTCTTCGGGAGAGAAAAGAAACAAAGCGATAATTCAGTTTTCGGCTATTCATCGATTAATGCTACGGTTGAACACGCTCCTAGGGACAGAAAAACAAGCATAAAGAGAATGCCGCGGCGCTACTACTTTCAAGTGTCGTAAGCTGCGAAATGTTTACGAGCTGTCTAATGCCTTGAAGCCACAAGACCTATACTCGTTAACGCTGTCGCTATGTAATTTTGATAGTGGATTGATGGGCACCGGTTATGTCACAATCGAACTGTCAAAGTAAAACTCGTTTCGCGTTTCATGAGAATTCGGTAGCATGAGAATGCCGAGTGCGAAATGCAAGCTCGCTCGCACGCTAGTCGGAATCAAATGGTTATTAAGACAATCTATTCACTGCAGACATACATCGGCAACTATACCTCAGAATGGGATCTGGTTGGCTCGCGTTTCCGCAATGAATTGCCCATTTCACCGTGGGACGCGATGAGATATGGTTGGGAAGCTTGCGAGGCCCTGCTAACCGACGGCTTTTACCTATCCGAAGTGCAGAGACCCGAAGGAAATTCACGAGCACAGTGGGACGTTGTTGTGATCGACGGTGCTTATCCCGAATGCCTCCTCGGCGTTCTGCATGGGCAACAGGTGCCGACGATAATGCTCAACACGGTAAGTCTGTCTATATGCGTCTCTTGCGAAAGTTAGGCGCGCACGATCGGCAGCTCGCGATTGCAGTCGATTATTGCTCGCTCAAACCTTATTCTCGACCACCTCGACGTGCGCGCACACGGGTAAACTCGAAAACAAAAGAAAAACGTTTGTTATACCTATTGTTAAATGTCGCTCGGTCCAATCGACTCGCACGTGGTCGCAACCTTAACTAAGAGACCAAAATTGCACAAAATTGCAGGTGGCCTTGTACAGCGGTTCTTTAGCACGCCAGGGCAATCCATCGCCGTGGTCAATAAGGCCGTACTTCGGCAAAGCGCTGACACAAGACATGAACTTTGCGCAGAGAATATTGAACGTGAGTTACTTGAGCATACTGGAGATCATGCATTGGATTATGATCACCGGATTCATTCAGCCGACCTTGCGCAAGCATTTGGGTGAGCAAATCTTACACGCGCGTCTATCTGTATTCGCTTTCCGATCACGCACACTACGCGAGCGCGCGCGTGACGAGCAAAATCCTTTGGTTATTCGTGGCTTTGCAACGACTAGCGGCGTAGCGGTGCAGCGGCGCAGCAGCGCAGTGGCGCAACGGCGCAGCCTGTCGCGCTTATGCGTACCACGTTTCGCGAATTTTCCAGTGAATGTTCACGTCGTTGCAAAACGCTCGACTATCGAACGATTCAGGAGAAGCCTCAATGTACACAGGCAGGATCTATTCTGTCGGGCGTTTAAACGTCCTTCTCCGGGATCAGTCGAGGCGCCATTAGGCAGCTTTCGTCATCTGTTGACCATATTCGAGCACGAAAATTCGTGTGTCATTCGCTGCAGGCACTCGATCGCAGTCTGCCCCGAAATGCAAGGTAGTGCCTGATGATTATCGTCCAATAGATCTTTCAATTTGTTACGATTGCTTGGCAATTAATTAACAATAAATTGTTCCGCGAGTTTTATGAACTGATTGGCGATTCAACTAAGCAGACTTTTCACTGGAATCATCGTCCATGCAAGTGGCTGAAAAAAATATAGGGAATGCGCGCACCTACCGAAAGATTTCCATTTGGTGAGACTGTTGCAAGGTCGTTATTTGGTCGTGTACTGTAATTACATGATTCATTAGCGCGTTATGGTTTCGATTGCCAAATGAAAAGATACAAGTGTCACGACAAAGGCTATCTTTCGCTATCTGTCCGAATAAAAGAGATCGAAGAAAACTTAACGTGTGCGATGGTGATGGTAGGCGAGCAAGTACCAGACGTCCGAGAGCTGGTGTCGGAGGTGCCGCTGACGCTGCAGAACAATCACTACTCGGTGTCGGACTCGACACCTTACCTGTCGAACGTCGTGAACGTAGCTTGCATACAGTGCCGAGCACCGCTCAAGCTCGGCCCGGAAATGGATACGTTCCTCAGCCGAGGTATATACAATACACAATACTCTCATGAGCATCCGATCAAACTTCCATTCATACGTTGCATTATACGGTAGGTTTCGTATTCGTGTCGATGGGTTCATCGGTGAAAGCTTCGGGCATGCCAGAAGCACTGAGGAAAATGTTCGTCGCCGTGTTCTCCACTCTGCCCTACAATGTCGTTTGGAAATGGGAGGGTGGCACGATTGAACATTTACCATCGAACGTGCGCACTGCAGCTTGGTGGCCACAGCAAGAATTACTTGGACACAACAAGCTCAAAGCATTCGTCTCGCATGGTGGATTGCTTTCGCTGCACGAAGCTGCGTACCATGCTGCACCGACGCTCGTTCTCCCGGTGTTTTGCGATCACGATGGAAATGCCGCTCAGGCTGGTGAGTTGTTGTTTTCTTTTTCTTCGACGGCAATCCAATTCCACTCTTGAGCTTTCTACTTGATCACGGAAATTCGCGCGACTTGTCCGAATTCGTCGTGTCAGCACTGCAATGCCAACAGACAAAACTACGAGAAAGTTCGTTTGTGCACGATACCGCGATCCTCGATCACCAAATCACCGCTGTTATCAGCTTTCAGAGCAATTCACGCAATTACGTCAACAATGACGAGCATCATTGTCAAGAAATTTAGCTGTTACTTTGGCGCTCGTACTCACCACGACCAGTTGAATATTATGTCTTTTCCGTTGCATATTGAACTTCACGTTGCATCAAGGTGTCAAGCTTAGTTTAGGAGATATTCAGGTTGCTTTGCATTGTAATTAGGATTTGTACGCTTGAGCATCAGCCGAACTGACGACAAAATTTATTTTTCTAAGGAGAACAAATAATATTAACAATGCAATGACAATTAACAATAATTACAAATATTTCAGAGAAACTGGGCTACGCGTTAGTAACAGATTTGGCAAGTCTGACGATAACCGTGCTCCGCGAGAGTATAATGAAAGTGGCAGCCGGTGGTAAGAATCCCTACAGAGAAGCTGCCAAAAAAAGAAGTATGCTAATGAAAGACATTCCTGTAGATACAAAAAATTTAGCTGTTTGGTGGGTCGAACACATAGCCCGGCACAAGGGAGCCGATCATCTAAAGAGCACCTCGAGGTAATTTCATTTTATTCATTTTCCTACTGTTAGCACCTTCGAATTTTTTCACCACCTTTTTTCATCTTTTATATTTTATGACATTAGGCACATGAGCGTTGGACACTACTACTCGCTGGACGTGGCCGGTTTTTACTTAGCATTGTTTGTTAGCGTTGTATACGGTGCTAGAAAGTTGCTTCACCGTGCCGGTCGAAAAAAATTGAAAGAGAAACTGCAGTGAATGCATAATGTCAGTTCTTTCTGTAAATGATGTACACACAATATTACTTGTTTATACATAGAAACTTTGTTTTTCGTGGAAGCTGTTTTGATTACTCATTGTAGCTTGTAGTACTTTTATTTTTATTTTATTTAAATAGTTTTTTACCGTAATAAATATTGTTGAATGGTTTGTGATTATTGTTATAAATCAGAATCTTTAAGATTTGTAAAAAATTATTGTTAATTATGAGTAATGCGAGCTTGTACATAATAATAATAATTCCAAGCAACTTTCAATCCACATTGTTTTTGTTTTTCAAGCATCACTGTTGGTAAGGAAGGACGCTGCACCAGTACGTAATACGCGATCAATTGAAAGTCTATAATGAAACAAAATGAAAGGAAATGAAGAATATTTGAAATCATAGCAGTACTCTATTAAACTCTGCAAATGCGATTCACACTCTCTTTACATATTTCATCAATTGTAAGCATATAGGATATGTATATTTAGGCAGTAAAGTACGAATAACTTGTTATAACATATTAATACATACTTGAATAGTAGAAGAAATAATGGGGAAATAATACAACGAAGATTCACATGGATTGATACAATGTCGTTGTTCAGATTCGCGAATGTTTATCGTAGCTGTATTGGAAGATTTATGTTTGGCTTGATTGCCACTGCAGAATACATTAAACATTTGTCATCTTCAACTCAATACATGGACGTGTACAGTAGTAATAGTAACATTATGTAAAAAGACGCGGTCGAATGTGAGAATAGAAACTAATTTGGATGATAAATAGACACTAGCTAAGGCATTCTTTGATTATAATACTCGCTGGTTTCTTGATGATTCAAATTCAAGTTATCAGTTTGAAAAATGGTGGGAAATCTACTCGTTCGAATTATAAGATGCAAGCGCTGACAAGAGGCGAACTCTTGCATGAAAGCTTATATTATATTTTGATAACGAACAACTACAGTGACTTATCTTTGACTGGTATGGTAGAGCGCCTACAACATTCTGTCCTATATACATCGTAAGTGCATTATCCGATCCTTTTTTCCACTTTTTGTCAACTTTGGCACATATATCCCAAGGAATTATTTGGCAGTGGATTTTGCTCATCTGTATATGAATAATTGCTAAAGTAATATAGCGCAAAAGCCACAATTTATAAGCGAGTACTCAAAAGTGTTAAAACATTTGGTTTTTAAATATTAAGCATTGAGAATGGTTTCTAGTTTCCATTGCATGTCATTGGTTTATAGGCAGTCGCTTGAAAGAACAGCGAAAAAAGCTTAACGAGGTGACTAGTCGAGCCGTCGGTTCGCGCGCAAAAATCTTAATTAAGTTCGACAAGCGACTTAACTGCGGGCGCCAGACAAGAAAAGCTATATAAATCGCCGTGTTTTTATTTTGACGCTGGGCGCGTGTCTTGCAGCTGCTTTTCTAATTGTCAGTCGACTCGCGCAAAGTCCTGCGGCACGCGCGATCCGGTTTTCCTTTCTCTCTCTCTCTCTCCCTCTCGCGTATAAACGAGATACTAGGTGTGCGCGGCCAGGACAAAAAGATTCGCTTGGCGGAATTATGATTTCCGGTGGCGTCTCTCTCTCTCTCTCTCTCTCTCTCTCTCTCTCTCTCTCCTCTGCAAACAGCTTCTACGGTGCAATTGGTTTTGTTGTTCTCTACTTGTTTCGAAAAGAGACATCAGTTTGCCACTAAATGGAAATGATTTAGAGGCTGGAAAAAGTTGAGTGCGTCGAGCCTTTTCTATATATTGCATGGTAATTGGAGAGAAAGGTGTAGCAACAGATAACAAATATGCGAGACATATGCTTTATTGTATCTTTGCCGAGACATTTTGCTAGGCAAGTGTGCTTGTACATGCCTACGTATGTGTAAGAAATAATGAATGCAAACGCGTAAATAGATAGGACCGTTAACGAGAAATAAAGAAAGGTATCAAAGTTTCAATAGATTTCATCAATATTTCATTTTGTTTCGAGAACGATAGTTTTATTACGTTCTAAAACCAGTTACAACGATTGAACATTTATGTTTGATGAGATACAGTGTTATCTCAGTCACGTGAATTTTAATGTGCATTAAATTTATAAACTCAAAAAAGAGTTGCTGTATCTTCATCGAGCTATACTGATTGATAAATGGCAAACATCGAGTATATTGTAGAACACTGCATATTTCAGTTAAACTACTTGATTATTTCTATATACATAATAGATCTATTAAACACTGTTGTTCATACAGTTAACAGCCATTTCATGGTTAATACTAGAAAGAGATTACGGTTAAGGTAATTATCTTCGGCTTTTGTCATAATAAAAAATTAATTATACATATTACAAAACGTTACCTGCAAGTTCTATAACATCACTTTATATGTAATTTCGAACACAAAAATTATTTATCAATTAATGAATGATTAGCCAATTAATGAAATCGAAAATAAGAATTAGCATTTATTAAATAAAACTTTTTTCTATTGACCTTTCTTTACTTGTTTTTTTCACTAAATGTCCAATTTCCAGTTAACAAAATAAGGTATTTCGTACATGAAACTGGGTATGGTTCTTCATCCCGTTTCTTCAATATGTGATCGCACTTTCATTCGGAAAGTCGTATCAATTCTAGACTAGTGTTTAAATTATACAAATGTAATTAAACTTTAGAAAAATGTACCAATAGCCAAACGAAATATAGACTTCACAGTAGCTCTTCTTAATTATTATTTTTTTCTTTATTTAAGGAGTCTAATAATTATTTTTTTTGTTCACATAATCACAAACTGATGGATTTGGGATGGATAAGGATTGCGAAACTACTTGTAAATAATATTTTATTGCGATCCTCTCGAGAGATAAAAGAAAAACTACATTTCTATTTAATATACATGACATTTTACCTAGATTATCTGTTGACTCACTTGACCAATTCTCATACTCCTGTATGCACACCAGTCGATACTGCACTTGTACAATAGGCATCTTTGTCAGCCCAAGATACAATGCCAACTTGTATTTGGCTAAACGTTAGAGAACCTCCAGAATATTCCTGACGTAATAATTTGAAGAATCTAACTGTGATTTTGAAAAATCTTCAAAAGAAATATGTTAATGTAAACAGTATTTTAATTTGAAATCACTTTCCTTTTTCTTCCATTTTCGGATGAAATGCACATTCTTACCACTCTCTCAAAAGTGGCTTTTACACAGTCCTTAATCAACGATTTAGAGAGCTACTTTTTGCACGAATAAAAATAACCAAAGCCAGCATTTAAAACAATCTACAATGGATGATATTTATTTTTCATCACAATGTAATTAATATATTTATACCGCCAAGGACACCTCGACCAGAAAGTAAAACTACACTATTGGCAGGAACTGAAAAGTGACGTCTTGGCAATCTTATTGGCTTATTGGTTGTACGTATGATTTAAAAGTAAATCGAGCCAGGAGCTGTGCGTAAGTTGAATATTATTGTAATTTAGCCAATTCGAATCAGATGATCTATACAAGGCTTACCTTGACAAGAGCTATGACATAGAGATATAAAAAAAATCAACTCAAAACTTTTCGTGTGTTATGAGCCTTCTCATAGCGTGCTGCTGACATACTTTGACAGTTACGAATAAAAATCGTGAAAGTGTCGAATCTACAATTTATAATTTTGCAATTATTCTGTAAGATATATTAGAAAAAACTTTTGTAGCCTGTTTCACAATGAGCAGTGGTTGATACATAACGGTGAGCTTATAATGAAATCGTCGCAAAAATGGCATCCATATTTTTGCAAGAATATCTGGAAATTCCAAATAAGCCTTTTGTCTAAATATATGTACTAAAGTCATAATAGCATATAAATTCTTAGTAATAGTTGTACTGTAACAGTGAGTTTCGCATTGACATACCAACAACTACATCTGATCACTTTTAAAATGTTACAATATTTTTATTAGAAAATCTAAGATTATTTACGGTAATCTTCTATAAAGACGAATAAGTAGAAAAATATGCAAATGTATTTTCACATCGCATTTCCTCGGTTGATCGAAGACAATGGGCAATCAATTCGCACAGAGTAGTTAGTGCCAAATGCAGCTGATTGTTTCTTTACTTATTTTTTTGAAAGCAATTACATCATTCTAGTATTACAAAGCTTATTTTAATAATATGAAATTTATTTTTCACATGCAAAAACATTGCCAGAAACTAACAAGCTAACGTATACTTGGCGGGTAAGTTAATTCACAGCGAGACGTATTATCACACCATTGCAGATGAAATTTCAAGCGGAAAATCAAGAGTCAAAAAATCATTCCGTTATTAAATTGTTCACGAATGTAAGAACTGCATGAATGGTTGCAAGTGTACACGCCGCGACGATCATTCGCTTGGCTTGCAGGAATTTCTCGCAACCTATCGGCTGTGTTTTTTCTTTTTTTTCGGCTTCATAACTTTTCTCTGACTCAATATTAATGCATAGTTCGATGATTCAATCATTGTCCGTCCATAAAAAGAAACTCGTCTTACCAAATACGTCTCGTGCCCAATGCTTTGAACAACTAAAAGAAAAAATGTAAATTCGCTTAGCTGTAATTTTTGCCTGGATTGATAAATCAGATGAGTTCGTGAACCTTTTTACGAATGACACTCAGTTGTTCTCGTGAACGAAGACTCTGACGCGTATATGTCTCCAACTCGCACATATCCCAGCTTTGCGATCTCGAGTGAAGGTCCATAGCTTGCCGCGTATCGATGTTTCTTTATAGGCGCGAGAGATTATACGTGGGATTGGAATGCGTTGGGCGCAGGTAGTTGGAAAAATAAAAGCGACAGATGTATAATATCCCTGCATACGGGTGCGTATATTCACTGTTTCGCATGCGAATAAAGTATGTCAGGAAAATTGGCGAATCCCTCGGTGCGTACGCGATCGCACAAAGGAAAAGCTCCCGAATCTGCTGGCACGCCCGTGGGAGTGTGCAGTTTCTAAATGAATTTAGTATCGCGCGTGGCGTTGCGTTTTGATCGCACCTCCCAGAAAGGCCTGTAGAAAAGGCAGAGCTGCTTATACTGCCAGAGCAAAGTCTCTAATTTGATTATTCGTAATAAGACTACGTCGCCCGAATCTGTCCTTTTTCGGGCAGCAAGTTGCTCCCAACAGAAAAATACCTCTTCACGTAGTAACGGAAGCTGTGAAACACGCGACTATACAAGCTCGAAAAATGGACTTACGTAGTAAGCTGCAACAAAGAGAATTCGGACCGCTTACGCGATGCGCAAACAGTCTAACGGCTTCGCGAGGAGAGAAGATCGGGGAGGGGAAGGAAAGGGGGGGAGCTTGCGCAAAGCTTGGAGCAACGAAAAAAGTATCGTAATGAATGAACTGGCCTTAGGACGGAGGCAGCGTCTCCGCTTGCCCTCTCTCTTTCTCTCTCGCGTGTCCCGCGCGCAGAGACGCGCGGGAGAGAGAAAGAGCGACTAGTCGCGCGCGGGTTTTACTGGCTCATTCAAGCCAACGAGGCAGTCTCGAACGCAGCACGTTTTGCCCGCACGGTGGCCCTGACTTTCGCGCTGATAATCTGTCTCTCTGTCTTGGTGTACATATAGTGCGTGGGTGTGAAGTGCATTCTATCGACCACGGCCAATTATGGAGCCCGGGCCAGTTGCGGTAAGCCCGTTGTTTCATTCGCACGTTTGGTTGGTCGCGAGCTATTGTCGATTCAAACTTGGATTTGTAGTTTAGATTTGTAATAAGAATATCGCACATCGGGGGTGTCGAAATGGTGAATGTAAGGAATAGTGAAAAATGAGTAGTCGCGGAAAACAAGCAAGCGGCGTAGAAGGCAGACATAATAACACAGAGCAAGAATAAAACGCACTAACGTTATAAAGGCTAATGGCAGAGCTCGCTAATAAAAAGGTATAATTTATAGCGAGAGCGCCGCTCAGTTCTCTCTCTCTCTCTCTCTCTCTCTCTCCCTCTCTCTGGCAATAAACATCAGTGCCAAATAGGGCCTAAAGCCGAACGCGCGCGAGCACGTGATACGAGAACACAGAACAATTGAATAATCGCTGATCGCGGAATTATGTGGAGTATTATGTGGAAAGTAATCGCTTGTGCTCGCTTTCGAGCTTGCTTCTAATCTGTACGCATACATAATACAGCGCACACGCGCCTCCTCTAATTGGTCGAGCAGCATTTAGTCCAAGCTGTGCGCGGCGATATGAGAGATCGCATACCGCGACAAGTTTTGCATGCGCGCACAGACCGCTCATAATATTCTATCCTCGATCTAGCCTTATTCGCATATAGCTACTCGTAGCCTGCGGCTTGAGAAATTATTGAAGCCACGGAGTTTTCCCTTAGTTTTTTCGTTCGTTCGCTTTACATAACGAGGCAAAACTCGTTTCTAATTGTACAAGCGTCATGGAAAACGTATAATGCGCGCACGCCAGTGAAAGGAAATGAGCGCCGAGTTTTGATGAATGAAACGAACCAGAGAGGTGGCAGAGGGAACAGAACCGGTCCCTCTCTTCGTCAATGAGCGATGCAGCACGCGACGCTATCTTATCCGAACGTTGCTCAACTTTTTTTCGGCGGCCACTTCCTTTGAGACAATCTCTCTCTCTCTCTCTCTCTCCCTACTGCTGCTTCATTTCCAACTGTTGATGCGCTCCTTCGCTCCATTCACGATCGGCTGCAACTCTGCGTTGATTATTCGTTCGACAACCTGCTCCACACGTTGAAGCACTTTGTGCTTTTCATTAGTAATTTGCACCTAACAACCACTTTTCCTGTTTCATCACTCGGAGCACATATCGTTGCCATAATAATTTGATTACTGCTAGGGTCTGCAATATCCATTAGCCCATGTAGGTATGTCAAAATTACGAGCACGAGGAAAATGCGTTCGTCGATATTTAAGTAAACGAGTTGCGAAGGCCGAGCTTAAGCTTATATATTTGGAAGGTAAACAACACAAAGAAGAATGTTGGAAAGAAAAAGTTGTTGGCACGAGACAGATAGTCTTGGAAGGAGGTTGAAAATACCAATAAATTATTACTCTTAGTCGGACGGTGTACGAGTATGCGCTTCCATCCTAACAGCATCTTTCGATTTGTCGATTTGTCGATTTGTCGAGTAACGCACAGACATAGCTCGTATCAAGTTGTGCGGCGAAGCGCGCGCGGGGGCGTGCAGCGCCTCGAGTTATATTTTCGCTTCACAACCTAATTCAGCAGTTCTAGAGTTACGCATTGGACGGTAGGTTTTGCCCCAAAAATAAAGTCTAGCCCGAAAGAGTCCGAGAGAAAACTGGCGCTGCAGCTTGCAATGGCCTCCTCGCTCTCGTAGTAATGACGAATGCGCCCCTGCTCTTGGCTGCTTTGCTTTTATCCTCGCATCATTTTAGACAGGCGTATTTTGTTGTGCCTCTCGTGCGGCCCTGCCAATTGCTAATTGCCGTGTGGCGTTGACGAGTTCACTTGAGAATGGACTCGCCGCCGCTTCGGCTAATTGGATCCCAGTTGTGCTGCTAGCCAGCTCTTGCTGCCAGGGAACACCTTATTCGACTTTCCGCATGAAATTCCCCTCCGGAATTCATCTCATTTTCGTTTGTTTTTTAACGTTAACGCTGATGACAGTCTAACGGCGAGTAAAAACAGGCCTAGCGATCGTCTTGACTTTCGTAGCTTGCATTTTCCTTCTTTTTCTTCCAAGCAATTGCACTCTTTGCAGCACCTCGCATTTCAAACAAAATTCAAATTACCAGTAGATCTCAGGAGCCAATTCAGGCAGTCCAACTATCAACCCATCTCTAATTTCTCTAATCTAATCTCTACTGACGCTAACCAACCTACGATTTCATGATCGTCAATTAAAACCAACTGCAAATCAACAAATAATACACAATCGTTTCTTGGTTAGCATATCATTTTCTCATTACTGCGATCCTTTCATACAGACTTTGCGGAACACACTTATTGAAGATCTTTTGCATTCGTAATCAGTTGAGCCAGCTGAATTTGTGTATATCGATAAAATCGTAAAACAATTATATCTCCTTCGCCAGTAGATAGGCATTTCTCGCTTTGACTGCGTGAAAGAGAGGTAAAAGAGAAACAGGAGGCGGGCAATTGACGCCGTGAGCGCGGTTAGAAAGGTGAGCGTCGAGAGCGAAATAAGGGGGTAAAGTAGGTGGAGATTGCCGGCTTCGCTCTGCCAATCGCAACTCTATTTTCCAGTGGCGCGCGCTTTTTTCCAATTCGCACGCGCCAATCGTATAGCGCATGCTTATGTTTTAGTTCAATGCTATCGTGCGGATTATGAAAGGATCCTTTTGTATTTCTTTTCTTACGTTCCTTTTGCAAATGGTCATTGAGGTTTATTTAGTACGCTCGAACCTTTCGCTTTCAGTAGTTTACACATTAAACTTGGAAATCTGTTTGTTTATTGTCATGTGGCACAATGCGTAACTTAAACAGAACCCCAATGGAAATTTATCTATAGAAGCGGGAAACATATCTTTCAGTAGAATTAAATACTTTGGATCTCATCAAATGTCGATTTTCATTTTTATTTTGTCACCTTATAACCAAAAATACTGTCGAATAGTCGGTGAATATTTCTGCTTCAAAAACAACCAAATACTTACTGTTTTTTTGCTCTAATTGAAATTATTATCATTATTATTAGGAATACACAAGCGCGCGTGCATATTATAAACTCATTGAAACTCTTGGATATGCTAGTTTTGAGATGTGATATTTTTCATCCATTCTCGTTTCTTACTGATTAACTTCTTTCATTGTTCATCAAACTGTAGCTTTATCGTCGATTCGCCAAGTATCCATTTACATTTGAAAACTTCAAGTAAAAACTTCCGTAATTACAGCAATTCCTGCAGTTCTATAACTAAAATATGTAATATTTTCATAAATATATTGTTATATTTTATGGAAATTAATTTGATCTGAAAATACGTCCATTGATGAGAATTATCTCCTTGCCATCATACATTTTGAATAGATGAGATATTTCACAATCAGAAGTGTTGCCAAATCTTGTTGGAAACAAGTACAATTTTTTCACTCTTTACTTGAGACAAGCAAAATATCCTGAAAATTCTTTTTCTCGTTGTATAGAGTCGAATGGCTTTTTTACGCGTGGTATCCAAATATTTCCTTGTAAATAATATCAACATGCACACATAAATGTGATACGAAGACGAGAAAATTCATACGGTAAATATATGAATACCGTAAGAACAAAGCGAGCAAAGCAATCAAAGTTACATATATAAAAAAATAATATAAGAATAGCAAGAGCACAGCAATACCATGAACGGACCAGAGAGTGAGAGAAAGAGAGACAAAGAAGCTGCTTGTAGACGCGAAAAACCTGAAAGGAAATCGTCGGTTGCGCCAATCGTGGCTGCGAGTATACCGCTACGCATTTGCATTCGTGTCATATACGCCAATGGCGTTTATAAAACGTGGGCGTATCGTGTGTAAACGGTGCCAAAGTCGAGCCTTTGGTGTAAAATTTTTCGGTCAAATTATACGCATGGGTGATGCAATCGACGCGAATAAAACGGAAACTATACCTTCTCGTTTGCAAAAAATCTCTCTCTCGATATATGTGCACATACACGGGCAGACAGAATTTCGCACGTAGGCGAAGTTTTTGGTTCACCAACTCTCTCTAAGATGACTTTGTGTTAAAACGTAGAAAAACCTACATTAATTATTGTGCATATAATTAAAATACTATATGTATACAGGTGCGCAGAAAATGTCGGTGCATGCGCCTTTTTTCAACAAACGGCCTGTAAACTTTATAATCGGACTCGCTCTGTAACAGAGAAAGAGAGACTTGTATAATTCGTACTCTTAAAACGTTACTTCCTTTCGTCAACCGACATTTTCGTGCTGTGCATTTGACGAGATGAGTTATGCGCTATGTGCGTTTTCTTTTGCGATGACCAAGTCTACTTTCTGAGGATGAATGTATATATTTTTTTGGAACCAGATTTCATTGCAGATTATGAACATCGCTTATTTTGACGTTATTACTTCATTGTAGTTGACCGACTTAATATGCGATAATAGTTGTTGCTTTCGAGAGATTTTAATTTGAAATATGAAGAAATATGATGACACTGGCGAAAAAAGATTATTTATTTATTAAATATCGAAACCTATAAGTTTTTATAATTTTTCTATAATTAATTAATCAATTCATCAATAAACCGACTTAAAATTTAAGAAGCATGCCTGAAAATGCGTCCACAGCGTTGATATCACGTTTTATTCGTTAAGTCTTAATCGCGGCTTACACCGTATAGAAATCAATTAATTTTGAATATCCAAATGTTATTATCAGAGTGGTAGGTAGAACTCGGTATAAAATGCGTTCAATTACGACCATTGACTAAACATTATCGCGAAAAATTCTTTTGAAGTCATCCAAAATAACTTGCTACAGAACATCGAAAAAGTTTATTTCCGTTTGACTCCTTTTTCGGACGGAGCTTTTATCATTATACACAGTTCAGACTTGAATCTCCCGGCTAAAATTGAAAATGACAAAACAAAACGAAAAAAGAATCGTTTCTATTCTTGAAAATATATTGTCGATCCAAAACGGAAAGTCCAAATTAAAAACAAGAGAGCTTGCAGCTCAAACATAAGCTACGTGATAGAAGTAAACGGTTAATCTTGTATTTTCGCGAGCTTGCAAGCTTCGGCCACGTCGAAGCATGCGCGCGCGTATCGGGTTACAATTGCAAGCAAACTTCCTTTTAAAGCTCATATTTCCAACTTCCAATTTGGTCGGACGGTAAAGTCCGAAAATAGTCGAGTAAGTTACGCACACAAGCGCACGGAAAGGCGGGGAGGAAGCTAAGAAGGCGCGCACGTGCGCCCCACCCGCGCACAGCCCGACGACGAGTCAAACTGCCGCGGCAGGCTCTCGATTTGACTCTTGTGAACGATCTCTCAGTCATCCCGGCGTCGTTCGACTGTCGCGCGCGCATTAATGTTGCCGGAAAGTCAGTTTCCCGTCACAGGTATATCAATCGCCAATCGAAAAGTGCCCAATTCAATCATCAGTGTTTTTTTTTCATTTAAATGGTGTGCGTGTGATTGTGTACCGTTATGTGCAACTCTATTCTTATACTAGCGAGCTCACACTAAGAAAATTAAAGAATATCCGACAAGATGACAATTCGCCGGGTGGCGTAATCCCAAATACGGCCTGAGAAATTTGAGAGAGAACCGAAAATAGTGGCGCACGGCCAAACGTTCTCTCTCTCTCTCTCTCTCTCTCTCTCTCTCTCTCTCTCTCTCTCTATCGCGCTCTCGGACTAACTAAAAATAGCCAAAAAATAAATTGTACGTTACGCGGGTAACAGCAGCCACTAGATGATTCGGATTTTCTATTTGCACCATGGCCGCCACCCGCGACTTGCCTGAATGTTGATATTATCGTTAGTGAGGGAAGCTTTTCTAACAGGACACTTTAGGAAGAACGTTGTCAGTTTAATAGATCATTTATGAGCCAATAGTGATTGGTTATGTAAATGTGCACTAATGCGTAAGCGCATTGATGCTTCGTTCCTTTCGTATTTGCTGAATATTTAAGAAATCGAGGATAAAATATTTGGATAAAACCATTTGAGCTTGATGTTGTTCTCTGAAATTTTTTATTAATAATATTGGATTGATTTGTGAAAACTTGTGCTGTTTTTCGTCAATTGAAAATCATTGGCCGTTCAGTAACGTACTGTAGTTATGTGCGACATTAAATGTCACGAATAGTGAATAAAAAGCCACCACGAACATTCGAAAATTCTATTGTCTGCATCTTTGTTGAAGATTATGAAACGCATTATCGCATAGGATGACTAATTGGATAAGAGATGACGAGTAAAAAAGGGGAGAGCGTATATAGGCGCAGATGCAACTGAACGCGAGGTCAACGAACCTTTTACCATTTTTCTTTTACCCTTATGCAAGATCAACATAAAATATACGGGCCAATAAACGTGTAATTCTCTATAATCGATGACTTTCAAATTTATCTCGAGAATTGTCTTCTCGGATAGAATAAACCAAATGTCAGCAATGAACAGCGCGCTTGTATAAAAAATTAAGATATGACTTCATTTTTGTATACTTTCTCGTCTTAGTCGGGCATTAAAAAATTCTGGTTTGTTTCGCTTGCATAAATATTATTTGAGCTTGAAAGTCTGCGAGACAAGAATAAATACCGACGCGGCGAGTGCGTGTAGTTTTGCAATATCGTCAGTTAGATTCATAGCGTGACCATTTTACCACGAATCCCCAAAGAAACATTCCAAGAAAACTCCTAAAAATACGTTGGTTTTTTCCGTTTGCTGTTACATAGGGGGCATTATGCAAACTGAGGAAGTCGTGCCCTGCGCGCAATCGACGAGGTTAGAAGATTTGGCAACGACAGAACGTCTTCAACAACAGCAACCAGCATCGCTTCGCTTTTGTCCAGCGGTGCAATCATTTCACTTGCCTTATAATCCACTCGTGAGCATGGCTGTGAAGCAAGAACCACAGGAACACGAGGACGAACGTGCACGACAGTCCAGCACGCTCAGGTATATTATTGTCGATTCAATTTTCAAGACAGTCAATTAACCGATGCTTCGTTTGGTTTTGTTACATTACAGCGCGCAAACCGAGCATGAAGACGTACCGATTGAGCAGCACAAGTGCCAAAGCACAGCTGCTAGCGAACAGTCCAGTCCCGAGTTCGAGGTGCCGTCAGTCGTTCCAGCCACGGTGGCTTGCCAGCAGAATGGTTGCAAGAAACTACCCAGGTAACGTATATTGATCATCGACTCTACATTTTAGGGATTTTTACGCTAATTTCCTACGGATGACGTACACGTAGCTACAATAATTACAGCGGTACCTGCAGAAAATCCCGCTGGAAGCTCAAGTTTCACCACCAGGCTTTGCCATCCGAGTACTTGGATCACTACGAAGCAGCTCTAGCTCAGGAAGCAGCGTTTAACTCGGTAGCCCCCACAACGGAATCTCGAGTGGCAAGTCCTTTACCACCACAACCATTACCACCACAAGTTTCACCATCAGTGAATGTCGACGTGCAATCGTGGTTACAAAGACTCGCAGCGATGCAGAGTGAATTATACTCGGTACCAGTGCAATCTCAACCACAAGTAGCTTCGTCGAGAAGATCGGTCATAACATCAACGCAGCATGTGCAGCAACAACCGAGGCCACCGATGAAATATTCGGATCTACCTTACATGGGTGAAATCACACTTGATAATAGCAAACCAAGGCGAGGAAGAAAACCGAAGAAGGCTGACATTTGCCACTTGATTTACAAGAATTACGGGACAATTTTGCCGGGAACACCTGGTTTAGAGGATAGATCGAAGTTGCCGCAGGAGAGGATCGACGTTAGTAAAGAGCCTACGCCAGTGGCGACTGCAGTTTCCGCATTACAACGTACGGATATACAGAATAGAATCAGTAGTTTGCTAGAAAAACGATTGACGCAGGATCGACGTGCTTTGGAGTCGGTCGAGCAGGAAGAGCCGATGAATCTCTGCATCAGAGATTTAAACTTGCTGAAGATAAGATTAGGCGATAGACAGCAGTCGAGTGCGTTTGGTTCTTGTAATTCGAAAAGTGACGGTTCAAGTGATCCTGAAGATGTTGAATATCTTGGACCTACGGAACACGATCAGGAGTCTAAAAGTGCCGAAAATAATAGTCAGACGTTTGGCAGTAATGAGAACAGCGAGAGTAATGGTGTTATCGAAAACTCAACGTCTAAAGTTAATCCTAACTTGCTTTACTGGCCCAACACCAACGTATTCCTTCATCCTGTGGCTCTGCAATCACAGTTTATGTATTATCAGAAACTAGCTCAAGAGAAGGGTTTACCACCGAATCCTGAGGCATCGAAAGATCAACAGGTTCAGCAGCAGCAACATCAGCAACATCATCATCATCAGCAGCAGCAGCTGCAGCAGCAGCAGCAGCAGCAGCAGCATCAGCAGCATCAGCAGCATCAGCAGCAACATCAGCAGCACCAGCACCAGCACCAGCACCAGCACCAGAGGATCGTACCAAAATCGATATACTCGATGTTGGAAACGCATAAATCAACGGAACCAGTTCAAGAACAAAGTATGTTGTCACCAAGACCAAAACGAAACTCAACGTCGTCGAGTCAGTCACAATCGCAGCCGATGAAGCGTAAACGCTCAGCAATCTTTATCCCACCAATGCCTACCGAGAATAACAACAATCCTGCAACTGAAGTTAGTATTTGTAAGTTCAAATTTACTGGTGGCGCCAAGCCAAGTTTGCAGGAGAAGAAAAGTTTGTCCGTAGATTCGGGTGGTAATTTTCGTTACTACAGTGGCACCGGTGACAAGAGTATGCGAGGTTATGAGTTTTTTCCTCGAGAGGCACTGCAGCAACCAGCCAATCAACCAACCAATAACACTGGGGTGTTTTTAAAGGCGACTGCCGAGAGAATTCAACCAGCAATGACACCATGCCCAAGACCGGTATCGGTGTGCTCAACAGACGACAGTCGTAGTAGAAAGAGGAAGACTAGAAAAAGTATGCAAAGGGAGAAACTCGAGCAGACTTTTAAAGAAAAAGGGTTTCTCATTCAGACTCAACAACTGGAGTCTGCAGAGGGTGCCACTTACTGTAAGTTTCGTCAGTTACGGAAATTCACGAGATATCTGTTCCGTAGTTGGAAGGATTATTTACCTGGTGAATTGACGGAATCAGATGCTGCTGCTGCTCAAGCTGCGGCGAATGAGCTGCAACAAAATTTCATCGAGCCAAGTTTTAACTGACCTGCATTTAATGTGCGGTGCGCGCGCAATGCATTGTGTATATATTTTGCAATTGTGCAGTGACAGCTATTGTTGAGCCGTGAATCTTAAAGTGTTGTACACACACACACACACACACACACACACACACACACACACACACACACACACACACACACACACACACACACACACATGCTGAAAGAATGTGTATGTTATGCTTGTTATTATTTGAGCAGATGAGATGTGTCATTACAAATGGGAAATTGTAAATATTATCTTTTAAAAACGTTCGATTATGCGGGCATGCGAAAGCTCATTTATTCTTTCATGTTTTTTACTAAAAACGATATTTTTTATTTTTTCGCATCGCATTCAGTGCATTGTTTATCGTTGTATTTTAATAATTAATCGTGGTCTTCGCGCACTTTGTAAATAAATTCGTGTAAATATATATAAGCCTACGTTATAATGTGTGAGTGACAATGATAAACTTAGAAATGAAACAAGTGCATTTTTCTTGAAATGAGTGTAATTAAATGCCGTGCCAAAGACAAGAGACTGTTGTGTTGAGAATTTTCGAAAGTGTGTTCACCAAAGAGATACATATGTGTTTTATTTGTATATATTAAACAATAGGAGCGTCTATGCAAGAGAGCGACCGAAAGAACGAATAAAATCTAGTCCCCGTTTGTACTTTGTTAAAACAAAGCCGTTTCTCAAGTGCTTGATGGATTCAATGATGTATCAAGGATATGTAAATGGGCTTTTATTTTCTATAAATATATATACGCGCGAAAAATCGATAAATTAACCGATGGTTTGCAATAAAACACTTTGTTACTAATAACTACTCGAAAGTCTGTCACCTTATTCAATACATGGATAATTATTTTTTAGCGGGCTGAGAGATGCAGAAACATATTATAAACGGTGCACACGTGCGTATATGCATACGTATGTATGCAAGAGAGAAAGGAGCCGTATGAAAGAAAGGATTCCCATTCATACATATACGTCCATTCAGGCACCTCTTGCTCACCTTGAAGACCTTTTTCTTTCTCTCTCGAGAGTAACAGCCCGATAGACATCTTCCACCCAGACTCTTCTTTCTCCGTCTCTCTCCTCTTCTCTCTCTCTCTCTCTCTCTCTCTCTCTCTCTCTCTCTCTCTCTAGTCACCTTCATTATGATCTTTGCCCTGTTCTTCTTATATCCATCCTTTGTTTACCTTTCGATGTTCTCAGCTTGAAGATTACACGACGAATATACTAAAAAATATATAAATGCTCCTTTACATATGCAAACATATGGCAAGACAATAAAAATTTGAATGACGCTTCGGAGCATTACTTTTAAATTATTCAGTAGCTTTCGAATACAGTTTTTTCATTTAATCGAAAGTAGTGTGAGAACACAATGACAGATATGTATACAGTGTGATGTTTTGCACTTATATCGAATGAATATTCAATCACGATTACTCATCTTGCCTGCGAAGATTAAAGTCTTTCAACAAATCTTTAACCGAAAATCGAGCCAAAATACAAATTTATTTCCATATTCAACAGATAAAAAAGTACAACACCCATAAACTCGCATGCCCATCGATAAAGTTCTGATTACAGTTTTAAAGTATGTTATCAACATCCATCGTATGCCTTCAAACAATCGCTTAGAAATACGAAATCCAATAATCAACATTGAAAGCGCGCAACGTTGTATTGTTTCGTTGCTTTTTTTCACGCGCCTCGCAGATTCCCTAATACGGAACGTCAGTGTCGAAAAAGAGAAAAGAAGAAACGAAAGACTTTTGAGCGTTCCTCTAATACTCCTTTAATTAAGTGTATGCCACCCACTCGCTATTGCGAGCGAACGATGGCCGATAGGCATGTGCGTCTGTGTGTGCTATGTGCACGCGAGACAAATTGAACTTTTTCGCTGGCGAACCTGTCTCCCCCCTTTCCATGGTAGAAGTACACATGAGAGGGAGAGAGAGAGAGAGAGAGAGAGAAAGAGAGAGAGAGAGCGATCCTTCGTCTACCCGTGAGTCTGCGAGCTGAGGAGCTGAGGCCTGTAATCTTCGCGTGCATGTTATATCTTTTTACTTGACGCTTAAAGGAAAACGGGTTTTCGCTGTGATTTTTTATTTCGACCATGCGCGCGAGATCTTCGCAGGTATTACTTACTTTAAAAGCCTCGTTTTATACATACATATGCAAAGCTACGTATTCGAATAGTTCGCTTATATACAATGTTATATCGCTCGACTGGTTCCTCTTTTTATTCGGTTCGCTGGATTTAAATAAGACCTCACTCGATATCCTTTTTTTTTTGTTTCTGGATCGTTGACTGCGGAGATATATGGTAAGAAACTTTCTATTCAAAATGTTATTTTTATAACTACATCGTTATCTTACACTGAACATAAGGTTTCATGCACGAACGAGACAGTACTAAATTTAACTTGGCTGATACTTTGACACGTCGATAAACTTGCTTTTCTGTAACGAATAAGAAATTGAAGATGGCGTAATTGTTTTCATTAATGTGCCGTAAAAATATTTTAGGTAGAAAACCTAAAATCAAAAATAAAAAAAAACAAAAACTTTTTAATTTTCACCAAATAGGCAGCAACTGAAAAAAATGACATTATCTTTGTCGTGTCTTCATCATCTAATGATTTATTTAAGAGTCGCGTGACGGAGAAAAAAAAGAGCGTGGGCTGCGTATCGGCAGTACGTTGATTGAAATTACATGACGCGTACAGGCGACGATGTGTCATTTGACGACACCGTGCTGGCACAACGGAACAATCGATATTAATTAATAAATTATTAGATGGCAAGTATATTGTACCTTGATACAAGAAAACGATCATTGGAAAAAAAGGGAAGGTGAAACGAGTATAGGGAATAAATAAATAAATATATATATATATATATATATATATATATATATATATATATACATAACCGGAACTCTCATCGCCTACGCACTTTCAACGTTCGTTTGATACTGATTGCGAGCAAAAAACGCAAAAGCGAGAAGAAAGGCTGTATTATTGCTCGGTTATTATTAAAATACTGATAAAAATAAAGCCTTTGGCTGCGATGCAAAAGGCAAAAATATTAAAGTTTATGATTTTTACTTGCTACTTTCAAACGGTAGCAGCATGTGAACAATTTGCCATTATCAAGATGTTTCAAAAATCACAGTATCGTTCTCGCAGACGTACGCTTTTCTATTCCTGAAGTACAAGGACAATAAATCTTCATAATAGATCTTGAAACCTTTCTTAATTAATCTGACATGAGTTTGGAGCCGGCTGCCAAGGTGAGATCATCGTAATAAGGTAATGTTTTATCGGAAGCCTGTAAATATACTTTATTTGGTGATACATCTTTAGGAAGTTAGGAGTCGTTGAATATCTCTTGCTGAGATGGCAATTTCATTGTACCGTCTAGCATAGCCGCGACCTACTCCGCCTATTGATAATTAAATTGTCATTTAAACGAGATGCTTTATGAATATTATTAATTTATCGCAGCGTTGCTGTTGTTTTACTCGAGCGTAAGGTACCAAAAATGGGTAACCAGGATGAGGCAAGCCAATGACAGACGTACTCGGATGTTCGACGTTGATCAAGTGTGAGTAAAGTGTCCGTACGTATTTGCCTCGGACGACGTTGATACCGGTATTCTTGTCTAAAGCTAAATAAGTATATAGATAGCCCGTGCATAGGACTAGGCTTTGATTCTTGAGCCGTCGCTAAGGATGAATTCGCTGCCGTCGGCTTTCTCCATTCCCGGTTTTTCTTCTACGTTCGAAGGTAATTCTACGCCGAGTCTGACATTTCAACAGAATACAAAGTTTTACTTGTTTCCGAAAGAGAATGACTGGAATTTCGGAATTCGAATAAAAAGCCTATATAAATAGGTTCGGCTGGTTATTCTGCACACTTTAACTTACGGATAATGCCTGTGGCTGATGTAAACCTTCTTGACATATTCGCTTATCTAAATACCAATATCCAGCACCACGACAGTCTGATTACTAAATATCTTTGATATGCGATATGATTTGATGTGCATTACTCGACCACTGAAACTTTCGATTCTCTCGATCTCAGGAATATTCGAATCATTGACATTTCTGCGAGAAATCGGTTATTTTAGTTTCTTCGACGTTTAATAGAAGCTACTCAGTTCCACATTATCGCATATCCAGTGCCCACTATCGCAGCGTCACGTGTTATATCCTAAATTTCATTTCTATTTAGATCTCACAATTAGAAGTACCATTTTTCGTTCGGCTTGGAGTACTTTACTCTTTCAACCCTTGTGCTGAACTGAAAATATATACTAAATTTTATTAATTTTGTGCTTCCTTTCAATTTGTGATTGCTAAATAAAATCTTACTCTCATTAACTGTCGAAGGTCGAAATGTTCGGTGTAGTTTCTCAGATATTGCAGCATAGTTTCATGTCGTACGTAACTGTGATTCTCTCAGTGAAATTCTTGGTAATTCGAGAACGTTTGAAACGGTTGTGGTCCGGTGGGTCTGAAATATCACGAGTTTTATTATTTATACAAGTTCTGGAAAATCAATACTGATAGTGTCATTTACGAAACCACATTTAGATGACGAAGATTCGATCGAAAATCAATTGGAACAATTGCATATCTTACTGCATGTATTTGTAGATATTACTCGGAACTGGCAAACCATGCTCGTCGATATCAGTACTATAAATATAAAGCCACTGTCCTCCGATATTCGCATTTTTGTTAAAAACGATAATTTCGAATTCTTTGCAACTACTAGATAACTTATTCGACGTTAATATTCCATATACACCAGCACCAATTATGCACACTCGTTTGCCTTGGCTGAAATACTTACCATGGACTACGATGATCAGCAAAAATAATAGCCACAATACTGGCCATCTGTGAATAAAAAAACATTTTTTTATTTCATATTTTTTCATATTTTTTTATTTCACTATTACTGTACTTGTAGTACGATTATTAATTTGAAGTTTGAACATTAACAGCCACCTTACTTTCTAGTCAATTTTAGCACGGAATACCTTACAACTGAACAGATAAAACCTGTTAGAATAACTGCCAAAAGAGATTACATTCTGCTTCTTAATATAGCTGCAAATTATTTCTCATTTGTGTGCAATCAAATATTAAAATTTGTTCAAATGTATAATGCTGTTCTGTTCCGTACCACCGTGTTTGTGTTTTCGATGAAAACATTTGAACCGATATTCTTGTTATTATTTTAGGTAATCGTACTTTTGAATACAACTCTGTAGTAGCAATTACACCTGAAACAAATTAGACTTAATCATTTTTCTAAATATTAGATGCAAACGTTATCACTAATGCATACGGGCAATTCAGATAGCAATTGTGAAGCTCAGATCCCTACGAGTTTTTTAACCTTTTAAGGACGGGGATTTTTACGTTAAAATTTGACTTTTTTTTTGCACAATATTTGTGCATAAAATGAAAGAATATGTCACGTGGAGTGCCTGACAAAATTGGTGGTCGATATATTGACCAGTCCCGTCCTTAAAAGGTTAACAAAAAATAAGTTAAAAGTCGAAATTCAAGAGTTTAAAGCAGTTTTATGAAATTATAAAGCTTCAGAGGACGTCAAAGGCCGCATCAGCCATTTCCGGTACAAATACATTTACATGATATAGAACAAAAACATCATACTTAAAATACAGTACCTCTGATAGGAAGGCTCCCGGGAAATTTATGAATTTTTCACGAATTCAAGCTGTTGACAGTAACATGCTTTAAATAAATAGAGTATATGCATTTCATTTGCAAGCAACTCTTTAATGTCTGCCTCATTTATATTGTGTATGATTATGACCATATTCTATATGAACTGAATAATTGTTCAACGCTAATTTTTGAAAAAATGGATAATAACATTTATACCACTGTCGGTGTATCTTTTTAGTGAAAAATTTCTATAAATTATTAACATAACGTTTATTTGACAATATATCGATTTCAATATCTGTTAACAAGTAAACAATAGACTTTAACTATTAATTTAAAAAATTATCATTTTAGAATATTTTTTGTTTGTAATAATGCTTAATCTCTATAGAAACATCAGTCGACTCGCGGTTTTTTCCTCTGAATGTCCAATTTCGTTTTTGTTGATCTATCTTCGCTATTATTAATGATTATTTTACTTAAATTCTTAAACAAACAAGAAGCACACGTGAAAACTGTAGTATCCGAACAATTTTATTTCAAGTCATTTATTCAATTATACGTAAAGATCATGATTCGGTGATATTTTTAATTTGACAGCCTGCTTTGTATTAAGTTTCTCCATCATTCGTTATATATTACATATACAGGAGAGTAAAAAGACGACATAATATTTGCATCAAAGATAAAAAGCTACTATTTCAAAGATAGTTGTAGAAAATGGAGTTTTGACAAATTTTTAATTCAAGCGCAAACATTTATAACATTGTAGGTTTTAATAGGCACGATATAAAAGATTTTCCAATTACCTCGAACGAAAATAAGTATTGGAAATTAAAAATACGCACAGTTACTATTCTTACAGACTGAAAGGTTAGATCATTCTCTTTTTTTATAAAATAAAGTTAATATGAGTTTTCGAAATAAAAATATTTATTATAAAAGTGTTATGTACAAGTAAAACGATTTATGTGTGTGTGTGTGTGTGTGTGTATATCGTTGAAAAATCATATCATTTAATTGTAACTTCGGCTATATCTAACACAGTGTTTAGGCTCATTGGCATCCAGGTTGATCCGTTTTGATTAACAAATATAGTATTCTGATCAATGCATGCTTTAATGTTGCCAATTTTATAGATTTGTTTGCCGTCATGAAAGCGATTATTCATTGGCATAAATAATATGCCTCGCTCTTCACACCTTCGCTCAACAATGTCTTTAAAGCCACTTGGAGCATTGGCGTGATTTGACATAAGTACTTCTTGTAACCTCTGTAAAAAAGGAATATATGATTAGATATTGACTCTGATTATGTGTGCAAAAGTAGCAAATTAACAAAAGCATTACTTCTATCCTTGGTTGTTGCATAGCGGTTACTTGAGGTTGACGCTCCAACGTATTTAAATATGAAACTTGCTCTACTGATCCTGGTTGCAGCACGTCTGACGTGTTCACAGCTCTCATCATCATTTCAAGGGCTTTGCGGAAATGATCTAAAAATGTAACATAGACTTTAGAATTATATTTAAAAAACTATTTAATGAAAAATAAAACGTATACCTTTAATTACTGGTTCAGCAAGGAGTTTATCGCTCAACATTCCTTTCCAACCTGTGTACCAATTAGTGACTTGCTCGTAATTCGGAGTATGATTCAACCATAAACCAAGTGAGTGCAGCCACTTAGGGAAAAAGAATTTATCAAGCAATCCAGTCATACTGTGTATAGGCAGCGTATCTTTCCAATCGTAGACCCAATGCCAATGATCCAAATGCTGCTGATGAGGATTGATAACCAATTCTGACAGAGTCATCTGCAGCTTAGGAAGAATATTTTTAATCAAAAACGCATCCATGTCACCTTTCTTGAACACTTGCTGCCAAGGTTGTAACATGAGTCTTGCAGATTGATCAGATGGATGCCACGCCTGAAGAGCAAAGCTTAGTTTCCTTCTAATTATTGGATATATTTGCGTGTCCATTCGCGTTTCTATAAAATATTTAGACAAATGTTAATAAATGTGTTGATTGAAGAATGAGCTAAATAATAAGCAAAAGTATACTTACTCATCAATGGTAACCATGGGTGAATCCAAGTATGAATTGGAACTGTATCGGTAACTGGATTCCATTCTTCTACTTCTTCTGTTAGTTTTGGAAGAATAATATTCTCAAGAATGTTATCCATGATCCAAGGTGACAAAAGAGGTAACCAGTATTCGAGCAAATCAATCAAACCTTCTGGTTGTCTACAGGCCCATTCTCTGAAAAAAAAGAAATGTTCAATTAATTGTCTATTTAATTAGAATTTAGAAATGTATTTGACATATGAGTAATAGGTTGATACATACTGTACAGTTCTTCGAACACATGGCATCCAAGCATGCCAAATAAGTTGTTCGTATGGATTCATAGATCTAGTTGTTTGATTTAATCGTCCGTATTCTAAAATATCTTTCCACTTCTTAAATAGCTGTAGAGGTAGTTTTGGCTGTAACAATGGCCTCCAATTTTTTAGATAATCTATGGTTTTTGGTATAGCTAAGCTACTAGCCATATCGCCAAGTCCATAAGTCTTGTATTCTTCATAATGTCTTTCTTGTAACTCTTTGAATGCCTCTGCCATTCCTTCTAATGTCATTTTATTGTTATTGTCAACCAAGCTATCAACTATTGCTAATGTGTCTTGTAGTGAATCAATTTTCAGTGCACTCTGGTCTCTGATTGTAGCCAAACTTTCTTTCTCTGCTTGGAGAGCAACAATTCTATCTGCAAGATACCTTTGCTTTCTGTCATTTTGAATTATATTTTGTTCACAGGTGTCAACTATCATATCTAAATTATGCATCAGTTCTGGCAATGAAAAGTTAACACCCTTCTTTTTCTTATCTGTTGATGGTACATCGTCCTCAACTTGATAGCGTTTGGCCAATACTTGGTAACCTTTGAAGATCTTTTGTTCAGGCGTTGTCATATCAATAACATTACATTTCATAATATCTGTATTTATGGCAGGTGTTTTACTATTCCTCAACTTTCCACTTTCAATGACTTCATCAACAGTTTTATACTCGTACTGATTTTTCTTATTGTCTCCCTGTTCCTTTTTTCTCCACTGTGAGGTTTTAGGTTTCTTGGGAATGTCATCTTGAGGCTGGGATTTTAATTCTAATATTTTAGTTTTTTTCTCAGGACCATAAGCTCCAATAGCACCTCTACCTTTACGGAGTTGAGCTTCAATTGGGGCATTGATACCTTGCAAATCTTTCCCTAAACCTTTTCCTGGCACAAAACCCATTTGCAACATCAGTTTTGAACCGATACCTTTTGTATAATTTTCCCAATTGCCAACATTGCTTTGGCTTGCTTGAGTTCTTTTCTTTCTCAGACCAGCAATGTCATTACCAAACATTGCTCTTTGATTCTTGGCTCGTAAACTTGGTCCTTCATCATCGCTATGAAGGTAATTTTAGTTATTTATTAGCTTAGTTAAAATTTATTATAAATATTTTTATACTAATTCTCATAGAAAGTTAAATAAAATTCTTGCTGAACATTAACTGTAAAATTACTATTTTGAAAAATATATATTTAAAAAATATATTACTTATAAGTTCTAAATTATAATTATATTTGATAATATACCTGGAACTGCCTTTATGCCTTGAATTATCATCTTCTTCATCCTCTTCTTCTTCTTCCTTTTTTTCCTTGGGTTTTCCAGCTTGTTGAATTCCACCAGCAACGAAGCCTATTGGTGCAGAGTAATCTTTTCGTGTTTTTGTTCTGCTGAAACTCGGCTTAACTTCCTCTTCATCTTCGCTATCACTTGCCCATATTCCTGAAAATACAAATAATTAGCATTTATAATTCAAAATAAATGTTTCATTAAATAATTGCAAATATTTAACTCAAATGTGTGGTAAAACAATTAAAAATCAGATAAAACGTGGATAAAAATGAGGTAAAAGTGATTTAATTTCAATTTTATTTAACGTATAATAAGGAGAATTAAGGTAGTAGACTAAATTAACATCATACCAAGCATTTGTTGTTTCTTGGACATTTTTCGCCGAACGCGATTCGGATTGAATTCATTATCCAAATCATAATCCGTGATTTTGAAAGCCTCGAACTCTTCATCCGACATTTTGTCAATTTATTTTACTAAAAGTGTCTGCAATCAACTAATTATTAATAATTGTTAAATAAATGTAGAGTGCATTATTATATTTACGTGTAAAAACTTTAGGTTATATTTTGAAATTACAGCAGATCAGATTGCACATCAACCATAAACCGAGAAACGAGAATGAAAAGAATTGATGCGCATATATATATATATATATATATAAATATCGATGTATCAAAAACAGAAAAAGCCGCGAAATTAAAAATTTCAAAGTTAATATTCAAGTTGTTTATTATTACAGATATATTAGAGCATAATTCAAATTCATAATAATATATTTAAAAGAAAATTAAAAAATCCGATAAAATTAATGTTTTCAATTTTGTAAAAAAATTTAAGGAAAGAGAAAATTCAAAATTAAATAATCAAAATGTTATGCTTATTAAAATATATCTTTATTCAAGTTTTAAATTACAGCAAACAAACAAAATTTTTTTCATATACTTTGCCATTTAGAATGATGAACGGAGGTATTTTTTCAATAAATAAATGATATTAGTGATGTAGCAAAGTGTATGGTTGTAATTTAAAAACTTACAATTAGTGATATTCGAAATATTAAACAATGAAAATTGAAATAGTTGTTGGCTTGTAAAAGCCGTTCTAATAAAGACGTCGTCATGAAACTTTTTTCTCAATGTACTCGAAATAAGCTTTACTTGTTCCAAAATTTCAAATAAAGCCTCGAAAAGCCACCGTTGATATAATACTATATTTATTGATAAGATTTAGTGCGATTTATAATTCTATACTTTAGAGCGAACAAAAATATTTGTTAGGGTCCGGGCATGTTTGATTCGTTATCAAAATCGTGGTCGCGGTAGCGATACGCAAGCCAGTAGCATAAGGGTCTGTCTCCATAGGGCCTGCCTGAGTCCGTCCGAGCCGGCCGAGATTTTTTATGGGCACGCCATCTCTATAATTTCGTATCCAATGGCGAGTTTCATAGTGAATGACTGCGTTTACATAAACGAGCCCGATCGGACGCAGCCAATACGAGAAACGCATGAACACGAAATTATAGAGATGGCGTGCCCATAAAAAATCTCGGCTGGCTCGGACGGACTCAGGCAGGCCCTATGGAGACAGACCCTAAAATAGCTATGAAGCCGAGGATCTCGTTCAAGGGTCTTACTGTGATGATGGTCACGTGCACTTAGACGTTGCGCAGTACATTGTGCACAGATCTGTCCGTCACAAGGGGAATATTAATATTGTCAATGGAGTAACTGATCGATGTTAATTAGTTTTGTGACGGACACGACAACGCATAATGTACCGCGCAACGTCCAAGTGCGCATGACCGATATCACAGTAAGGCTCCTGGTCGAACTAAACTTGGATCAAGTCGAAGACATGCGCTGCACAGTTCTATGCTACAAAAAAACTATGGAATATATAGTTGCTATTGGCCACTAACTTCGAGAGAACCCCGGCAGGGGCGTTATTGAAGTAACCGCTCCAAGTGCTCCAAGTGATCGATTTATTTAGATACGTAATGTTTTAGACATGCTATTATTACATTAAGTGACATCATAATTTGTTTAAAATATTGTTTATTATAAAAATAATCATCCTTGCAATAATAAATAGTAAAGTAGGTTAAATAAATTAAATAATACACAAAAAATCATTTTATTCGTTTTAATGTAGTGTAAAATTCGTATGCTCGTTTGAATAATAATTCGATTTTATTTTGTGTTTTACAAATAAATGAATATCACTCTCAATTTTTAAAACTAATTAATATTTTTTTCAATACATGCATACACGTATACAAACTCATAATACATAAGTTAAAATAAATTGACATTGTATACTGTGAATCTTTGAACACTTTGATGGATCTATATCGGATACATCGGATAAATCTGAGAATCAGATAAGACTGTAAATCTCGAGGCCTATAATAAAAGGTCAACGTCGTAGAAGAATCAGTCAAACGAACGAGCTAACGTTGTTATAAACTACGTGTTCGAAATAAAATATCACACATAACTAATACAGCGAAATTGGATTTTGATCGTCGTAAAGGAAAGTCGAGCATGAGAGAAGAAAGACAAGTGCGGGCAATGTAAATATATTAGCGTTATAAAAAACGTGTGTATGTGTTGTTAGGGACGCTCTTTTCAATTCTTTTTTGCAATTTAATCTCGTTTCTGCGGCAAGGACGTTGTCAGCTGCGCTGTGCTATATACTTCAGCAGTCATGAATTTCGCAAGCATTCGTTATACGTGAAATTCACATAATCACTGATGATTATCGTGTGCCAGTCATTAACTGTTTTGGCATAATCTTCATAATTTTTTTTTGTCGGTAACGGTTTCAGTTCTTAGACGTGAGTACGAGGAACGATGAATATGAATGACGAATAAAACGCATCTTTGATATTTCAAATTACCTTCCGTAATCCCGCTGAATCTCGAATAGTCAAATATTCTATTGACTCCAAATAAAAATCAAATGTAGATTTATTTATTTATTTTCAATTGGTCGTTTGTAGATAAGCCTGCAAATGAACAGTCGGAGTAAGAACCAAAATACGCGCTTCAAAAGTCCAAAGAGCAGATGAGAGCTACGCCGCGCGTCGTCCAATGTGCTGGTGGTTCACGACTCGGGATTTCCATGGAGAGTACGAAGTTGGTCGAGTGTCCGGTGGTACTGAGAGTGCCAGCGCGCAATACCGTTTTGTAAACTGGACATTCGTAAATGCCAGTCGTGGCTTTCTGATGGTTCACCTCTGGTATCATCAAGATAGGCCGCATTTCTGTTGATTGGTTATTTTCTTGATAATTATTTTCTTCATAGACATTGAAGTGGCAAACAATCGAAACCTAGGTTTTGCGCAATAAAAGCTTGAGTACTTTTTATTTTTGAAATGGTGCAAGCTATAAAGTAGTCAGGTTCTCTTCCGCTAGAAGTTAGTACTCTTCAAATGAATGGAACATTTAACGGAGCTCCCAATTGCGCAGAACCCTTCGGTTAATTGGCGCCAATTTAACGAAATACTTGTGAATGCTCTCGCAGCGTCAAGTGGCATAAGTCAACCGTAAACTGTTCACCTAGACTTTGAAGCGCAAAGGGGAATTCGTTCCATGAACGAATCGGAAAAAGAAATACACGCGAATAAATCTGCCGTGGATGATAGTAGCGATTATCACCGGTCATTTACTCGTACAGAAAGTACCTGTAGAAGTGTCTCGAGCAAAACAAAAGTTGTATTGTTTAAACAATTTTCTGATAGACTGATAGTGAATTGATGCAATGTAAAGTAACGTGAATTATATTATAAACGAGTAAACGTATAAAAGCGCACCAGTAAATAATTCCTTGGGCAATGATTCAGCAAGTGACTCGCCATCCCAACGGCATCCCTCGAGAAACAGGCCGTAAACAGCGCAGCCATTGCTAGGTCGACTAATCGGCTTATCCTTCAGCACCTGCTTCGCCACGTACGCGTCATACACTCGCAAATGTAAAACCGAATGAAAACTTTCCGAAGTCGAATGAGTTGCGCCTACCTCGAAAGCAAAATCAATCGAGTCTATAGAAACCCTGTGCTTCCGTGCGAAGTTCTGCAGAGTGCCGGTGAGAAAAGCTTGCGGAAAGTAGAAGCCGGAGATCCAGAAAGCCGTCGGTATACCGCCGTCTTGCCAGCTCTTTATAAACTTGATGCGCTCGTTGAGGTCGACAACCCAGGCTCCTTTCGAGGTGTATAGCTCATACGTGTCAGCCATGGTCGAGTAGAGGCTTTTCAATGCATCTATATTTACCGAGAGGTTTGAGTGACGCGAAGCCGCGGCTTTGCCAGTTTTGAGGTACGCGATTGATGTACAGACTAGCAGCCATCGCCTCCAACTTCTCTGACATTACCACTAAGCCTTTCAAAGCTCGGTCTAAAGCTTGCAAGCTGCTCGCCATCTCGCCAACAAGTCCATTGTAGCGCTCGGCTTCCTGGTAGAGCACTGTATTCAGTGACTCCTCGTACGAGACTGGATACCTGACAACATTTTAAAACCACGTTTAAAGCCTTTTCATGCTCAAGCAAAACTTGTTTGCTGCAGAGTCGAGAAGTACATCCCGAAAAGTTATTCGGAATAAAGATAAAGCGATTCCGCAATCATTTTCTGAGCAACGTAAGCACTTGAGGGCTCTTATCAATACCCGTAGCACGCTAAATAGAAAGCAAATGTCCTGGTTTCCCTTCAATGCTTTGTCCCAACCAAGTTTATTTGTCACACGAATAGAAAATAATCGATAAATATTAACGTCAAGATTACGACTATTTTACGAACAATTTTTCCTGTAAATAAGGAGTATATAAAATAGTTCTACTTGCTATGGATATTTGCTGATTGATTTCTTTTCGACTGCCAACTATCACCTTTTCGCTTATGCACATTAGTTAGGCAAGCGCCGCTAATTTCACGTCATTTATTGTTAGTGTGGTATTTAATACTAGTGGGATGGGTGGCACAGAGCTATCTATCACCTATTATCCTACTTATGGGATATTGATGCTATTGTTGCTGCAGTTGCTTACGTCTTCGATGAATGACGTTTCTATGTAAGTGCAAATGCAACGCATGCGTAATTTATCATCTAATTGCCAATTGAAAATTCTAAGGATAATCGAAATTGGTATCCTCTCGTTAACATGGTCGCATAGAATTGCGAATTAATAGAATTCCTAAATTCACTTGATGCCAGTGAACAGCTCGTCTGAATATCCGAATCGTCAATAATATCGATTGCCAAGCTACTGTGGAAAGAAAATTATTCTTGCTCAGCTTTTCACAGCAGACAGTAAAATTTTAAATGATACTAAAATGACATAAAACGTGCAATGAAAAACTTGAAAAGATTGGCAGCTAAGAAATTTGTTCGAGATAAGAAAACTAATAGACCTAAGTAGTAGTTTGATACAAAACACGCCTATTGGCTGTTGAATGTACCGACTTACCTTTCCTGGATGTTTCTCAGGCTGAATTGTTTAGGTAAGCTTTCCAATATGCTTTGCGCAAGAGCAGCGACAACCTCGTCCATTCCGCTAACAGCACTTCCAATTTCACGCGGCTGTAAAACGAGAAGCGTAGCCAGGCAGGCATAGGTTTCCGCTTGAGCGTAGCTTATATCGGCGTTTGCGTGCAAGCCAAACAGTCCAGGCTCGTCGTTTATTGGAAATCTCTTAACGACATCCACGTATTCTGGCAATTCCGTGTCCGTTGCTGGCTACAAGAGAGAACCATTGGTTCAATTAACAATTGCGATGATAAATGGCTTGTGGAATTTAGCATTCGCGGGATGCTGAATGGCTCTTGAAAGTATACTTGAAGACTCGTTAAGATTGTTATATCACACTGTATGATATACATGCACCTAGCTAGGAAAAGCGTCAATTAAAGAATATTATTGAATAAGAATGACATAAGAGGCATTCGAACGAATAATCAAATGATAATTATTACAACTACAACCCATCGTAATCATTTATTAATAAATTATCGGAGAATTCGGTCAAAATAGAAACGTACAATGTAAGCATATACTATGAGTAATATCATCGAATAGCAACATTCTAATAAAACTAGCTGGTTAAACGTTTCCAGAAAAAAAATAGATGCTTGCAAAATAGCTGTATCTAGCATCGTTTAGATTTTTAAAAGAGTGGCATGCTCGTTAAATATGTTACGAGCGAAAAATCCTGCACTTTCCTATATCCCTGCCGTAAAGACGTAAAGACCATACAAGAGAAAAAACTGATAACATATCTGAAAAGCTAGATGACCAGCCGATTTGAAATTTGTGTGCCGAAATGAAATGTTACAAGTTTAGCGATGCGTGTATTTACTTGAACGTAATTCCCATGCGGGTCGAACTTGTGCCCGGGTTGCAGCACTCTCTCGTTATAAAAGTATTCGAGTATCGTCAAAACGCATCTTCGATCCCAGTCATCGGTTATTCGGCCGCCGTAATTTATGTGGCCAGCCGTGTAGATCAATACCTTGCTCGGAAATGCATTATCGATTAAATTATCTCGACGAATCGCTCGCAGTTACAAGCATAATTCAGAATGGCTTCTTCAAGTTGCTACGCAGATTTTATTTCAATTGATCGTTGAATTTTCAAAAAATCACATGTTCATCGTTAACGCAACAAACATTAGAGAGTCTAATCAGTTTTACTCGACACTGAAAAAGTAATGACTTGTACTTATGACATTTAAAGTTACCTTGTAAGGCGTCTCGGCGTATTCGAGCAAGAACATACGCAGCTGCGACATGCAAATTTTAAGATCTCCATCGGTGAACTCGTACGGTATATTAAATCCTAGGGGTCCGAATTTACGTCTCTCAAGTAAGACCGAATGAAATAAACACAGAGAATAAACGAGGGGTTTGAAGATGGCGAGCTTCGGATGCTCCGAGGCAAAGAAGTCCTGCATCTCGCTAACTTGAGTTGAGTAAGCACGAAGTACGTTTGCCTGTTTCCAAGCGGGTCTTGATTAGACAACAATACAACACGAAGATACGAGACGAAAGATGCAGATTAGAGCGAGAGAAGAGAAGAAAGCACGAGACAAACGCTCACCTTGACACCGCGAGGTGGCTCTATAGTCATTTTACTTCCATTCTGTAGGATATTAACGGGAAAAGTAGCGGAGGGCATCGACGTAAGCCATAGACGAAAATCTCGGTGGGTGGTGTCTGGCGGTAACCTTTCCACCAATATCTCCAACGAGGGCATCCAACTTGGTGCCAGGTGGCAATTCTGTAACGTGTATATTACCAATTCAGAGGCTAGCTCGCTTCAATATTGCGAGAGCTTCGCATTCGACCGGTAACTTTTGCGCGATCTATCGACATACTCGCGGCATCCTTTTTCAAGATTGATTTGTGCGTGTGTCTCGTAAAACCTGGTTTGCATGTTCAAGTATAGGTGGTAGAAGAGAGTTGCGATACGTGTCAATTCGCTGCCACATCTCGAATTTGTCTCGAATATTGGCATATTGCAGTGACAATTCGTTTCGAATCTTCGCGTACGAGACTGAGGATAAAACGATAACGGAAATGAAGGAAGCTCTTGTTCCCTCGAATGGTCATTGCGCGACGATTTCGCTCGATGTCAAGTGTAACATGGGTAGCCACGGGAAAAGCGAATTCCCAGAAAGAATTTCGGTACCTGGAAGAACAGCCAGTTGCCAGCTTCGGTCGCATGCTTAAGCATCAATTCAGCACGAGGACCCTGACCTTGACCCAGTGATATTGAGTTGAGCTTCCGCGACATTTTCAACTTTTCAGCGAATTTATACAACTCGGAGGCTGGATCAGTGCCGCTTGATAATACGAAAATCAAGGGTGTCGTACAACTCGATTCGCTGTAGATTGAATCGAGGCCAGTGGTTTGCGGCTCGATAAATCGTTTGCCCAAGAACTTGCTTATGTAACGCTGAATGGCGTTGGTTACTTTGTCGGCGCGCAAACACTTCAATAGGATCATCTTCTCAAGGTCGTTCAGTTCCGACTCCCACGGTTCCGGATATGTTGCTCTAAATTTACTCTTTTATTACTACTATCTTTTCAATGAAAAGTGAAATGATAATGCACACTGTTAACTTTCCCCTCACTTTCTATACGTAGTTTAAGTTTATTTTTATTATGCGCGAACAGCACTTGAATCCGATTTCATCGTAAAATAAAATCAACTTATTTACTCATTACTTTGTTTTCGCGAGTATTGCTTCAAGTCAAGCTTTACCAGCTAAATGTTTATTTGATGATTACTGCTTCTAACGTTATCACGTGAAACGTTAAATCTGAATCTGTGCAACGGCTTCATCACAATTAATGAAAAATATATATTTTGCGTAAACTTGTGTGATATTTAATAAAGGTAAATAATCGATTTCAATTTTCAAGTCTCCTTCAAAAATAACTTACATTTCTGGTTGATCCGCATCGAAAATCTCTTTGAATTGGCGAATCGATTTGTTGAACGAGGGTAAGAAGTTGTAGAACTTGGTTAGCACCTGCAAGGACTGTATTTCCATCCAAGATCGTTGGGTTAGCCAAGCAGTTGCAGGATTTGCCTCTTCCTTGAATAAGAGTTTCTCTTTTGGTTCAATTGCGAAAGAATATTCGACAAGCTGCTTGAGCGTAATTTAATACCGTTGGAGGCTTCGCACCCGACAGTAAGAACCTCCACTCGACAGGATTGATCAGCTCGTCGTGCATTTGAATCCTGATGCATAAAAGGAAAGCGAAATGCAGCTTATGACGCTCGAAGAGACTGCGGCAAACGTTGCCGTAAAGCGAGAACGTGAAGTAACCATTGATATTATTCACGCGAATTGCGACGTCTTCTGTGAAATAAAATTAGGCCGTTGATTAATTAATTCAATTGACCGTGAATGCAATTTAATAAGCAAATTATAAGGTACATTTGCCGAACATGCCTCTTAGCTGGTATTTTTGAATTCAAGTGCGATACTACTGCACAACTTCGTCCCAATTATTTAGTACAGTTATCTGACGAATCTGTCAAGATTTTGAAGGCTACGAAACGCTGATTCACATTTTCGAGACTCTTGTGTACTTCGGCTGAGTAACTATCATTTTTTCAATACGTTCTAAGCGAGCATATAGAATTTCAGCTATCTTATTTTTCACCAAACCAAATTTCCTATATACCATTCGATTCCTTATTTTTTACCCTTTCAAAATTTCTGTAGTGTATGAATTAACCGAATGCCGCTTCGATTACTATTTTTATGGGCGCTTGCATAAACAATGTATAAGCAATTTATGAAAATTACAACTATGTCACTATTGTTTTAGTTTTGAATTTATGAACGGAAGCAAAGTAAAATACATACTGAAAATTTTGACATGCGCAATAAAGGCCACAGAATCAGGAATTTTATATGCCTTTACTGCATATAGGTAACAAAGACATAAATTTTGAATTTTGTTATATTATATTTTAAAGTATTATTCAAAGATATTTTTGAATTATTTTTATGAACTCCATTCTGTTTCAGTTTTTATGATTATCGTATACTTTTGCTTTGAGGACAATTATTTTTTTATCTAAATTTTAATATTATTTTATTTGAGTGAAAACATAGTTTTTAAATGAGTGAGAGAGGGACTGATGTCCAAGCGCCCCCACTCTTTCACTTGCTTAGCTATACGTACTGAGCCCAGACGTGCGCCTAGTATACACACTGTGAGTCACTATGATCCAGAACATACACCGATGCGAAAACAGCCCGACACAAATAACATTTTATAAAAAAAAAATGATCACATCTCACGTATGTTTAATTGTACTTCTCGAACAAATAATTATTTGTTATTGTACCATTATATTTCTCATAAAAAATAAAAAATATCATTATCGATAATTCACCTCCTATTTATTCACATAAAAGACATAATTAAGCAAAAATAAATTCACAGAAAAATTGTACCTTCTGTAGTATGAATTGTACCATCAGTACAATTCTATAAATTTGTTTCTAAAAGAAATAATAGGACAATTACAAATTACCACTAATTGTTACAACTTACAAGGATGTCATCCGGAAATGCACTTTGCGCAGGCGTAGAGCTTTGTAATTGTCCTATTATTTCTTTTAGAAACAAATTTATAGAATTGTACTGATGGTACAATTTAGACAACAGGAGGTACAATTTTTCTGTGAATTTACTTTTGCTTAATTATGTCTTTTATGTGAATAAATAGGAGGTGAATTATCGATAACGATATTTTTTATTTTTTATGAGAAATATAATGGTACAATAACAAATAATTATTTTTTCGAGAAGTACAATTAGACATACGTGAGATGTGATCATTTTTTTTAATAAAATGTTATTTGTGTCGGGGTGTTTTCGCATTGGTAGAACATACATATATCCCTTATACATTAATTCAGAACATAGATAGGTATACTACTGAGCGCAACGGTATGCGGTCGAAACTCTCCTTGCGTCACCCGATCAATTGAAAAAGATGCGCAAAGTCGCTATCATCGCTCTCAAACTCACTAAGCAAGTCCGTATTTGCATACGGACTTTTATAATGAAGGACACATGATAAAATAAGGCAGCCAGTGGGTGGCCAGTGGGCAGCCAGTGGGCCGCCATCGATGCCGAGTCGCGAGACTCTCAAGAGGAGTATTGCTCCCCGCGACTTCTGAGCACGAGCGCGGAGAAAAGCCACAAGGAAGAGGGAAATTTCCGCAGCGCCCGGCCGGCGTCTCTCCTTCTGGCCTCACCCAGACTAAAGGCAGACGTGAGCTAGCTCTCAATCAGCTCTGTATTCTTATTCTTCACAGCTTGATATTCGCGTTAGTTATTCTTTGTTCATTTTTGACCTTTGTCTTACATTTTTTAGTCTCAAGTTCCTCTTTGATTTGTATTTCCATTTAGTGGTACAGTTGCTTCCAACTACTCTTAAGTTATTCAACATTGTAAAGAAAGTCTGATCGCAAATAGAGCTATTTTTTCTATCACTTATTTCTATTTGCCTATTGCCTTAACCCGAACACTAGCCTAGCTTATACTTTTACTAAAATATATTTTTAAAAACTGTAATGTTGATTATAATAAATTTTCAAGCGTCTTGCATGATTTTTACCATCCAAAACTCGTTTTCCAGAACGGATCATATTCGGCAAACTACGAGTAATTCGTGCATGTAAAAGAAAAGTAGTTTGCTGCAAAAATTATAACTCAAGCCACGTCTCATCAAATTGATGATTTGATCGTCCAATTTGATGGTTCAATTCAAAGCGTAGAAGAGTAGCTTCCAAATGAATTGTCCTACGTCAAAAAATGCACTTCCGTTCTAAAGTTATGGCTGTTCGCAAATAGATAGGGCATATTAGGCAAATGTAAATGGTATTATAGCCTCAACAGAGGTCTATAATAATGAATTTAAAATTCAGAGAAATCTACATAAGTTTTGTTCTCTGGTTTGACATGTATAAAGTTGGGGAAAGATCAGTAAATCAAACGGCAAACGAAAATCCATAGGGTTCTATAATCACGGTTAAAAAGAGAGAAATAAGAAAATTATTGCAGTTTACTTTTAGGCTATATTCATTCTTTGCCGGATAATGGTGAAAACTGATTTGCTGCTTAAGATGCATGTATTCAATAAAAAAGAATATTTTAGTAAGAACATTGAATCAGCTAACCATTTTTATCTGCGCTGATGATGCTATTCACGAAGATCCGTACAAACCATTCAAGAGAGTATTGATACATCGTGTCAACTTGTTGCAGATCGAGCAGACAAAAGCAAAGTATCTGCGCTCGCTCAGCAACTGGAATGTAGAGCGAGCGCGCTGAATCGATATCCGCTTGAGTTATCTCCGCAGCTTCGACTTTCAACTATGAGTAAAAAAGACATACGAATGATATATCAAGTATCTACGATAAACTAAATTAACTTCAAATACAAATTATGGAATATTCAAGTGCGGTTTCATGATATAGCTTTTAGCATAGTTTTCGTCACTTATTGATATTTTTTTTTAAATACTTTAAACAGAAAAAAATATTTCTTATATTCTAGTAAAAAATCTATTAGTCAATTTATCAACCGCATTCATTCTTCCATCAAAAAAAAGAGAAAGTGAAAAAAAAACGTACGCGTTTTTTAATTCTTAATCACCGAGATTTTTAGTACAGATAAAGACTACTTCTGGAAGTCTGACCGAATCCCGAGTTGTTCTACTTGTTTACTCGACTGAATAAAAAAACAGACCGTACCGCACAATTTAGAATCTTGGCCATTAACTTTTCTTTATATATTTTTTTCTATTTTCTCAAGCAAATAGTGAGAGGGTGGGGCAAGAGAGTGAGAGCAATCGATATTGGCTTACCTTAATTTGCTCACTTTTGACTTTGGACGCTTCTAGGGTGAGAATAAGATCAAGATCATCCACTGGCGAACCTTCGGATGAGGATAATCTTTGAAGTATGCGATCCTCAATATCCTTCAATTCACGTTTCATCTGAGCCATTGATACAACCAAAGCACTGCGAATCTCTTCGAGTTCGGGCCGTTCTTGCATTACTACCAGAGATAGCATTTGATCCGTTAAAGCACTGCAAACAACAAAGCAAACAACGGAGAAAGAAGAAAGGACACGTGCAAGAAAGTCAATGACGTGGAGCTTTTTTCTCCCATCAAATGGGCGTGTGCGTGCTTTCTAAGGCTTGGCTATTTTTTATGGTTCTTTCTCAATGGGAAAGTTTGCGTTCACGGACTCGAGTATCATGTGTATCGTTCGATACACTTTTACTTGATGTTAAGTTACGCTCCGAAACACGCAATGTTTTCAAAAAACTACGGGCCATTGGATGTCAAGTTGGTAATCCAACAACGTTTTTAAATCAAATTGACATACTCTGAAAAGTTTTAACTATAATAAATTGTGCTCTAATGGTAATTGGCTGAAAATAACGTTGAATTGAGATAATAGCACGTAAATACTAAAACCGCAATTCTCCAGGCTAACCATGATTTTTATGTCTAGTCTCACGCCGGTAGTTCATTGCCATTAAATTAATCAAGATTAATTTGCATCTAAGTTCTTAATTGTATGCAGCAGGATGAACGAGTAGACATAGCAATGCTTTACTGTACGATAAGCCAAGGCCTATTAAAATTGCGCAGCATCGCGACTATTACGGGCTTCTGGTTTTACGGGTGTAGGGCAGCTTTGGTTTTGCTTGGTCAAATTTTACACCGTTGACATTGCATAGTGTTGGAAATACCAGCCAATATCGGAATCTGCTCAGTAACAGCCTCAAATGGCAGTGACATGCGCAACAAATTACCTGGCAGTAAGACTGAAATTCACTAGTAGAACTTTGACTGTTACTTCCGGGGCGTAATGCGGATTGGGTAATTTGGTGGTCAAGTAGAGACGGAAGTCAAAGTTGTACGGCACCGTGCTGTCGCCGATTCGAATGCACAGTTGGCCGGCTTGACGAAAGAGCGAGCGCATGAGAACAGTATCGAGCGATGGCTCCAACTCCAAGCCTACATTTTCAATGAGGCAAATACGACCGAAGCGCACGCAACTCTCAATCACTCGGAGCAAATCCCTGTCCGTCATTCGAACTGTTGACAAGCCGCCTGATTTGCCCTGTGCAATGTTAACGATTCGTGCTTAATTTTAATCTCCCTGGACAATGGACGATTAGGCAAATTGCGCGCACTCTCAGCGAATGACACTGACTATTTTTAGCACGACATTGTCGATGGATGTGCGCATCAATCATTTTTACAAGAGATAACAATCTGAAACTGATGAGACTCACGACATTCTTAATCCAGCGGTTAGCTTGACCTTGGGGATCAATTAGCAGGGGCCAACGCTTTGAGTTGGTCAGAAGTACAGCATTTTCGACCGATAGGGTGTCGCGTGGTAAACCGTCAATCTGCCAATTACGAATTTCTACTGGATCACCCAATACGGAAATTGGACTGCATCCCTTTGTATGGGGCACGCCTTCACCGAGGACGATGTACCACGAGGAGCGCAAGTTTTCACGATAAGTATCCGTGAATGGTGTGAGGTAAGCAACGGCGCCTGAAATCAGAATTTTAATGTCTAATTTTCTCTTGAGAAATCTCATCGTAGGTCAATTCATACTTTTCTTTTAATGTTTATACATGTTTCAAATGAAATGGTCTTACAACATTTTCTAACGAAAGATCAAAAGTTGAATCCATTTTATTACGCGGTAACAAGAGATGACGGCAAGGTTCATGTAGAAACTATTTATACAATTGTATTGATGGACTAAAAAACGATAAGTAAAACGTTGTTTATTCGACATGAAACTACAATAAAATATTCTACCAGTTAATCTCGGGTTTTCTCTTGTGCTTTAGAAAACCACTTTAATTTATTTTCATTTTTAAATAACTCGCCGCAGAATTACTACTTTTTTTTATTTTCGATAGCTATGCATTGCGATGTTAATAGACTTAAAACTTGGATTAAATACCGAGTTAAATGTATTATGAATTTGATAAAGTTATATAATGAGCCACTTGCAGAGTAAACTAGGAATTGGCCAAAAATCGATGGCAAACGTTAGGAGAAGTAAAAAAGGAACAAGCAAATACAGTAGATAAAATTTCTTAAAATGAAAACATTATTTTCAATTTAAAAAAGTCTTAATCTATGAAAAGATTTTTATATTTAATAAATAAACTGACAGTAAAAAAACAGTAAAACGTTTCCATCCCCCCGATAAAGCTAAGATTATTTGAACGTGTAGACTAACGAAACTCGAGTCATCAACTGCGTATTAATTTGTATATCATACCATTTTTTTAAATATACCTTCAAGAGTACACGTTACCGAATCATGAGTAAATGAAATTGGCTTTACTATCTTATGCTGAGATTTTCGCCATACCAACTTTTTTTTATATTCGCAAAATTGAAACTCACCAGCAGAGATAAGAATATCGCCAATGACGTTTGTTAATCCAATCTTAAAGTGTTCAACACTGTCGATCCAACGAATCTTCTCACCGGCTAATCCTGAAATCAATCTGACCGCTCTTAACATTCGATCCTCGCATAACTGTTTTTGTCTCTCGAGTTCTGCTTTCTTTTCTTCCATCTCACGAAATTGCATTTGCAACGTCTGCAGACCCTCCTGTACCTCTTTAACTTTTGCCATCGCGTCAGCAAGCAAAGCTTCTGTTTGCACGAGATCTTCCTCAGCCTTTCGGAGTGCTTCCATTTTCGGAGCAACGCGCTGACGCACGAAGTAATATCTGTACATGGCATGCACCCACAAACAGAGCGAATGGCAAGCTTTTGAAACTTGCAATACCTTGAATATGTTTGAATCGAAATATTTAGATTTAAGTTAAATTCGCAAAAACATCGGTATTATCCAAATATTTGCGTAACATGACGATATACTGAACAAATTTGACATTGTTAGCTGAAAAGGGGAACACTGTTCCAATTGTAGTGTAAGTAGAATAATTAACGGAAATTGCAATATTTTCAACTATCTAAATATTACTAATATATTCTAGGAAATAAAACATTGAGTATAACTATATTAATTACTCATTGATTTTTCGCATGCATTTTTCAAACGTCACGTTATGAATCATGTGAGACATTTACTCTACCGTATTCAATTTAAAAAAGTAATGTTGCAAGTTATTTGCAACCATTTGAAATTTGCTTGGTTTTCAATATTTCTTATGGATTGGCAATTAAAATAAAATGTAGCCATATGAAGCGGATATGTTGCCGATTACAATTAATCAGGATGATGGCAATTGTGGCAAAAACCGTGCTAATGCAGAAGACTGCGTAATTCACTTTTGCAAATGGCTAGAAAGATAGAGGCACCTTCTTCGGTTGAAAACCAGGATTCTCAATATAGACCTTGAGCTTTTCTATCATATCTTCGGTAATCTCATCTTTATTATAATTCTCGAGCATTGCGAGGAAGTGTCCAGCGTCGGCAAGCATTTGGCTGCCAGGTGTCCAGTAATCATTTGTTTTCTGGCCTGGTTTCTCCGCTGCAATCTACATACCATGATTTCTCATTTGAAAAATATTTCAATGCAGTAAAGGAAAGTAATTTCCACCAAACAAGAACAACTCACCCGAAGAGGCTTGACTTTCTTTATTATGCAAATAGCTTCGATGACAAGTGTAACTCCGACCGGTGGCCGTTTCATCGCTTTCACCTCGGTTATGTCATTCTTGTTGAGAGCTTTTAAACTTGCCTCGGCTGCTGCTAACATCGGCCGTGCTTCCACTGTGCGTGACAAATTTCGCATTGTTAGCAGTCACAATTGTCATATTGATGCAGTTTAAAAACTTGCTCAAGTCAGCTTCCGCCTCGTCTCTGATTGCTTGATTCTCTCGCTTCAATTTCGTGGCTTCGCGTTCTTGCTCAGCTGCTGCTGCACGTGCCACTCCAGCCTCAACCTGCGCATATCATGTGTTAACTCCAGATCTTTTGTTGGACAGTGACATTCGTGAACTCACAGTATCGCGAGCAATCTGTTCCATCATTATTGCCGCATCTATAGCTGCTTTCTCGAGCTCGGGTTTCATTTTCTCCAATAGAATTTGCAACTCTTTTACTTCAACCTCCGTCGATGCAAGCCTTTTCAAACCTGCATAACCCAATGAGATTCAATACTTTCAATCTTGTTTTCTCTTCAATAATTCGTAATAAACAACTGAAAAGGGGGGAAAACGGGAAAACGAGAAAGAATTTCATATGAAACTGAAATTAAATACCCGTAGATAGCCTGGATATTCCGTAATTCAATTCATTGCGTTTTTTAGCAAGTAACTCGCCGTAACTCGAAATCAGTTCCAAATAAGACGTCGGAGTCACGTAATTGTGACGGTTTAATTCCTGTTGTGAAGGGTATAATTATTAGCCAAATACTGTTTATTAATAAGATTAAGTATAAAAAAGAAAGAAGGCAGAATCGTTACACGTGCGATAATAATGATAAGGTGTTACTTGACCTGGCGATAATTATCACTGGCTTTAATCACGCTCGAATGCATGAATTGGCAAGTTTTGACAATTGATGCCAAAACTGTGTCCGTAATCGCATCATCCCTCACGCCCTTTAGAAATTGCATTGCCACGCTCTAAAAATAATTTTGTATATCGATGTAGAATTGAAATGTCGATGTAATCGATGATATCGATTACATTGTATGCTTATTAGAAGTATTTGAATCTCGTGTGGGAAACTTTGACTGCAGAAAGTTTTCAAATGATTTATTTCCGTAGCTTAGCGATTCCCTCTTTATACTAGGAACTTTAGTAATATGAGCCATAGCTTCACGTTACAATATGGTACATACTTAAAGTTTCCACAATTACTAATGAAGCACAAACATTTGTCGAGATGCCCATAATTGAAATTTATATTATTTTGCTAAAATCTCTGCTGATTGAAATGCAACGCGAAAAATTTCGTTCATTAAAAATTAATTACCTGTAACGCGCTGGTTGGCCACGGATCAAACCAATCAATAGTGCAAAGATTGACCAGTGCTGGGAACTGTCTGATTCTCGCACGAAAAACTTCACCAATCGGACTACGAAAAGGAAGTAAGGAGAGTTGCGTAAAAGTGGAAATAGAAGTGGGTGGAACTAGAAACATACCACATGGTAATGACCAGATGCAAGTTATTACGAACGACTTTTTGATAAGCAACGAGAAGGTTGCTGCGATTGATCTGCAGACCTGACTCCTGTACTGGACCGCGCATCGCTTGAAATATTCGATCCAGTTCGTCGGTCTGATAGATATTAGGAACATCTCCACTATTCAATATGTTATTTATGTCTTCGAGAAACAGCTCACTCTTTATCTGCGACAAAATTATATTGCGACTTATGGTCTTGATGCGTGATAAGTGGCTGTGTTTTTACTTTTTATTGCAACTGATTCTGATGATTATTGTGTAGTGATCAATTCCGCACAGTTTACATTTCGAAAAATAATTTTGTGCTCGAAATACTTTGAAAGGAGAAAGTGCTTTATTGATCATAGTAGGTACGAACACTCTATTACAGAGCGGACTACGACGCGATTATGATTCGTTAGTGTTGTCGTTCCATCACTGTCGAGTACTGATGAGTCGTGAGTGATGTGATCGGCAAATATACGTTGTCGTAATCACGCGGCATACATTAATTGGTTGTTTTTGAACCCAATAACCCAATGTGGTTTCCCGATAAAAATGATCATTTTCATATAGAATAAATTTGTCATGATTTTAGTGGCGGATAAAATGAGTTCAAAGTTAATGGCAAGAATGATTGATTCGGACACTTATCAATCTAAATGTGTATGAAAGACACAATTTCAGTTGGGTAATATTGAAATGAGCCAACCTGTGTATCAGAAAATAAAAAAACAGACGACCTTTGCTGCAGCCCCGTTTTCAATAACAAGTCTTTTATGTCATCTCTCCAGTCACGAGTTGAGTATGTTTTGCTGAGTTTTATCTGGAAGCAGAAATATTCGGCGATGTGCGCCGAGAGCTTTGTCAAACTTTGTCGACCTGAAATAAAACATTTGATTCAAAGGGGACTTTTGCTTGAGAAACATATGCTGGTTGATGATGATAATTAGCATTGCCATTAGTTTCTCATTTCAAAACGAGCATGCTTGGTAACAATTAAATTATACGTGCACATTCAGTTGGTAAATTTCACGTGAATAATCCTAATTGAATTTCATGGAAATATACCAGCTTGCAAATTAAGGCTTAATTTATGCGAGTTTCACATTAATCATTCAACAAACACTTCACGCGAAATCATTGATGTACTGAAATTACTGTATTTATTTATTACTTATAGATCGCACATTTTCATAAAGCTTTACGAATGAGATAAGACACATCAATTAAATGAATTTCTACACTCCAACACGACCTAGCATTTTCTTTTACATCAATCGAGTGACTACGTTTCTTTTCATTCCTTTTGTGCAAATGGAAAATTTTTAAATTTGGAGGATGAGGAACTTCGAAGCTCTTAAAATACCGTATCCGCTTTATTTCAACGTGTAGCTAATTTCCTTTCCCATCTATTCAGCTTTCTTTTTTGTATTAAAATACAAATTGTTTTGTTAATAAACTTTACGGTTTTTTACCCTTATACGAACGTCGCATTGTTATAGAATGGTATTTCTTTTTCATATAATACCAAGTTTGAATAAACAATACTAACCTGAACCACCCATGCCGAGAAGAAGAGCGTTTCCAGGCGATTGATGCAGGACTCGTGTTATACGACAGATATGGCACATTGCATCCTCGAAGAGAACCAAGTTCATTGGTTCGGTCGTTGAATTGTTATAATCGTCCAAATACTCCAGAAGAGTGACTCGCATCTTGATTGGAAAGTATTGCTTTTTTTATTAAAATATCAATGACGCAGGCTATTGATTCTCAGGTGGAATTTCTGGCAATAAAAATTCGTTGACATTTCTAATTTAACATAATGGCGTAGATCGAACAATACAAACACTTCCACAAATGCAAGCTTAACTTTGTTCAGAAAGTGTATTTGAATGGGTATCGGTAATTGGAACCACTAGTTTGTACAGGTTTCATTTTATTCGTTTTAATATTCTTGTAGAACAGTCTTGCTCGTTATTGTTTTTATCTCAAGTTTACTCAATTCAATGATTAAATTTAAATTTAGTATTTACTTGGATTTCGCACATTGCAATTCCGTTGTGTATAGTATAATGATTGATAGACACGTTGGTTTGCGCTACTTTTGTAAGGGTAAAAATAATTGGTCGTACCTTTTCAATATCGAGAATACGCTCGTAACGATTGTCCACGTTACAAAAGTCCCCGTAAAATAAGCTCTCACGGAGCGTCACGTCGTAGTCGAATTCTCGCTTCAGGTTTTCACAGAGTAGATTTTCGAACCATTTACGGTCGACGTCATTTATCAGTCGATCACTGAATACCCGAAAATTCTCGTGATACCATAATACTAACAAGTCTTGTAGTTTCTAGATTGAATAGGATAGAAAGTTCAATAAATATATTTGAATAGATATTAGTGAATAACTGAATTGGAACATGGACCAATTGTTATTTTTTATAAACAATTGCCTTCATTTTTTATTGGTTTATTGGTGGTTTTATTCTATCAGATTACTTAAAGTTGGTTTCATGTTCATAAACTATTTGAAAAGTTTGAGGAAGCTATTTTGGACCGTCGATATAGTTAAACTAGATTATCGAAAAATATTGTTGAATCTATTTTTTAATACTTTGATGCCAACGAGTACATGTACAACTTTTTTATGTATTCGCTGTTTTCTTTTATTTTTCCTTGTAAAAAATACTAAAACATATCGTTTTACTTGCACCATCGAGGCAATTTGCGTAAAACTGACTAACAGAAATAAAGTTTTGCTAAATAACAGTGAGAATGCAATCAGATTACCCAGTTGAATGTATTTCATCGTTTTAATACAAAACCTTTTCTAAGACAAAGTTATCCAATTGAAAAATATGTTGCGTTTGTAGAAATGTCCATTGTACTTCCGTCAAATGATGGAATACATTCATCATCAATTCATAATTAATGCTAATGCCATAAACGCCGAGCTGCTCAAATATGAATAAATCTCGGAAAAAACACATGTACTAACATTCACATGAGCTGGGCTAGCCATTAGAAGTCCTTGAAAGACTTTGCCTAAATCCCGCACGTTGAAAGTGTAATGTGATTTATTTGGAGTCGGCAGGAGCTCTTGACAAACCGTCTTAAAAACGCGCAGACTCGCTGTGACTAGAGGTTCGAGTACATCTTCGAGCGACAGCTGTGTCCTGCTCAGCCAAGCGGCAAGGATTGTTCCGAAAATGGTGTTCTGAAAAGCAGCGTAGAAAAAAAAAGAAAACGAGAAGGTCCTTGAGCGGCTGGAGTTTACTCGACTTAAGGAAAAAATATGAAGGCAGAGCAAACAGTTGGCTAATCGCTCGCGACAGTGCATATGTACCCCGCGAGTTTCAATTATTATTCTAGAGGGGGTGCGCCACCTTCAGTGGAATAAAACCGAATGATCGCGGCGTTTGTGATCTGCCTGCTTGCTTCAAGGTCCGAAGCATTTACATTTCTTTGGAAAGAGCAGTGGTAAAATTCTTGGTTCTTTGTTTATTAATGTGGTGGCTTGGAAACTATGTAATGAGCCTCTCTGCGAATTATTCAGCCGTACCTACTTTCTCTTCGAACTTTCAGTGTTGTCGCATGCTCAATTGCGACATCTTCTCATGGATTATCTGACAAAAATCTTTCGAATTTTATTGGCATAATCATTGCAACACTCCAATTTTATCACACATTGACGTTCCAAATAATTTAATTTTCAGTACAAATATTGATTAAATTACCTTAATTATTATCGGATTTAAATGATTCCTGTATCATTTGTGTTATTTCATTACATGAACTAAACTTTAATGACATTATATTTAATAATGAAATAACGTTATTTTATGGCAGTATGCGCAAAATATTTAAATAATCACAATCAATTGAAATGAAACCTGAATCGATCTCAATCCATTCATTAGCTTGAAAAGTTAATGAATGGACATTTTTATGACATTTTTTACTCTTACCTTTGTTTCGTCTTCTATCTCGGGAAAGGCAATGTAATGGAAATGCCGTAATAAGCGAGCAGTCACAGAGTTGCGACCTCCACCGGGAGGTGCCATGGCACCTACAATATTAACGTCCTCGATTTTTCTAAACGAGCCAATTTCCTTCCTGTCGTACCATCCTGAAAAAATATTAAACAATAAATATCGATAAAGCGGCATTTTTATTCCGTTTTCGTTTTTTTATCCGTAAAATAATGGCATCTAAATGAAAAGAAAAAAAAATTGCATTCTATTTCGTATTCAAGGTTGATGTCTCGGTCCACGAATCGATTTTCTCGCAACAATTTGTTTTCTTTCCCAACAAGTCATTCTAAACGCGAGGATTGCACCTGTGTTGGCTTCACAATAGAAGATGTCATAATTTGAAATTCCTTAATTGATTCAAATGCCAACTACTGTCTTATTGTATTTCGTAGAAACGTGCACCTTAGGCAAACTGAGTTCTACATGAAGAGCCCGATTCAACATTAATAGTAACAGAATATTCTAGAAGTATGCACAAAAAATGTACGCAGGAAGCTTCTATTCTAGTTTGTCAGATCGACGGTTCAATACAGAGGTCGTTTATTCAATTATTGTATTTGGCGACACAAGTAAACAATCATTGCACCACTTTACGTTTAAAGGCTTTCCACTGTTAAGAGAAATCGCTGAACATGTTTTCGGGCAAATGACGTCAAGTCACGCAACATAAAATTAGTTTTGCTTCAATTTACCTCCAAAATCAATTAACTGTCGTAGAAGCTCGATCGGTGGCTGAGCCCCATAGGTCTCCAGTGCTGGCATATTCAGGTCGTCAATAAAGAATATCTGCTTTTTCGTCAACGGTGGACCAAATACACCTTTTCGCCTCTTGTCCAGCTTATTGTCGATTACATCCTGCACTTCATATATTTCGATATCAAGGACCGTCAAAGTTTCTTTTCATACGTATTGCAGTAAAGTGAGTAAGCTGAGTAAACATGAAGGAAGGCAGGGGTTGTCGTGGATGATAGAAAGGACGGATGCGCGGTATACATTTAATTGTTAAACACGTTTCGATCATAAAATAATCAAGCACGCTCGTTGTCAACCCGAAACTTTGATTTTTATGAGGGTACGACGACAGGCGCAGTGTACATGAGAAAAATGTATATTGCGATCGAGCGAACTGATAATTGCACTGTCAATTAAATTATCATTAGAAAAAAAGCCGTTATTCCACGAAGCTCATCCAGCGTGTGTGCTCATCGTTAGATAGATAAATACATCGCTACCTCGGTGGAAATCGGGGCTATGACCCCGATTTTATTGTCGAGACAAACTCTGTGTCATAGAGTCCTAAGACATTGTTCCAGATGATCTAGGATACGCGCATAAGCAACGCATCCGTGCGACACATACGATCCGGTAGACGGTTTGGGGAAAACCCAAAGGCTAATGCAATGCCCTCTGGTTTCTTTTCGCGCTCGTGCGTAACAAAAGACTAGTGTGAAATGTTTTTCCTTCGGGGCCGGCATAAGCGTTGGCTTGACGGTGGCAGAAGCGCATTTATTGAGTGTGTTGCGTGCGACTGCCGAGAATCATTGTTACGCAACATCAGTGAGATACATAAAACGGACCAAAGACTGAGGGGAACCTGACGTGTGCGCTCTCCGCCACCGTCCGTTAGGGGGTCAGAGCCGTGCGCCACTACACCTCGAAGATCTACTCCGAGGCTGCTAAGACCTGTTGATCCCTGGAATTGTCGTTAAGCGTAGACACTGCACAAGAGCATGTCTGTGGCTGTAGGCAATTACAGACACGAGTGCGGGGAGGGGGGGAGTAGACACGTGCGTGCGACCAGAGGTTCGAAGACCCCTTCAGGCCGAATCTAACGAGGGAGCGGGGAGTTGACGAAAAAACAGATCAGTACAGTTTCAACTGTTGAGCGAATGACAGCTCTTTTAGGTGCTCACGCAATAATTTCTAGAAGCGATACGAAATACTATAGCCGGCGAAATACTATAGTTCAGGCGATAGAGCTCGGAAAAGACTGTTTCGCGTACTATTTTGGAACAGCAAGAAATTTTTACCTTTTGCTCTATTGCTTGGACTAGTAAAAGAAAGCATCTGTCATCGGATAAATACTGAAATAAACACTCACATGACCATCATTATTCTTACTAACTCCTTCCTCACTAGACACCAATCTTATCTTTGTCGAGGAGCAACATAACTGGCTACCTGATCGTTGGCAAAAAATTCCGAAAAAAGGTGACGTTCACGGTTTTGGAGGTCCTGGGGCCCCCTGGAGCCTCTGGGGCCTCGAAAGATTGACGCGAGAGAGAAAAGACGGGAGTGCGAAGAGTTTTCGGGGGTCAACTCGCTCAACAGCAATTAGTCAGATCGCTTGACACGCTTGTTAAGGCAAGACACATTTTCTTTTCTTGCTCTGAGCCTTCTTTGTACTTGCGCTGTTTAACGTTACTTTAGTTGCATATTATCTTTACTTGTATTGGTATTTTCATCTATTTACATAATAAAACTTTAAGTATGTGAAAATTAATAGTGAAAATGAATAATAATAAAGTTATTTCGTTGCTCTTGTCTTGAATAGTTGAGGGAGGGAGAAAGTGAGAGATGGAGGGGGGGGGGGGACCTGTGTTTGATTAGCCGAAGTCCTCGCGGAAAATACGACAAAGTCGCAAATAAACTTCTTGGGCATGTCTCTGGAGAGTTTGGCTGCTACTGTGAGGGTTTTGCCACTGCCGGTAGGTCCGACACATAGAACGTTGCATTCCCTTCCGAGCAGTTGATCAATGAGTGCTGAATTACGAACCATATCGATCGTCGGGACCTCGATATCTGTTTTTTTACATGAGTAATTTTAATTAACTGATAGCTGCTACTTGAATTTCACCAAGTGCAGGCAGTAATCTTACCAGAGAACTTCTTCTCGGGGCTTATCGTCAAATCAATCGTCTGGATATCAAACCATTTGATCCAGTAAATATCACATTGTTCTTCCGACGTATCTTCATAGTGAAGCCTTGGAAGAAGATTTAATAAAACTGCGTTATTAAGATGTCTCTCGAAGATGATGGTGAACATTGACTGTTATCAGAATGGTCGCTAAGTGTAAAGTCTGCATTGCAATTTGGATCAAGATAGTAAATGAGTCGACTTTTAATTCATGATATAATTAATTTAGCGAAGCAATCGAGCGTAATCTGTTACTATATTGATAAATTGTGCTCGGCTGTTTTATTACATCGGCGTGTCAAGTGGATAGACGAAAAAGAAAGGACCATAGCAATGAAATGGTTAACGTACTTGTAATCGTAGACTAAGCCATCGGCAGGAAAGTGCAAATCGAGTGCGACTTGACTCTGTAATTGTCTCAGCCATTGATCGAATAAATAGCGGCTATCGCAATCGCAAGTAGCACCGACGCTCCATACCAGCGCGAACAGCGACCAGGCCTCGATGATCCGCACTGCGTGTCGACAAACGTGAATGTATTGATGAAATTATCGTCGCAGAACCGTCTCTAGTTTACCAGGAAAAGCTTTTCCCTCTTGTAATTTCAACGCTCCGATCTGGCAATTCATTAAATTAATATACGACTGAACAAGGCCAGAATCGACACTAGACACGATTTCTTTCAGGTTCGAGCGTAAAAAGGCCAAGCCTGCCGGCAAGAAGAAGTAAGCCAATTCCGAGACTCTGGCTGCCTGAGCCGACATGTTCTGTAGCATGGAAGTAAGAGCAAGCGTATTCCTTTTTTTTTTGCTGTCTGCGTCAATGGATATTGGAAAGAACAGGTACTTACTTTAGGCAATTTTTCGATCCAGCAATCGATGAAGGGATTTATTCCTAGACCTTGCGCTTCGAAATAGACCATGCCGCATCTGGCGTTTTATTGAGCGAATTGTTTTTAGCCAATATTCTCACAGGCTTTTGTCTAATGATACTTTCAATCTCACAACTCCAAAGTTTTTTAACTCAGAAATTGATTTTATATTTTCAAGGTTTGTTTGTCGAACGATAATACCAGCAAATTGTTGACTTGAATATTATTTCGGAAGTCAATACACAATCGATAATCAAGTCAATCAACCGTTGCCAATTTCATTGGATTTTCGAATAGAATGAAAACCCCCGGAGAAACTTCGATACACAGCTATCGGGGTCACTTAAAGGCAATTAAAGTTGACCTAATTTAATTCTTTCAAAGGACAAATAATTTTTTGGATGTAGAGTTGATTCTGCCGAGTACAACAGAATCAAATAAATAAACAAAGCAAACTATTGACGGAAAATAATTTTGGTCAGTTCAAGCCAAGAGTTGATCATGTCTAAAGTGAGCTTTACAAATGAACGATTGATCAAAAGCCTTCCAAAATTCTACGAGCTGTGGCCTACATTTTCGTTACAAAATAACGACGAGTAAAGTGCGACGAACCTGGAAACGGTGGCCGGTGAGGCAACGCGCAAATCTTCGACCTCAAATATCATTGTTTGCGTGGGTGTGAGACGCATAATTTCCCCTGACGATAAGCAGAGCTTCTTGTTGTCATCCAGCACTGTGTTCATATTTTCAATCCATACTGCGTCGACTGGGCCGTCAAAGACGTACCATCTCTTGTCGTCGTCGGTTGCCGCTGTACCCGAACGAATTAACGTCGATAGAATGCCATCGGTCCTGTGGTGGTAACAACATTTTCTTTTATCTTTTTTTCTAAGGCTTGAATGAATATTTTGAAGCAGTTTGCTATCTCACTATTATTCAGAAATTTTAAATATAGGCGTAAAGACAAGGGACTTGCTCTCATTATACATAGAATGAAAATACATGAAAGTACATGGCAAAATAAATAAGAGGTCGGACTGATATTTCATTAAAATTGCTTATGAAATCTTTCGTTGCGACTGTTGGTTCATCGCAAATTGCCTCGTTTTATACACTCTCTTTGTAGTAGCAAGCTATGCTCACTACCTTCTCTAACAATCGAGCTTATTATATTTCAGGAAAAACCTTACCACTCGTGTGTATTGGCGTCGAATTCTCCGTAAAGCTGGCCCATAGTTATGGATTTAGGATTCAATACGTAGGTGTGCACTGCCACGAAAGGCTTCCCGCTTGGCTGCCACTTGCTCTTTAGCCGGCAGCACGTAGCTTTGAGCACGCGATAGCACTGAAAGCAATTGATAGCAAGGTGAAGCAAATGAAAGCAAGTATACAGTTGCTTTCACGTGACATTCATGCGAATCCGTCGCTTTGCGTCCCCTTTGAGTACTACTGAACAAGGCTTGTGACGAACTGTTGAATGAAGCAGTTGCTCGAGTAACCTGATAAAATGAGACAGTGCTAAAACTTGTCTGTTTGCGGGATCATCAATGACAGTATTTTTTTCATTAACATTCTGTTAAAATGAAATATTTTGCATTGTTTTGACAAGAAATTCGTCGAATCTCCTTATCAGCGAAATGCAAGGGATGACAAAAGAGCCGCACGCTGAATGAATTTGTTCGCAGAACGACAAATGAAAGTTAACCTGTTTTATTTAAGAAGACACATGTGAATATGAAAGCGCGGCAAACATTGTGAGCTAGTGAATGATGTCGGAAACCATGTTTGCTGTTGTCAACTATTAATTCCGTCAATCAAAAGCTGCGTTACTTGCCAAATTTGAATAAATCAAAGCATTAGCGGACAGTTACAAAAATAAGTATCAACTTCAAATTGTAGATTGTGATTCTCGTTGATAGTTACTAAATAATAGTGAATTATGATTAAGCTGCTTTAAATCTGTACTGTCACAGTACAAATTATTAGTTTCAATTAAGTAACGGCAAACGAGATATAATGTTGCGTGGTAACTGATCGCCATTAATTCTGTATCAAGGCAAAAAAAAAAAAACTAAAACTAAAACGAAAATCAAAATCAATAAAGGGTCGATTTTGAGGAGAAACGATCCCGCACGCGTCTTCCCTTCAAAAGTATGCATCATGGAACACTCGACTACAATTAAGGAAACAAGTTCTGATGCACAGGGAATTTTGATGAATTCGTTATTGATATAGGCACATGTTGGTGGAATTGTACATATATAATGACAATCAGATCGAAACATTTTGAATTTTTGAAATCCAACCCAACCCTCATAGTTTTTAGGGTAAGTATCACGAGAAATTATGCAACGTTGCAATAGATTGCTGAGAAATCCTAAAGATTCATGAATGATAAATAGCAGGTTCTCAAGTCTGCGAATACCAGTTTTAATTATAATAAAACTGGATCAATCGGGTCGGGAAGAACATCATAGAGAAATTGATATCTTTAGGATTTCAGTGAAAAATTTTGCATGTATATTAGATAAATAGTTGAAAAAGTACAACGTAAAAGATATTTTAATTGTCAACTATTTTATACACTTATAATGATAATGGCTATTAGCAATAAAAACCGTTGTCATTGATACAATAGTCGTTTAACTCGTATATTAAAATAAGTAAATTCACTGTTAACTTTCAATAACCGTTATAATTGCATTAAAACAAAGAAGTATTCTTATAATAAGAAAATTCTTCTTGGCCTAAAATGATTTTCATCTGAAAATAAGCCTAAACGGAATTATTCTTGTATCAAGAGGATTGTGTTGGACCAAAAGCGAATATCGATGTTACCAGAGGATGTCTCTTCATGATGAGGAGATTTGTTGTAAATTATTGATATCCTTAAAGAGATTTATATTTTATATATAACAAAACCATTATTTTTAACGTGAATATCGTCAAAGTCGATAAAAGAAAATTTATCCTTCCCGAACCTTTGATCAAATACAACGCTCGCAAAACCCGTGGTTTTGTCACGAACGAAATTTTTTCTGACTGAAGCTTTTACTATCTACGTAATCTAACATCGCTCTTCAGAAGAAAATATTAATGATTTGAAAACAAGTAACTTCAGACATGGACACAAGCCTTTGAGCACAGGTGGTTGCGCATAGGAGCACTTACGTGACGTTAAAAACGGCACAGAGTGACATAGATTAATAGAACAGCGGAAGAAAGCTACGAAATATTCTCAATGAACATCTCGATGAATATAACCATACGAGAAATTCTGGTGACTGGCGTGCTTTTACGAAAAAGCTCGCAAGTCATTCGAGTGGGACGAAAACAGGAGCAGCAAGCTTGCGACGATCAGTAAGAACAACCGGTAAACGGGCGACAATCTTGCATAAAGTCATCATCGATCATGATCGATGATTTTCAGCCTCGCAATGCGATTGCATTGAGCGGTGCACAATGACGACGACGTACTACTGCTGGAACAGGTGTTTCCCTCCCACAACGTATCTCGAGTCTCAGACGCGCATGCGAGCGGTGAACTGTACGTGCAGCCGAGCGCTTGGCCGTAGCGGCTAGCACGCTCAGTCGACTTTGCATCTCCGTTCGAGCAACACGCCCATTGCGCAGCATTGCTCCTAAAAATGCGTCAGCGTCGATGAGTCCATTCGAATAGAGCGAAAGCACGAGGCAAAAAACGAGAGGGAAAAATGTGCAGACTACTATGGCATCTGATGGTGAGGCGATACGGCGCTCTGACCAGCGAGCTGAGACGAACGAGGCGCTCGATTGGCGGCTACGACGCTGGCGGCAATTCGTCAACGGTGACCGACGAGTCGGCGCAACAGGTTCGCAACTGGACCGTCGGCGCAATGGACGCGGCCAGCTTCGACGATGAGCTCGACGAAGCCTGCATGTCGTTCTTCTTCTTGCTCGACTTCTCGCACCAGTTCTACATACCGTTCATCATACTCCTCGGTCTGATCGGTAACATGCTGTCCTGCTTCGTGTTTCTGACCAGCCATCTCAAGATGCGCAGCTCCAGCTACTACCTGGCCGCTTTGGCGACGGCGGACTTCAGCTTCCTGTTCTCGCTGCTACTCGTCTGGCTGAACAACAACCTCGGCTGGCGAGTATTCAACGAGGACGGCTGGTGCGAGAGCGTCGTCTACGTGAGTTCGGTCTGCAGCAGTTTGAGCGTCTGGCTGATCGTGGCCTTCACCACGGAGCGTTTTATCGCCGTGCAGTATCCGCTGCATCGGCCGGGCCTGTGCACTACGGCGCGCGCGAAAACTATTGTGACAGTGCTGGTGGTGTTGGCACTGGCGAGCCACTCGTATTGCTTCGTGACGGCCGGTGTGGTGATGCAGCCGGACGGTATCGAGCTGTGCGACATGAAGTACGATTATCTGGAGACAATGCGCATCGTCAGCATTGTCGACAGCGTGGCTAGTCTCATGGCACCGCTCGTCATGATCATCACCATGAACAGCATGATCATGAGGAATTTGTTCAACTTTAGTCAGAGATTTGGTGAGACGCCGAATCTGGGTTTCAGCGAGACTAGATGCCCAAGCCGCGAACGCTCTGGGATTAATCTTAATCCGGTACCGGTAAGTCGGCCTACGTACGTCTGCTCTTCCCTTCTCCGTGCGCGTAAAGCTCTTTAGTTTTGAGTCAGTTATTACGGCGTCATGGTTAACATGCAACGGGCTCCAACTGCTTTTCGATCCTATTTGGCTTTCATAACTCCATAGAACAGGAGGCTGCCTTAGATACAACAACTAATTTTGAGCTTAATCTTCGTGCGGTCGTGACGCAGTATGATTTGTATGAATCTTATTTTATTTATCACAGTTTTATGTTTCAAAACATAGAATATAAAATAACGTTAATAAATCAAATTTAGTGTATTTCATCATATAATATGATTGTAGAACTCTTCACGTCCTAGTTACGATCTAACTAGGACTAATCTTGCTTTCGGCGATGGGATCATATAGAAAAAATAAAGAAACACAGAAACACACACACACACACACACACATACACACGTGATAAAACAGTTAAAAATTTGCCGTCTTATTCCGAGAATAGTCACCTATAAAAATTTCAATCTGGGTAGAAATATGCATTGTAAGCACATGTCCTTAATCTTAGATATTTATTTTTATTTTGTACTGTACAGCAACTACAATATAATATAAAAGTATAAATCCTTTGATTTTTTATATTTTATCTAAAAGAGAGAAATTATAGTTCTGAAAATGATTTGATCGTCGGTGAAAAATGCGAATTGAAAAACCTAAAAGATTCCCGTCAACTACTTGCATAATATATCATTATCTAAAGATGACTGGATTAATAATTTGATTGCTCTGTAATATCTTATCCAAACGAAATCGTATTTTAAGCCTATTTTTTTCTTTATAGAAATTGGTGAATATAAATATTTCCATTCGTTTTGAAGTTCGGTTATTTGGTACGATTGGTTGGATAAATATTTTGCAAAAACTTAGTTTAAATTGTAAAATTCAATCTTCAGAAAAAATTTCGATATTAATTTTATGCTTTTATTGTTAAAAAGTTTCAACAAGACAATAAATGGAACAACGTAACATGAACGATCTGAGAGAGTTCGGAGTTCAATTCTAATAGTATCAACATATCTATTTTTGATAGTTGAATAAACTAAATGTAAATGTATTCTATTGTTTTAGTTTGTACAGATGGCCGAATGAAAATACAAAGCATTTGAGAATAAGTATAAAGGAAAATTCTGTGGTATATTCCACAACGGAAGGAAAAACATTTCTTGCTTGTAAATGTATACTTAATATTCTATTTTTATATAAAACCATATGGAAATCACTACGTTTGTTTTATGTTTAGATTCATTTTATAGATAGTTTGATACCTCTCTTTATGGTTAAATTTAATTATAGTCTAATATTGTTGATCATGCATTTTTCAATGCAAATGACATTAATTAACATTATATGAATAAAACTAGAAGGCATATTCCAATTACTGTGATTCAATATATTTGATTCTAGTTTATTAAGATATTCGAAATCTTAGATAAAATGGCGAAAAGTTTTCTACGTAATTTTTTTTAGTACAATATACGTAGTGTTATTCATAAAATATGCTAACATTTGAATCAGCAAATATATCCATTATAGCAAATATATACATTAAGGTAATAGATTACAAAACTTGATTGAGATAATTGATTAAAAAAATCTTTATAAATGGAAACATTGAAAAAGAAACTTTGATAGACTAATTTCACAACTAAAACTTTTCAAGCAATTTTTTCAATAACTTATGTTTGATAAGTTTTTAATAAATCAATGCGATTATATGTTTATGAAATCACAAATAAAAAAAATCTTTTTCCCCTAAATAAAATAATATTGTAAAAATCAAAAAAAGCTTTTTAAAAACGAGACCAAATATAATAGATAAAGATTTGGCTAGATTCACATGATGGTGTTTGCTTAAGAAACAATTAAAAAAAGTTATTTTATTACATTTACCATATAAGCATTACTAGTTCAGTCGTCTTGGTACGAAAACATAATTATATATAACAAATGTGCTGTTTGAACAGCGCGTTTATTCTTACTTTCATCACACAAGAAGCATATGCACAATGGGAAAAAATAATGTTGACCGACGAGAGATGTGTTTATTTATAATTCTTTTAGTTATTTGCTTATATCCTATATTTTAGTTATTATATTGAGATGAGCCTGGCCGCATTAGATATTCCTGAGAAAATATCAGAAACAAATCAATATATATCGAAATTAAGTAAGTTCTTTTGAATAACAATATCTTGCATTACTTGCAAGAATGTTAAAAAATATAAACAATCACATATTCGACCATTTTTCATACATGTCATTAGTGTTCTTTGAATCCGTACATCTTTCTATAGCAAATAATATAAATCGTTTTCAATACGTAACATACTGTCTTGATTCGCTTATAGTTTTCTTAAATGATAAAATTTGTAATACATAATGGAAAGAAGGGAAATAGTGAGAGCTGGAAATTCACTTAATTTTAATTATATTCAGCAACGTTTCGTCAGCACATTTGCTGACCTCTTCAGGCTGATTTCTCCCGTAAAACGAATAGCTCGTAGCCAGTTACGTTACAATACAGTACAGTTAACTGTATTATATATAATTAAATTTATTATAATATTATTAAAATTAAGTGAATTTCCAGCTCTCACTATTTCTCTTCTTTCCATTATTATAAATGTTATCATAAATCGTTTTCGGTTTTCAGTAATTTTTCACGAGCTACATCTCCACACAGTTACAACTTTAACGGCATATTATCCTCACCCTAATCAAATATCAGGAAAATTAACCATTGTAATATCTAAATATCTATTAATAACTTTTTCAGAATTCTTCTATAATTATTGTACAAGAAAAAGCTGAAAATGTAAAACTTAGTTGCAAAATAGAATTGTACTATGTAGCAATTACGGCATTGGAATCAAATAAAAGTCATTCGATTAGAAATGAAGAGATCTTTAATTAAAAAAAGCGATTTTTCTACGACCATTAGGAGACACCGAAATATTATTGTTTTAGTTTTCAATGAATAGCTCATCTTGTTATGCAGTTTTATAAAAAATAATTAGAGTTTTATATTTGTAAAAACAATTATTCATACCCTAAATTTTTTCAAGTCCGAAGTATGTTTTTTTATCAACTTGGAAAAGTTAGTATTAACAATGCAAGCGCGTCGTATGACCTTTATGACTATTATCTGTAATAATAGTATTTAATTTTTAAATTGTAAACAAACACGTAAATCACGATACCTTCAGTTTTTTTCAAAGATACTGCACTAAATTTCTAATTTCATTTTAAATATACTTAGTTACATGGTTATAAAAATTTGAATAAAATGTTGAATATTAATAGAGACCATACAACTACTTTCTATTTAAAATTGATTTTCGATATATTGATCATTTTATAAAAAATTTTATAAAAAATAAAAAATTTTTTCAAAAATAACTGTAAATCGCAATTTTTCCATCTCAAAATGATAAAGAAATAATGTTCTGGTATGCCTCATCGTCAAACATTATTTTTCCTATTATGTACACTTTCTTTTGCGATGAAAGCAAAAACAAAAACGTGTTGTTTGGACGAAATATAAATTCATGTATCAAAAATACTGGATTACGTGCAAAAATATACTTTAATTGATTATCTTTCTAGGCGTAGAATGAATAAAATGTGACTTCGCAAATTATGTAGTTTTACACATTTTTTATTTGGACTGTTCTCTAAAAGTAACGTCGCAAAAATAGTAAAAATGTATAGATATATTTATCTATGTTACTAAGGCTTTTGAATTCTGGTATTTTAAACAATTATACTAAAAAATACGTTTATTTATGATTACGTAAACCATTCAAAATCGAGATTGCGTTTATTTAATTACGATTTGAAATTGATGTTACAACAACAGCGAATAATTTTCAACAAAATTAAAAATATCACATGAAGATGGATATTATTGTTGAAAACATTTAAGTAAGATTATAGAGTAGATTTGCACTTACTTTATTTCAACGAAAAATTTCATACTACAGTAACAGAATAGCTAATGATTAAAATGGGCCTTAACGCAAATAAAATTAATCGGTCCTCGAATTGTCAGGCACACGAAGAAACCATGATTTACCAGAAGCTTAATTTAAGAGAGAGAGAGAGAGAGAGAGAAAGAGGGAGAGAGAGAGAGAGAGGGAGGGAGGGAGGGAGGGTGGGAGGGTGGGAGGGTGGGAGGGTGGGAGGGAGAGAGAGAGAGAGAGAGAGAGAGAGAGAGAGAGAGAGCAAACTTTTTTGGTTGCAGAGCGCAAGTAGCAGTAACAGTAAGAATGGTATTGCTGGTCGACGACAACCATCGCAGCAGTCATTTCAGTCGTCAAACAACAGCTCGTCAAACAATTCTCGTTCGGGTGGTTCTCGGCCAACTCCGGCGATTACTACACCCTCTACTATCATTCCACTTTCGATTCCTACGAGTGCATACAAGATGACCGACAACTCATCTCGTAGCTCAGGTGAGTTGAATCTTTTATGTTAGCTTTCTTTTTATTTTTATTGTATTGGTCTATCGCCCAAGAATATTTCGTTTTACGGATCAAGACGAAGTCTATGAAGGTATATGATTTACTAATATTTGAGCTTATTTTTAGAATTATTATCAAACGCATTTCAATACATTACTGCAACGTTCAATAACATAATTCTATTTACGTTTCATTCCGACACTATCAGTCGATTAACATATTGAAACAAAGTCGGAGAGATGTTTTTATTTTGTTTCTTTGGAAAACAAAAGTATAATACCAAATAAATGATAATGAACATAATATCTTCGCTTTTTCAGACATGAGGTCATCGTCAAGATTTGCAAGCTCTTTGCATAATCAGCATAGCATTACTAAATTGCTACTTCTTATCAGCACTGTTTTCGTCCTACTAAATTTACCCAGGTAGGTTTTAGAATATGACGATACTAGTGCTTTAAGTGAGACTTAATGATACATGTATCGTTCATCATTTTATAGCGCTGCCTTTAAATCCGCACTTACGGCTCGTCTTTCCGTGATTTAGTAGTTGAAAACGACACAGTGAGTTGTTAGCATGAACTATAAATTAATAAAATTAATTGAAGCTCTCTTAATAGCTTACATAAACAGTCCAATCTTTCCGAATTTCCATGAATATTATATTTTATTTAATATTACAATAAAATATTTAGACAAAAGAGCTTTAAGCTTATGCACAAGTATCTTTGTAGCTCTGCCTAATAATGTTATGGTTAGTTATTTTTCGGGAAAATATCTTCTGGGCGAACTATTGCTGCTTCTTTGATATTTCAGGAGACATAGCTATATACGTTCGTCTAGTTATATGGTACTAGTAGGCGAGTCCATATTACAATTTATTAAAATTACGGTTTACCTTCAGTTGCGCGAACGTAGCATGCTAGCGAAATACGTATGTGAGCAGAATAAACTAGCCTCCTAAGTAACAAGATCAAATGTATATTTTGATCTGAGTCGTAGAACAGATTACACGTTCAAATGAGAAGTGTTGATTAAAGGAAAGAATGATAAGGAATATAAATTTATATGATTCCTTCCAAGACGAGCAAGTGAGCCTCAAAATATGTTATTTTTCCTTTCGCGTCTGTTTCAGCTACGTAATTCGTCTGTGTGTCTTCTTCTTCACTCTAACAGGCCAGGACACCCCAGCGTTATTGTGGTGTTTGCAGCAGTTCTTTATGCTGCTATATTATACGAATTTTAGTGTTAATTTTCTACTGTACGCTATGTGCGGTATCACGTTCCGCCGTTGTCTCGAGCAAGTGTTACGCAAAATGCTCAAGAGAGTCAGTAAGAATCTCTGCAACCCTCAGAATTTCGTATAGCGAGTACTTAGGCGAGCGAGACCAAATGTCCATAGCCCGCCTGAGACTATCGTTATGGTTGATCTTGAACACCATTAAGAATTCGACTGATGTATATTGTACATTTTTTTCTTGTTAGATTGTCAATAAGATTGGCGTACTATTCATTATTATAATTATTAATATCATCTTTATTTCGTTATTTTTCTTTGTGATCATCGACTTTTTAAGTTATATATTTGATTGATCAAAATGTACTGGGACTGATTACAGTATTAATCGAATTTAATAGTTCTTGATATTTAGCCATTTACGTATTTATTTCTTAGACAAAGATTTCCTTTTATCTTTCATTTTTTGCCTATATAGTTTGTCACTTGTGTTCTTTTTTGTCAATCATTGCCGTCTCTTGTAATTTTTCGTTGTTGTTATGAAGTTTAGTGACGAGAAATATTCGACGTGACGAATAAATACTTTTGATACATATCCGATTGAACATGTAAATAGCTATTTTATTATTATCATGTACTATCAATAATCTTCTATAATTTAAGACAGCCAATCGGAACGAGCAGTACTATGGAATAAATATTTTGTACTATAGTAGTCATATCAGTGGAATGTGTGGACTTTGACAAATGAATATTCAAAGAAGAATATTAGAATGATTTAATTAAAGCACACAGATGAAAGCGAGTGTAACTTTAATTTTCCTTCGTATTAACTATCTATAAAAGTAATATCAGATGTCTGAAGCATGTCCCATGTTACATGCCGTACACAATATGTCAATAAGTGTCACGTAGCCTATTGAACCAACCGCAGTAGCGATTTGCAAATATGTCTCAGATTCTCTTAGAAAAACGTTCATTCTCTTCAGCACAACTATCAAATGAAAAGAAAGAAAAATAAAGAGTGGGAAGGTCAAACGCAAGTATAACGAGGTCATTTTCTTGTTATTTCGTTAACACAGGCTGTTATCAGCCTGTTGATTTCATCAGCGATACACACTGTAATTCAGAATGAATCAACCATTGGCTCAACTAATGAAATATCTTATCAATTAAATGATGTACCCTTCTATTGATGTAATCACTTATTTCATTTTTTACCAACATATTTACTTAGATATTATTATACGATAAACTTTTATCAGTCTTAAGCCATTTGATTATCGCCATATCTTAAGTAAACTAAATTTTTAAAGAGCTTCATACTCGTAATTTCACTTTTGTGTTACGTGATAAGGTAAGTTTTTACTTCTTTCTACTCAAAACTTTTATATCAAGTAAGTAATTATTTTTATAAACAAAATTGTCAGTTTAAATATATCGTTTATCTTCGTATTATATGCCAAATGAATGTCTTTTAGAGAAGGAAAAAAATCTAAAAAAGTCTTTTTTCCATGAATCTACGTTCTATGGGTTACAAATTGTAAGATTATTTTATGGTATTCCTGTTAGCGATTATATCTCAAATGTTCTTACATTAGATAGAAAACTTAAAACGGAAAAATTTATCTAACAATTATTAAAAATATTGTTAAACCATATAAAACACATAAAATCTACTATTCAATGTGCATACGCACATTCCAGACTATGACGATCAACTTTTCAGGGATAGGTTTCAGATTTTCTTGAAACTTGGTTTACATATTGTTTATATGGTAGTGTATTTAAGTATGGATTATTAGATCATTATAATAATTGTATCAAAAGTTATAAACAATTGAAAATTTTTGACGAAAAATTTTCAAAAATTTATATCTCCGCAACCATTTAAGTTATCGAAACGAATTTTTTTCAAATTACGCATAAAAGGGTGTACTTTGAAAATATTGAGTGAACAATACTTTAATATCAATTTTTCCAAAAGTTATTAACATTTTTTTCAAACAATTACCCATATCACAAAAAGTGTTATTTTTATTTTAAAAATTATTTTTTTATTGAATTCCTTGACGTTTTTGCTTTAAGATTCCGTTTTAAAATTCATCAAGCGATCATTAGATGCGATACAGTGAACGATAATAGTGGACGCTCACAGGCCCTGCGACGCCGATAAGTCGGTAAGTTTGATAGCAGCGCCGATGCGCGGCCGACAAGCGTCGTAAGGCCTGTTAGCGTCCACTATTATCGTTCACTGTATCGCATCTAATGATCGCTTGATGAATTTTAAAACGGAATCTTAAAGAAAAAATGTCAAGGAATTCAATAAACAAATAATTTTTAAAATAAAAATAATAGTTTTTGAGATATGGGCATTAGTTTAAAAAAAATGTTAATAACTTTTAGAAAAATTGATATTAAAGTATTGTTCGCATAATATCATTAAAGTACACCCTCTTATGCGTAATATAAAAAAAATTCGTTTCGATAACTTTAATGGTTGCGGAGATATAATTTTTGAAAATTTTTCGTCAAAAATTTTCAATTGTTTATAACTCTTGATATAATTATTATATGATTTAATAATCCATACTTGAATACAGTACCATATAAGCAATATGTAGACCAAGTTTCAAGAAAATCCGAAACCTACCCCTGAAAAGCTGATCGTCATAGTCTGGAATGTGCCATACGTGGACTGTACTGTATCTCCTTTTATATTTCTCCTTTAACGTTTTTTAACGCTAAACTATTAGTTATCACAAGTTAACACAAGAGTAAATTATATTATCAAGCAACATGATAGAACATATATACAAAATATTTTTCACCTCGAATGAGTCTCTGCCCGATTAAGATGCATATCATGGTAAAAAGAGAACGTTTGCCCTGCATGTAAGATATAAGATTTTCTCTGTACTACATCATATTGTAAAAAGCAAAGCTATTCGAGGTGAAAAATATATAACTTTTAAAAGGTCAAAAAATATATCTTTAAATTTAAAGTAGCACTCGAGTGCTACAAATTTCTCTGAGTAAAATCTGAATAAAGCTTGTTATTTTTTTACAAGGCTTTTTTTCCCATTTTAAATTTGGATTTAATCTTGAAAAAACATGTAAATATCAAAAGTTCAATAACATCGGTGATAAAATGAACTCTTGGTATTCAAACCGAATACGTATTTTTATGCTATTGTAAATCCTATATTTGTTATTGCTCCGTCGCTTGCAATATGTATAAAGGTTTATTTATGCAAAATTATTAGTAGATAAATTGACTATTAATACTTAAATGGTATCATACCGTGGTTTTCCCTGAACCAGTAGGACCAACCAACATCAGTCCATGTCGTACTATGGTCGTCTCATATAGTTGGATGATTTTCTGGATGAATTCTAAAAGAATCCCAGCAGTATGTCAATATATGAAATTAACTTGATGTAGAAATTATATATCATCCTACATACGAAGAAAATGGACTAGAAAGGAAATATTGTGATAATATTGTTCCTATAACCGTGTAACTGATAACGACAAACAAATAACCGTTCTAAAATTTATGTTAAAATGATACATGTTTATTAGGAACACATAAAAGAGTTAAAATTTAATGTAATGGGAAAAGCAAATTAAGAGGAGTAAGAAAAAAATTGATTAAAAGTATAAATCGTCAGTTACAACAAAATGAAGATAAGAAAAGAAGCATCTATATTATGGGAAAATTAATCATTCAAACGTCAATTCAACCTTTTTAATAAACTTCATATTTATAATCGTGTTTATTTTATCTAATCACTTTTTAATGAGCGCGCGTAAGTTATAGAAGTTTTTGCTTATGATTTCAGATTACTTATAACAAATTCCAACTATTCATTAATTTACAAGTGTGCATCAACAAGTTTTATAAAATTAATATTTATCATTTCTATTTTAAGCTTTCAAGTTCCACTAGTATATGGTTATAACGTTATTTATAATAAATGAGAAAAATTAAAACATGAATAATAGATTCGATCTCAATTTAATTACGATACTGGAGCGAAAACAAGAATAGATTAGTAAGGGCAAAAATATTCCGTTTCATTAATCTTTTTTAACAACTAGCTAAAAATTAAATACATTTTACCTGGAACATCTGCTAGTCCTATATCCTTTAACGTATCTTTAATAGCTCTGATTAACATGTCATAATCGATAGATTTTTCTGGCACTCCAGGGAAAAGGTCCGAAACGATACCTGAGAAGTATTTTTTTATTGAAAGAATGTTCTTTTTTTATCAATGAAAGATAAAAGGTACTTTTAATTAGACTAACTGTTGGATCTAGCTAATACGCTAATTTTACCAGTACGCAAAATTCAAGAATTCTGTTAAATTAAATTAAATTAAATTAATCCTGTTAAATAAAATCTTTTCAAAACACCAACAAAAAAAAAATCGAAATTTCAAATTTGTAACAATAAAGGCGAGTAGTCCATACTTTTTGAAACTTTCCAAGATTTGTTATTGAAAACCTATATAAGTTTATCATAATTATATCACATTTACAAATTGCACTCTAAAAATACAAAATAATTAAGTATACGTGCACACACCGGTAAACAATGTCAAGTCATCCTTCAAAAACTTAGGCACGTTAACGTCTCTTAAGGCTCTCAAACAAATCTGTTCTTCCAGCATATCTTTCTGTTCTCGTTTTAATAACCCAGCCACCGCAATAACCGTCTTAACAGATCTCATGCCAAAGTCATAGTGATCCTACAATATACGATAAGCATGAGTATTTCCATTTACGCTAAAGTTCGAGTTACATTTTTTCATGCTTTCTTTTATTTTTTAATAAAATGGAAATTCAAGTATGCAAAATGAAACATAAAGAAAACGGTTAAAGGCGCATTCGCGATTTCCCACTCAGCGACTTTCATTACGCTACAGCACTTTTTTCAGCGAACCATGGCAATTAATGTACATAGCATCTTCAAATTTTCCATTGATTAAACAGAACTAGAAATTTGGGCGCGACTCATTTATTGGCTCTTGGGGTCGACCATACTAAGTAGGTCGTTATTCAACTTGCGATCGGTTGTTGAAAGTCAAGCATTCGAGCATTTTGAGTATAAAAATTTTTTAATTGTTATTTTCTAGTCGACTTATCGTATTATTTTATGTGAATTATTAAGTTGCATATGTGCTGATACACTTCTATTCTTATTCTTGTCTATCTTACTACTGTCGTCAAGCGTAACGATCAGTCGATGATTATTTAGTCATCGCTTACTGCGCTCTACACCTAACTTTACCGACCTTCCGTTATGTTTGTTACCTGTCCTTTCTGCTTGTCAGCCAATCGGCATACCCTATGCATTCCCGAACCGTACATGATCAACCCGACAATGCCTCGGAAAACCTTTATGATTCCTCATGGGGTCTAACAGCTTTTGCGATTCAATTGCCTTAACAAAGCTGTAATTGGCTATACAACAACGATACACCCATGCGCACGTTCACATTAATGGGTGATGATACTATAAGTGACGAAAGAACAAAAAAAAACGGAGATCGATAACTTTGATATCATTTCATAACAATCGATGTCGGCTTTACATTCCAATACGTAATTTTCTTGCTCAACGATTCTACATTCACTCTTTGTATCTGTTGGCGCATTTATATACATCTCTCATCAATTCATTCGCATTTGAGATCGCAATACAAATATTTATAGTCGCTTACAAAAATAAATTTAAAATTAATAATTTAATTTCTAATCATAATGATCGTAGACGAACGTTCAACTTTGAGAGCAATAATTATGCATGGTAAATCAAAATATGAACTTCCTTATAAATTAAACATAAATCGAAACTTTACCACGCGATCAAAAGTCCAGAAGCCTCCCGTGTAAGTGCCAATACCTAATATATTTAAAAGGTTCCGAGTATAACGACTTTTATAACACATCAATAGAGCAAACCCACGTTTTCAATTTTGAAAATACTTTTTGAAAACCAAAATACGAGACCAAGCATACATATGAGAAATTAAGAAACTAAACCTAAATTGACAATGAAGGAACATCGAGCGAAAAACACTCATCCGTGCTGTCTATTGACCTCTTAAATGAATTTATTGCTTTTCTTCTTCTTGAATATGTGTATAACGACAAGTGAGCTTTTATAAAAATTATGTCTCCATATGCATGTATTATATTTTATAGTTGACAATATTTATAGCAATATTCAACAAAGTTTTATTAAGAAGTGAATTTTCCATATGCGTATGCAATGTAAAATTTACAAACTGTGACAAATAATTAACTAATGACAATGGAAAAGCCTTCGATAAATGCATTTTTGCTTATTTCGAAAAAAAAGTAGGTTTGTATTTGACACGATCTATTTTTATATGTTCATGCATATTTCTAGAATCGATCAGTCGATTTTGATCGAGATGGGTTCATTAGAAAGGGTATGCTAGTGAATCAGTTCCTTTTTATTATTGGCTTGATTAATGAATAGTTTTGTAAGTTATTGCAAAATAAAAATTGAAGTCGGACTGCTTTTTGTGCACGGAGAACAATGACCTGTAAATAATACTGAGATGGTTCGATGAAATAATACTTTAGCCGAATCATCTCTATAATTATAGTAACGCATCGTAATCCAGAGACGTAGGTGACAAGTCTGTAACAATCAAGGTATGTCAGAAATAATTTTTATACTAATAATTCGGTAGAAATTTTAGAGCAAACACCCGAAAATTTCCATGTAACTTTCAGTGTCACATATACATAATTTTTTAACAAACTCATGTTGAAATATTGATAAATGCTGAACTTGATCGTGGAGGCAAATTTGCTTCCGCGATCAAGTACAGCATTTATTAATATTTCAACATACAACTATGAAGTGCGAGATATAAAATGTTAATACTACAACAAACTCATTATCATAAACTTTGTCTAATAAAAGTTGTTCTTTAAAATTATAGCTATGATTCACATGAAAAGATTTAATTACACAGAAAAACCTATTCGACGGAGAATCGTTGAAAGAAATACACTTTGAAGATTAGGGTTATTAAATGTATTACTTGCTGAAAAGAAACTTGCTACTTTTGGAATGACTTATTGGAATTCCCGGCACAAATATCAAAATTATGGTATGTATATAATAATTTTAAAAAATAATATAGTTTTTTAATTATTACAAGCATGAAAAATTGTTAATAAATATAAATTCACACTATTACCATAGTGAGAGTCTGCAATAAAAGATCAAAATATCAATCATGTCAGAGGTTATGTTTTTATGTCTTCGCATTACGAGTCTGATGTCACGGTAAAATTACTTGTTAATGAACGTTAATTAGAAAATAAAGTTGGTATAAAAAATCTTAATAATCTAATAATTAATTAATTAATTAATTAATTAATTATTAGATTATTAAGATTAATTAATTAATTAATTAATTAATTATTAGATTATTAAGATTAATTAATTAATTAATTAATTAATTATTAGATTATTAAGATTAATTAATTAATTAATTAATTATGATTAATAATAAAAAGGGCTATAGTCAGCGTTTCAATCTATCAATTGTTGATAAAAATATGACTTGTTGTCTACCTGTGTGCTAAGCTGTTCGGAGCTGAGTTTGAATGTAGCTGTAATTTTGGCCGCCAAAGCCTTTGCTTGCCCAAATCCACACGAGAACAATGAAATTTCAGCTATCAGTGTGTAATTAGGTACCATCATAGCTACTGGCCGAAACAGTGCTTTCAAATTATCTGGTAATTCGGTACGCCCAGCGTATCCAGGATTCATCGTTATAAAAACTGCGCAGGATCCTTTCAGACTCAATTCCACTCCTTCGAAGAAAAACCTTTATGACCGTAATATTATCGCATGAGAGTCTTAACGTAAAAGATCAAGAATTTCAATAATCGAATAACCGAAAAATATAATTAAAAAATTGTGATATGAGAAACAAATAATAACATATTATCTTTCTAATTATTCTTAATCTTATATTATACATTTACTGTCGTTAGTTTTCATTACTGGTTTCTATAATTTACTCTCGTGACTCCAATCGACGGTGACATCGTCTTTGGCAATACGAACGTTAACCTTATCAAGAATTATTCTCTGGCATCTATGGATTTTATTACATAAACAAAATGTACAGGAAAACTCGAGATAATTAGTTATGAAAATTAGTATTGAACTTTGATCGTTTAATACTCATTGACAACAGACTCAAGCCCGCAAAATCAGGAGCAATCCGCTTAAAATTGGAAATTTGCTTTGTTCAGTCTCGATTAGTAAAGTAATAGAAAACAGTACTATAAAATGAATCAGTCAAAAAATCCTCAAGTGCTCTTTTTACAATTCATAAATAATGCTTGCGATAATTGTACAAAGCTGATTTAGCTTATAACTGTGGAGTAAATCAAAGCCAACATTTAAAAATTTGTCCGTAACTGCGTTAAAAATTTTACCTATCAGCGCTGATTTGCTGCGCTTTCTGAATAGTCATGATCTGTTGAGCAATGACTGAGAGTACTTCAACGTCTATCCTATTAAACTCGTCGAAACAAGCCCAAGCTCCAGAGCTGAAAGGCGATGCGTTATTGCGTCATTGGAGAAGAGGAGGTGAGCAGACCGGCAAGATTAATACCTGGCGAGGCCCTTGAAAAACTTGCCCATCGACATGAAATCCAGTTGGTCGGAACAATTAAAGACAACGCATTGTATGGCGAAAGCTTTCGCAAGATCCTTGGTCGTCTCAGTTTTACCAGTGCCCGCGGGACCAGCTGGTGCGCCACCAAATTTCAGATGCAGAGCGCCCGTTAAGGTTAAGTAGCATCGATCCGTCAGTGGAGTAATAACAAGACGCCCGTTATTTCCGAGGTACTCGTATCTGCAATGGATGATAAATTGACTTTCTAGCAGAATATTTCGTTGCTCATCTTTTCATATTTTTATTTCGCGGATCACGTTAGTGTACACATGAGATCAATCATATTGAACACTTAATAAAACTGTATGGTATATTGTGTACGCGAGTACGGTACACCAAGCAATGGATTCAAGACTACATGTGTTAAATGTAAAGGAATCGAATTATGCCAAATACGAACCCATATTGAAATTCCGCATTAACGGCGCGAACTTTGAGATCGCTGTCGTTAATCCAGTAGTAACGTAATTGCGAAATCCAATCGAAATCGTTTGTATTGGCAACGTGACCATCAATTAACGTTGACAATACATCGCGAGCATGAACTTGGATTGTTATTATAGCTTCCAGCATTAGTCTCTCGATTTCCGTGCGTTGTCCACGAACCAAAATTCGTAGATCGTCTAACTGTGTCCGTAAATAGTCCATTCGATTAGAATAAACTTACACGCACACACACGCACATTCGCGAAATGTTCATTTTGTTTTAACATTTTAGTATAGATGTCGACCTTTATTTTGATTTTTTTTATACCGACCACTTTTGTTATTACTTAATAAATTACTTTAAAAAAATGAGCTTTGAATGCTTTCGAACTAAATACAATTGAAATTCGAGTAGCTGGATGATAAGATAAGAGTTGTCGGGATCACAGAAAAAGTGAACTCGATATTGCAGTATTAATTAAAAAAAATAATAATTATGAAATTGATTGTATACACGAACAATTATTGAAATTATTTAAATTTTCTAGAAGGCGTGGTAATGTACACTTAAGTAGTATAGACGTCTTTTCTATTTATTATAATCATCAAGTCACGCTGCGCTTATTTTAACTGAATTGATTTTTCATCATTGAATTTTAGTGCAAAGCAACGTATTCGGAAAATAATATAGAGCATAAAATAATATATGAGCGCCGTGATACAACGGTGCAAATGATAAAGCACGTCAGAAATACCTGCTGAACCATAACTTGCATGTAGCCACCCAATTCGCCGGATATTATAGCCTGCTCAACATGCGCAGTCCAGGAAGTTTGCCCGACGGACAATGAAACTTGACCTGGCCACATGAAAACCCAATCTTTTCTCGGCATTGATTCGACCGTTTTTAGCGACTTGCTTATTTCGTGTCTGACTGTGCTTCTCATCGCATCCTCGACATAGCCGAGCCAATATTCCACGCTACCTTCCGGACGAACTGGCGACTCCAATGTCACCTCTTCGCCTTCAGCAGAGTACATTCGTGTGATGGCCAAATCATCTTCGAAGCGCAATCCCTTCATACTCTCGAAACATTTTTTCAGATGGGGCTGCACCGCTTGCACGTTTTTCGTTTGGGCGAGGATCTCCAGTAGCTCATCGTCGCTGAGGAAGAAGAAACGCGGGAACAACATACGACGGCTCTCCAAATAGTCCGACAGACCTTTTTGCACTACTTCCAATAGGTTCATACACTCGCGTAGACTTTCCAGCAGCGTTTTATCCGGGCATATTTTGATCATCTGCAAATGTCAATGCTGAAAAATAGACATGTTTGAAATGTACGTGATTTGTTGAAGTCATATTTACAATAGGATTGTCGAAAGCTTCCTTCATGATCCGCCGCCAATTGCGCTCCATCGTTTTGTACTTTTTCGCTTCTATCGGCAGTTGTTTGCTTATGTCTTCGGAGGAAAATATCGGCTCGAGGTACATCCAAAACCTGTGCGACAAGATCACAATCAATATGGCATTCTTTCTGAAATATCCCGTCTCTGAAATATGACAACGGTGAGCTCTTGATACTTTTGCACTTCCATCCACAGATATATCACGTCTTGACAGAGTTTCAACTTCGAGGACCAGTCGTCTATTTCTTCCTCGAAAGCTGCTTTGAACGGATCAAAAGTTATCTGTTGAGTATTCATAATGTGATCGTCTAGAAGCAATAGAACTTCGTCAGCAACTTTCATAATGTACGTGCCTGAAAACCCACATAAAGTGTCAACTTCAAATATGACTTTAAAGCGCACACAAATGACCGGACGTTTTTATTTGCAAGGATTTTCATTTCGTGTACGTTTGAAAACTTAAGTTTTCGCGTGCCATTGCCAAAAGCGAAAGATTTAAAAAAAATGAAAACAATAAATAAAAAGTAAAGCGACAAATGAAAAGTAGTTTTGTTTGTAATAAAAAGGTATTGCGGATCAGCAGCTAAAGCTCACCGGTATCTTTGTAAGCTATGACGTCCATTTTCAAAGCATCCCACTCAGCTATCATTTTCCGTAAGGCGTCCTCTATAACGTGTTCCTTAGCCGCGCTTTCGGAAATTTCCCGGATGGTCTCCTCGTGTTCCATTATTCCAAACGATAATAGGCTCTTGAATGTGACGTCAGAGCTCATTGAAATTTTAATGCCAATTTTGTCGCTCAGCTCTTGTAGATGACGCGCTTTCATCCCGGGATTTCGCAGTGCTTGTATCACGCCAACGTACGGCTTGAAATGTTCAATTCGTCCGCGTATGTCGCTAACAAGTTCCAATATTTCTGTGCATATGATGTGTAATTTAAGTTGTGGCTCAAACTCATTGACAATAAATTACCTTGTTGATCTTGAAAACTTTTGCTATGTCGTATCATGATTTTCAACATTTCGGTAACTAATGGTTCAATTTGGCTCCCATCAACGTTTACTAATGGATTTTCCATCCAAATCTCGTACATATTGAACCAATCTATTTTAAAATGATTCTTTAAAATTAGATCACCTTCTAAATAATTATTCACATGCAAAATAATTAAAAATCACGTTACCTGCTGCTGTTAACCAAAAGCTCTTGTACGAGTCAAATTCTTTGATCAATTGCGTTAGTCTGTCGTAGGGCTTCATACGAGAACCAAACAACTTTTGCCTTGAATTTAGTAGCATGCCAAACTCTTGAGTTTCCTTCATTACTTTCCATAATTTTTTCACCTCGACGGACGTCTCTTGCACTTTGGAAATATCGCTTTGCTTGATAATGTTTGTAAAGCTTCCAATCAGAGAATCAATTTTTTCTATAATTAATTTTTCATCTTCTATCTGCACTTTGTAAAATATTGCTTTTTCCATTTCGACTAATTTGCCGTAAGCTTCTTCGATCTAAAAACAAAATAGACTAATCAGCGAAACGAACTCTGAGCGCTGACTAAATTCTAAATAATAATAATGGTAATAGTCTCTGTTTAAACTTCTTTTTGGAAAAAAGTCCGTGGGACAGCACGGAAATTTAGTGGAAAGCAATTATTGCTTTCAGCGAAAAGCATATTCATCGAGAATCACGTTTATTAATAAAATCTTGATAAAAACGAAAAGAAAGCATGTCGACTCGTTTGTCCAATTTTTATCTCCAATTTTTATTTTACCATTTTCCGTAAAATGAATATGCTATGGCAAACGAAGTATTGAACTCGGCTTTATTCACCTGTCGTACCGATCGACATTTTATGTATAAATGAAATAAAAACACGAAAATTTGAAACGAATAAATACAGTGTAAGATCACTGACTAATAATAAACACCACTAAAAACAAATGTTTAATTTAATTGTAGAGTATGATATTTTACGAAACAATATACGTATATAAAGTATGGTGATATTGCCGATGACTTTCTTGGCATTGTAATTGTCTAATTCGATCAAAAAATTTTAAAAATGCATTACATAGATATTGTTGTTTCACCTGCTTTAGTATTTTAGCTGGATACTTTAATGCCTCCCATTTCGCTTCGGAATCATCATCTGTCAAATTATAGTAGAATACATCCAGCATGTCGAATTCCAGTCGGACAGTTTGTAAAGTTTCGATATGTTCAGCAACAGTAATCGGCAATCCTTCCATCCACTCTCGTATCTCGAAAACTTGTTCGATGGTGGCAGGCACGACATTCAGTTTGTAAAATATCATTGTAAACTCATCAAGCATTTCGTCAATCCGACCACGCAGTCTTTTCGCGTGCATTTCTAGGAGACCCGTAATGACGTTTTGTTGCTTATCGATCAATTGACTCTTCAATCTTCCGATGTTTACTTCAAATGGGCCAACGTTGATCTGCTGAGGGATATCACTTTCCAAACACGATATTACTGCAAAGTGCATTGTTATCTCGTCTTTTAATTCAATTACAGTGTGTTCTTCTTCTTTGTAGTTCCTAAGTGGATATTTTATAATAGTTGTTAGATGCTTTTGATTCTTTTCGAATTTTTATTACTCTGGATGAAAATCTCATAAAACCAGTATTTTTAACTATCGTCAAAATCTTTTTCCCGTAAGTTTGAAAAGATGTAATATGAAAAAAACGTTATCAACATGAATGATAATCCAAACATTATTCTTCAATCGAGTAAACTTCAATTGTAAATATTCTCTCAAGACAATAGATATTTTTTTAATTAATTAAAAATGCATTATTTAAAACGTATATGTAAAGCTACTTTTCAATGAATATTCGTGTGTTATCGTATATTAAATATCTAAGCACTTACTCAACGTACTGTAGCGGATCAAGACCGAACAGATCACGATATTTGTCGAAATTCTCCAAATAAGCTACGAGTGGAATTATAGATTTCCGATATGCCGTGTTCAGTTTGTTCCGAACATTCGTTATTATTGATTCTTTGATATTTACCGACTTAACGTACAAGTCTCGCGAAAACGTTAAATTATGCAATAGCGCTGGATGTAGTTGGTTTATTTGTTGACACAACTGCAGCGCGTTTACCAGTAAAGCGTCAAACTTCTCCTACAATGTTAGACATACAAAGTTTTAACAATGTTATTCAAAGTTACGTAATAAACATTGAAAAATTATGAGGATCGATTACAATTTTTAGAGGATCATTCGGAATTTACCGCATAAAGATTAGGATCCGTGGTGTAGTGAGCACCATTATCATTCATGTAGAGTTCAATCGTGAAGATTGGATTGACATTTGACTCAAATAAGGGCTCCTTCAAATTTGATTTCCAAACGAACTTTTCATCTACATTTGACATGCACATCGTTGGTGCTTCTAGTGTCCTCAAAAATCCAACTGCTGACGTTTCAATCAAAGTTCGCAGCGCGCTCTATGCGAAAAATATCACTTTCTTTTTTTGCGCGAACCAATAGAAATGTTGAATATGACGTTTGCTAGGTTACGATTTTCATTTAAAAATCCAGTTATATTAAACAAGTCGATGATGAATGGCAAGCAGTGCTTCAAACAAAAAGAAAACAGAACTAGAGGAACGTTTGTCAAGGAAAACAATTGATGGCAAGGTGGAATGGCTGGAATATTAGTAGCCAAGTAAAAATCCGAGCAATCTTTATGAAAGTACAGCATTGCGGGTTCACGCGCCAGGGTAAAAGATTGGAGTAACGGAGCAATAAAGATTGACCTGCATACGCTGTCGTACAAGTTGCATGAATCTGTTGAGTTTCATGGCATCGTAAATGTCGTGGTGGCATTGTCTCAGATCGAACCATCCTTTGCCAATGTCTCTTAGGCTTATTCGTATAGCTTGGCAAATATTTTCCAACCATCCATCACGTAGGTAATTTACGAGCGAATGACTGGCGTGTAATTGCTGCGACTCAAATTCTTCCAGGCTCACGCTTTTCGTAAGTCTTAGCGAAAAAAGCGTCGATTTCGATGCTTTTTCACATTCCAACGCTATCGACATCATTGCCTCGTGTACTTCCGAGTGCACGTACAGGCTGTTCCATTCGCTGAATTGTCGAATTGCCTGTGAACATGATAAACTGCTTTTGTTTTTAATCTTATCGACTTTCTTCCGTTCGCTGACTAATGCCCTTTTCTTTATCTTTTCTTTCAATTTAACAAAGTAGATACACCAATTATGTTGTAGCCTCGGTGGCTTCAAACAATCAATCCTCTTTTTGACATTTCTCTATCTCATCAGGTCAATCCCAGAATCATTTCACACTTTGTCCGCTAGACAAACTCATTTTTCAAGATTCATAAGCATTGCTAATTAAAAGCTCATACTTTTAATTAACATGGACATTTCTTTAGAGGTACTTTTCATTCAGCTTGTGACGTTGAACTTATGCAAGCTTCCAATTAGTCTGGCTCAAATTATTAACCCTTTTTTCGGTTTTTTCGTGAATAAAGCAAATATAAAAATCGAATAGAAAAAAATCGTAACTCTTTATCCAATGAATGGAGCAAATGTTGAGTTACGACGCAAACGTTCACGAAAGCTCTTTGAAAGCTTCAAAGTTGTGCTAAAGTGTTGAATCAAGAGAAAGACATACGTGAAAATGCGTGGCAGCCGCGATACATGATTGCTGCGCTGTTGATTGGATTCGCTCAATAGAGTAGTCGTCAAATATCCCCAGCAAATGTTTTAGTGTTTCTCGGCACTCCAGTTCGCACATTACGCGTGAATAATTGCGTTCGACCTCACTCGCCAACTAAAATAGCATTAATAGCATCGATGTTGGGAGCGATTCAGTGTTTAATTTATTAAATACTAACAGTTATAATTCCTTTACTGTGAGGATAATTCGTATGTAAAGTATGTGGATAATTAATTGTTTCGTTTACATGAGCGCTCATCCCTTCTAAGGGCATACAGTCGATGTACAAATTGTACCTGCAAATAAATGATATTCGATCAGAATCTGGCCAGCCTCGCTGTTGTCGCGCTACGTCAAATAAAACTCGTAAAACACTGAGCTCCGCATATTGATTGCTTGTCTTTTAGATAGCGCTGTCAACGAAAGCTTCATTGGGCCGTTGCGCGAAATCCATTTCCCCTGAATCCGAGCGTAGCTCTTATGGGTTGCTTATGGGTTGGTTTCGCTCGATTGATTGCAATACTACTTCGATATGTATTTTATGCCAGGTATTAACGACCTTATTGTTGGCATCCAAATATCAGCTACGTTAATATTAATGTAGCCGATAGATATTCGCGTCGAAAACCCATTAATAATTAAAGTATTGTATTACCAATTGGAATAAGTATCGTTAGCGAATATAACAATATCATTGCAATTGTTCATGCATGTTATTTCAGGACAATGAAATTTAATCAGCAAATATTATTCAACAATTAGTACGGATAAGATATCTTGTAATAAATACTGAAGCTTGCATACTTGTGTTGGTGATTAGCGATTTGTTAAAAGCTCACCGACATTCGTGTAGACGAATGTCGATGAACAAAACTTGCACATAGGGTGGCCCGAGAACAACGTTTATCGAAGGCATTGTTTGACTCACTCAAGACGAGCTTCGCAAAATCTCCTCGTCTTCAAGGCAGACTCAAGCCTCTCGGCAAAAATTCGTGGGTCTTCAGCGATGAACCTCACGCGAAGTCTTGGCAATGTGAAAATAGTTTTTTTGCCATCGAGCGAGAGGAGGCGCAAAGATGAGTCCTCGTTATAATTGATGACAGCCACTAATTGCCATTTGTCTGCTCCTATTGTCAAGGCTTGCGCTGGCAGGGGGTGTCGCTTGCTCGCTACCTCGCCTAATCTCAACCATTCCTCTGCAGTTCTGTAAGCGCGCGAGATCCTTAGAATTAATCTCAGCTTGTCGAGCTCTTCACCGTTCTCTTTCTTTGAATGAAAGATCGCGTACGAAGATTAACGACTTGCTTAATCTTTAAAGATGTACTCTTGATATTCTGTTACCAATTTTTTTCTCTACTTTATTACCGATCGGTTTCCCCAGTCAATGTTACAACGCGTACTAACTATTGCTTTAAGGAAACATGAATTCTTCATTACCAGAATACTAAAATTCAGGCTAGAACAAATTGTACCAAAAGAATTCCTTTTTATTATTAAGAAAAAATAAAATAGAAGAGTAATTCAGCAATTTATCGTTTCTTTGTGTCATGGCCGATCAGAGAGATGGGTCGATGAAAACAAAAAAGAGGAAGAAAAGAATGGCCGTTCACAGTTACCTGCAGTCGTAGGTGTAATCGTCGAAAGTCTCAAGTGGAATATAATGTTGTTTGTTGATATCCGATGCGTTAATCCCTTTCTCGCGCAAAAGCACCTCGAGATCGAAGCTTTCGTAGAGCCGACGTCGTCTTTCTGTCTCAACGTTGCGTGCAATGCGCTTGGGTCCAGCCTCACATTCCATTTGAACCTTAGGGGAGAAGGTCTGCCTTGGGAACACCTGTCGAAGCCATTTGTGTTAAATGCCACGTCGATGGTCATCTTCGTTCACTATCCCCTCTGTTTCTTTTTCTTGATTATAATATACTCATTTAATTTAAGATTACATAGCAATCAACACATCACCTGCGACTTTTAGTTTTCATCGATATTATTAATTTACGTTGTTTTAGGGGGGCCACCTGAAGTTGAACAGTGAAAATTATAAATTTTTTTACTGTGGTGTGAAAATCGTTAATAATAAAGTCTAATAAAGTTAGCATCATGAAAAATTTTTCATTTTGAAGTACTCGCTAAATACTTTTATTTTCTTCTTTTCAAGGCCTACAATCTCACGTAAGAGCCTAGACATTCAAACTTTTTCCAATCAACAAGCTTTTTATCTTCTACATTTAGCGTCTAGTAACAAAATTTGATATCCTTTTTTGTTTTTAAAATTTTCGATTATTTTTCCTGATAAACTGGTTACTCTTCATTTTAGATCCCTCAACATGTACATACAGCACACCAAGATATGGAAAAGTTGGCTCCCTAGTTTTACCTCGAGTATGTACGTATAACGTGGATGAAAGTATGTGATAACTTAGTACCGTACGATTGCATTGTTTCAATCATTTTTGAAAAGTCACTCTTTATCATAAACATCGAATTCCAACAAAGGCTTAGTCAAATTGACAGCTAAACAATGCGTCAAAGAGAGAATTTTCAACAACTATTTTTTAATCATCGACGCGACTAAACGCGATACAATTGTCGAATTGTATAGCTTTTTCTGGGTTATTGAATATATACGACACGAAACTAGAGAGGCAAATATTTTACATATTGACGCGATAGACGGACATAATAATGGTATTTTATAAATTTACGTTTACAACCGATAATTGTATTGCATAAGCCTTACAACTACGTTAATAAGCAACTAGTTAAATACAAATTTATAATGAGTATAGATTTCGTTTAAGCAGGTACTTCACGTTCGAAACTTTTGACTATAGCTATGAACATGTATAGATTTTCTTTCGAACGAATTGCAGTTTTACAAAATAGATATTGTTAATAATCAAAAGCGAAATTCTTTTCCATGGTCCATTCTCTTGCCAGTGGCAAAATAACGTAAATAATATCATAAAGGATTTATCTTGTAAAAGAAATGTTAGGTAATTTTTCCAATATCTGATTAGTGATTAATGTAGAATCAAGATGTAAATTCTAGGCAAAACTTTGACTTTTTGGAATCAGCCAACTAACAATAGGAGCAGGTAGTACGTTCTATGCGAAGGTGAAATAAAAATTTCAAGTATTACTACGGATATTCGTAGGAAAAAGTCATCTATCAAGAATGACACCTTTTGCCTAATTTTCATTTTGGTTATCGATAAAAGAATTTTTTTCCACACACACAAGTAGATAGTTATGATTAGCCAGTCACGTATACAACTAAAACGAATATGACCTGCGATAGCCTCAATATGTAGTCTTAGTGAGGCGAAAGTAATCGTCTGTAAAACAAAAACATTTCCAAAAAGGCAGCGAAAATTTGATATCAGCGTACGATGGTAGGATCAGTGGGGAAAGTAAGCCATCGTTCGTTGTGAATCAGCCCTTCGTTATCTGTCCTTGTTTTCAAATACAACGGCGGGGTCGGCGAACTAAGGTTATTCCAAGTATGCATGACTTCCCGTGGTGGTGGTAGTGGTGGTGGTGCTGCTGCGGCTGCTGCAGCAGCAGCAGTAGTCCGTCTCCCTGTCTGATGCCCTGTTGAAGCGATCGATATCGCTACGTTATTTTCAGAGAATACGAAAGCAATTTAATCATTGAGTGCGCAATGCCACGTCGTGCGCGATCGATTCCTATTTTTGCTTTTTACCGGTGACAAGCTCCGAATAGTAGCCTCGTGTTCGCTGTGACATGTTTTGCTCCATAATGAGAAATTCAATACTCTTTTTCTCCTTGAGTACTGCTTTGCCTGGCACTTTTCTTTTATTTTTGGTTAAAATTTTGTTCCATGTCAGCGAATGTCGACTGTTTGCAGGCCTTGTTTTAATTAAAATCGAGAAATTGCTTCACGAGAATGTTGATCATTTGACTTTGGCTTGTATCAAGTGATTCTAAATAATCTACTCACTGTTAGTTGAGATAAAAAGAAAATAAATTTTGTTGTTTTTTTAATAAAATAATGTTAAAAATAAGATATTTATTTACATAAAAACGAATCAATCTTGTAAATATCAAATTCTATGCTGTAGATGCAACTTTATGTACTGATTATTTTAAAGAAGTTTAATCCTTTGCATATCAAAACTTTTTTTTATAATAAGAAAAATCCAGTATTTGTTCAACGACTTAGGGCAATTAACAAATACTCATTTACTTTTACAGAAAAGAATTAATAAATTGTGTGGAAACATTTAATTTATCAACTCGTTATTTCATTCATTATATAACTTTAAAATAAAAAATTGTTATAGGAATTACCGACCGATTATCACTAACACCGATAAAATAGATTTCTCCATCTCCGATTGCAAACTTTTCGCAAAAATAATCGCGGCCATAAGATGCTGCCCTCTGGTGATAGAAGTGTAGTCTGATGATCGCGCAGCAGCAACACAGAGACGACGACGAAGAAATTTTGTGTGCTGTCGCGCGCGCGTCTCTTGCTCAGCTCGAAGAAAAGCAAAAATGGACGGTTTGCGCTTTGTCGTAGCAGGGCAAGAGGCATAGAGAAAGAAAGAGTTAGTTCGTGCGTTGTAACTGTTCGTTTCTTCGTAGAGTTCTCTAGAGAGCGTTGTGTTTGTGTATGCGTGCTTCGCGTTTGCGTTAGTGTCCTTGCGAGAGAGCGACGACAGAGTGGTGTGTGCGCGACAGGCGCGCGTACGAGTGTTATTTTTTTCTGTTATTGTATAGTGTAAAGTAAAAATGTCCGAGTCGAAATGGCTTGAAAAACAACCGCAAGAGCAGTAGAGGCAGCTTCGAGAATGAGCGTGGGAGATTGCCTTGGTGGGCCGTGAAGCTGAAAAATCCCGTCTAGTGATCACCGAGATAGAGCGAAAGAGAAAAAGAAAGAGAGAGAGTGGAAATAGAGAGAGAGAGAGCGAGAGAGAGAGAGAGAGAGCGAGAGAGAGAGAGAGAGAGAGAGCGAGAGAGAGAGAGAGAGCAACGACGACAGAGTTAGAGTGAAGCATCATATACTCGGGAAGTGAGGTTGCTCGGTGTAGTGGTTCGGCCGCGGCCGCGGCCGAGCAGCAGCAGCCAAGCTGGACAAGCTACCCGAGTACCTCCGCGACACCGTCGATTGGTTTATGGGGTAAGTTGTCATATGTCATTTTTTTCTTCGTTGTCCCTCTCTTCCTCTCACTCCTTTAAGCGTTTTCTCGACACCTACACCTATTTTTGTCGCGTTGCGTAACTCGCACACATATTCGGACATACTCACACGCAGTACACATCCAACGACACGGACGCACACAACGCCAACAGGTTTCGCGCTACTCTCGATGAGTCACGCCACCACCACCTCCTCCTCTTTAGTCTCCACCACCACGTCCTCCCCCACAGGTAGGTATGAAGAAAGAGAGAGAGAGAGAGAGAGAGAGAGAGAGAGAGAGAGAGAGAGAGAGAGAGAGAGAGAGAGAGAGAGAGAGAGAATGAAGCGAAGCCCTACACGAGAGAGTGGGAGAGAGAGAGAGAGAGAGAAAGTAGGGGGAGGACCTCTAACGTTGTGCAGACGGCAAAACAGTTAGAGCTCTCTCTCTGGAGAACGGTTTGGCCGGCGGTGGCGGTGACGACGACGGCGCGGTGTTCTCTGATCGTTGCGGTGCGAGTAATAAGTAGTGTGCCACGTAAAGTGTACGCACAGGATACATCTCACTGTCTGCTTCTCAGCGGCGATGTTTGGTTTATCGGGACGGAAGTTCTTCTTCAGGTCCTGCAGCGAGGAAGGTGTCGCGATCACGTGTTTCGCGTGCAGCAGGTCAGACGGATAAAAGATAATGTTCAAACAAAAGCAGCAGTCCGGCAGTTAGCTCTTTCCTTTGCGTACTCTCCAAAGTAGAAAGTAGACTTTGACGTAACTCCTTGGCTTCATTTCACACGCGCACACAGGCTAGAGTTGCGCTCGAGAAAATCCAAACCTTGTCTCTTTCCGTGTCTCTTTCTCTCTCTCTCTCTCTCTCTCTCTCTCTCTCTCTCTCTCTCTCTCTCTCTCTCTCTCTCTCTCTCTCTCTCTCTCTCTCTCGGCGATAATTACACCTCGGAAAAGCGTAGTGGCGCTATGTGGTGGCAGCTCGATGGCAGCCGAGGAGAAGCTGTCGCACTGTCTAACATTGACGTTCCTGTTCAGACGAAGGTAAGGATCGATTGGCAAAGCAGCCAGCTACAGCGACAATGTTACCGTTAGGCGCGCGCGTCTATCGATTGTCGCACCAGCTCTCTCTCTCTCTCTTTCTCTCGCGTCAGCTGACGCTAGTAGCGCTCATGCTTTCTCAGCACACACGTATACGTGTACAGCTGATCAGCAGCAGCAGCAGCAGCGAGGCTGCGAACTGCACTCAGTGCAATTTACAGTCTTCTCTCGTTTTCTTTAATCTAGCGTGCTTGTTTTTCTGTCCGTGTGCGTATGCGTATCCGTGTGAAGCGGTAGATTTTGTATATTCCCCACTGTGGGTAGAGAAATTGGAGAAGAGGAAGAAGAGGAAGAAAGAAGAAAAAATCGCACAGTACCTTTGTCGCGTCTCTGCGAACGGTTTTATGTACATGGTGGTATGTGATGTATCGTCTGTGCGTAGATAAAAGTGGAGAGCATACTCAGACTGGGCATGCTGCGAGTGATGATGCTGGGCTCGGCCTCGGCGCCTAGCACACCACTGAGACAACCTACATCGTCGTCGTCGTCACAGCCACAGCAGCAGCAGCAGCAGCACAGAAGCAACTCGATACGAGACACATGCCATCGGAAAATACGTTTCTTCAGCGAGCTCGTCGCGTGAGTTTTTATGCTCGAAAACTCTCTCTGTGTCCTACTCTGTCTGTCTCTCTGCTTCGCTTTGTTTCAGCTTCATGCGTAGTGCTTTTCATTTTCACAATTATCGTACATCTAGCGAGTCTTTTGTTTTTCAAGGTTGTGCGTGGGAGCAAAACGAAATGTATGTGTGTATATGTGCGCGCGTTATCTTTACTTTTCGCGAAATTCTTTCTTACAGCTGACCGTTGACAATATATAGTATATTATCCCGCTAGAATAGGTTATGTAAATCACTTTCTCTCTCTCTCTCTCTCCCCCCCCTCTCTTTTTCTTTCTCCTACTTATTATCAGCGCACATAATACTGTTTCGATGTAAAAAAATTTTTTTGCTCCATACAAATCCCGAAGTTAAATGTTAGATTGAGCTTTTCTGTTTTGTATATATACAGTTGCCGACATACATATGACAAAACATCTGAATTATTGATTTTTTTTTATTGGCTACATAATCTCTGTTTTTTCAGTGTGTGTACATATGAGAGAGAGAGAGAGAGAGAGAGAGAGCGAGAGAGAGAGAGAGAGAGAGAGAGCGAGAGAGAGAGAGAGAGAGAAGGGGGGATCTTTGATTGACTGAAAATTCACAAACGAGATTAGACTGAAAAAAGATTCTTTCTAATCAATACTTGTTCTATGTCCTAATGTGGTGATCATCACACCAACAATCTGAAGAAAAATGAAAAAGAAATCTTTGTTATGCTTGTATCTCCCTTCTATAATTGAAATTCAATAGCGTGAAGTGTGTGAAAGAACAGCGAAAGAAAGAAAAAATTAAGGTAGCGTGGATGTATGAAAGACTCTTGGTGCGGCGACGGCGATGACGTGCAAAAGAGTGAGAGAGATAGCGAGAGAGAGAGGGCGAGCTTGTATAAAATCGAATTATCCCTCCGCGACCTTGAAAGCGCGCTACTGTATGTTTATATACTGGTGCTGCTGCTGTTGCTATCTACAACGTTACCAACGAACTCAAAAAAACCCTCGAACCGAAAGATTCCGACTCGTTCTTTGTATTATCTTTGTTCGCAGTGGTATTTCGATTTTTGCGAACATTCTTGTGAAGAACTTTCTGCGCGTCTATAATAAATTTCCGTTCAAATTTATTGTCACGAATATTAAACGTGTTGCACTCACGTTGGGTTTTTCAAAGAGTATATTTTCAAATGAAATGACGTCATTTGCGCTTGCAAACGGCTAAAGTTATACTTACTCGTCTCCACTCACAACAGATTAGCTCTTGCAATTATGGGCTAATGTAAACCAAAATGTGTTCTTATTCAGGAAAATCATCGTCAATTGTCCACAAAAGCAAATAATGAACGATCGATAGTTGTATGTGTCGGAAAGAAAAATGACTGCTGATACTTTGCTTTTTTTCTCCAAAACGTTTTACAGAAAAGCCCGACGAAAGGAAAAGGATGCAGGGACAACGGAAGATCCAAAATTATACTTGGAGGAGGCGGCACTGGAACGACAGCTGCCAGACGTGGACATGAGGGTATTGGTCGACTTGCCACCGGGACTCGACTACAACGAGTGGCTTGCGTCCCACACCCTCGCACTATTCGATCACATCAACCTTGTCTACGGCACCGTGTCCGAGTTTTGCACGCCAACTGGATGTCCTGACATGACCGGACCCGGTACCAGGTGTGTTTACACGCACAGTATTTGTCCGATATCATCGAGTGTGTTTGAAATAAATGAGAAATTTTTCCGCTTCCTCTTGACCACAGTTGATTTTACATAGCAGGTGGAATCTAATTAACAGTGATTCGTGTGTATCCTGTAAAAATAATTACAACTAAACTGTGTAATTTTGTGTAATTTCTCATGAAAAATTATTACGTCTATATGTTCATAGTCTACCTTTATTCTATCCTTGTTATCTAAGCGGATTTCACTGCCAATTGGAAGTGCATTTAGACCTGTTAATACAATAAGAGGTATTGTGTAAACGTAATGATAGTTACGTTGTACTAATTCATGAAAATTCAAAAATAATTTTTTATTGCTAGAAACCGACATGCTTACTAATTATTGTCTGTTCATTAATTACTAAATGAAAACTAGTTGGAAGTATTGTTAGAGTCGTAAATACAGACACAGGAATATAATTGAACATTGAATCCACCACAATCAGAATAAAACGAAATAAATGGAATAATCAATTTGCAGGACATATTTGTGGTTCGACGAGAAGGGAAAGAAAACTCGGGTGGCGGCACCGCAGTACGTCGATTATGTGATGACCTTTACACAGCGCACCGTAAGCGATGAGACTATATTTCCTACTAAATACGGTAAGCTATTTTCTATTTTGCAACAACGCAATTTAGCTGTTCTGTTTCACAGAGAACTTTTCATGTACATTGTATGTAAGAAAGTTTCGTTGATTGTAACTTGCTCTACAATTTCAGTTGCATTACGCAAATTCATTCGAATCACTGACAATATGTAAAATTAATAATCGACTCTCCTTTGTTTTGTGTTTAATAAACTCAAGATAATCGTTACCAAGTCGAAAACAAGTCGTTGACAGAGATAAATGTATATTATTAATTCACTTGTCAGTTTCTGACATCAGTTTACATTAATACTCTAATAAACATATGAATGCACCCAGTGTAACTGATCGACTTTTGCATTCGTTGTTTTATAAAGGTAGCAATTCGTATAAGTGTAATAATGCAGTCATTTTACACGAATTTTTATTCAATAATTAATATTCATGTATAAAACATCCATACAGACTCAAAAATACATCTCTTTCAAAATATGTCGTGAATAATCTATGAAATAAAAATGTATAGGTGTACAATATATATGTATATACATATTATATATGTAAATACATTTTAGAAGTTAGTGAAGTAAGACTTGACTGATTTGATATGATTTTTGCTTTTCGTTTGTTCTTGCTCAGCGAATGAATTCCCTAGTTCGTTTGAGTCGTTAGTGCGTAAAATCCTGCGGCTACTTTACCACGTCGTGGCACACATTTACCACTGCCACTTCCGGGAGGTGGCACTTTTGGGGCTTCACGTACACCTCAACTGTGTTTTCGCCCACCTCACGCTCCTTAATCAGCGCTTTAATCTTATCGATCAAAAGGAAACTGAAATCCTAGGTGATTTGGAGGCTGCACTTTTAGGTTTGTACCATGCCTTTTGCCTTTGCTGTAATAAAAGTACAATTTTTTTATTCAACAATGTTTGTATGATTTTGAAAACAGAAAAAAAGTATATTATCGAAGCTATAGATCTCTATCAAAGAAATAAAAGCGAAACAGTGAGTCACCGATAAGGTTCTGATAGGAGAAGTAATTAGCTTGCGTTCAGACTTTCATTGTCAATTTGAATTTGCTTGGTAATTCAAAACTGCAACTACAAGTTCAGTTGATTGCATTAGAAAAATGAGTTTGAAAGGTGGTTTCAAATATTCAAGTGACTACATAACATATCTATATTAAAAAAACATACGACCGACAATTATGGAACATACATAAGTAAGCGTAACACTTGGCTGATAACAATTATCTTTATACATATATTTTTATCTTCTCGGGGAAACACAATTAATAAGATTAACCATCAAGACAAGGGGTCATTTCGTGAAGTGTCATTTCATTAAAATAAAATACTTAATAACTGTATTATTAATAGTTCGGTATAATTTTAGATATAAAGTATCTTGGATATATATCTCCAATATAAAGTATATTGGAGCATTTGAGCTGACAATTAATAGGAATTACTGTCAAGTATATATATTTTTGCTAACAATACAATTAATCAATAATCTATATCTGTTGCAATTTGGACTTCAAATAAAAATAATAGGTGATCAAAAAAAAGTTTGATATGCAATCACCGATATATTTACCCGCAATTAAATATCCATTAGGGCACCTTATCCTCAAGTACAAGCAAAGTCATAATGTGAAATTGGATATATAGGTGACTCAACATCGGGAGGTGCGCAAACGTCGAGTGGCCTCGGTACGTCATCGGAAGGACCGTCGTCGTCGATGACGTTAACGACAACAGCAGCAACAATGACGACGACGTTGTCGACAGCAACGGTAGCAACAAATACGTTGATGGCATCAGGCAGCAGTACCTAGAGTGGAGTGAGGCTGCAGTTTCTCGTGCCGTCGGGGAACTATACGCGACTAGGCCTTTTAAATTGCTCTCTCATCTTTCTTGCGATGGGGAAGGTGGGACGCATGTTAGTGTCTGTCCCTTCTCGTATCACATACACTGAGAGTACACCGCGAATTATATACGAGAAAGATGAAAACGGACACTAAAGTAGAGTACCTGTAAATAGAAGCAAGAAAGCGACAAGCATAGACAACATTGATACGGACATTCTTACCTAAAAACTGAGTAAATAAACAAACAAACAAACAAACATACACACGCACACATGTGCGCGTGTACACGTACACACACATACGTAAATACACTGATGTAATTAGGTTCCTTCGTTTGTTGTTTGTGAGATTGTAAATAATTTATTGTGAGAGAGAGGGGGGCAGGGAGAGGGGGGCAGAGAGAGGAGAGAGAGAGAGAGAGAGAGAGAGAGTCTTTGAGCAATTTATTAATAGAATTTAGTCCAGCCCGGGACATACACGCGAACGAGCGAAAGAGTATTACGAGTGAGAGAGCGAAAGAATTATTGAAAGATAGCGACGATTATATATACGAGATATACTATTATTGAAGACATGAATTGCGAAACTATGAAGATAATGATTTGTTCTGTATAAAAGATACGCGAATGAAAAGAAAAAAAGTAATGATAATATTGTAAAGTTATAATGAACAAAAAAATAAATATATACCTGGTGTTAAACTAAAAGAATGTTGTTGATTTCTCACGTATCTCCGTTGTTCCCTCTGTTGTTCACTTCAACGAGTCTACAAGAAGTAAATAATACGGCAAACTCTTTGATGAAGAAACCTAGAGCAGCAGCTATTGGTTCGCAACAGTCGCGAATAGACGTTGCAATATTGTAAAAAAGAATTAGGATTGGTTGGATTAAGCCGTTGAACATGATGGAGAGTAATGGTTTGACGAAATAATCGGCTACGAGTTGGATTGTTCCAATGATTAATGGCCGTATGATACTGAATAAAAGAAATCTTAACGATTGCAAGATTAAAGCGGTGAGGAAGGAAATTGCAAGATGTATATAGCCGAATATTTCAGCCCAAAAGCGTGTTGCTACTAAGGCCGTTTTCTCCGCCTTCGCTTCAGATGTCAAAACTGGTGGTATGTCTGTTGTACGGTAGTACCTATGGTGAATAGATATGTCTTTGCTGACCTCGTTTTTTTTTCGTTAGATATTTGATAATTACGCGGAATTTCCATGGTCAAAGTAGTAGATTTCAATTTTTTCCGGTAATTCAGCTTCATGTTTCAGGTACAATTTCTGTTTGATAGGATTTTTGATAATATCCTTCAATTCATAGGCTTTATTCCCTGGTATTCCTAATTTCTCGCAGCATCCGAAGGGCTAAACCATATACCGTGCAATTACGAACACCGAAGCGTGTAATTCAAATGAAAACAAGAACCTTATCGTTACGAAAGTGTTTCTTATTCTTGGACTTGACTTCATAAGATTTGTCCTTTTTGCTCGCGTAGCTTTGCCGAGGCCATTTCCAATTAAAGCGTTGCCAGTCAGAGTTTTTGTTCTCTTTGAAAAAGCAGCAAAAAAATCGTAAAATAAACAGAATGAGATCGTATTGTGTAATAATGTTGCAAGCTACTATGTTGAAAGGTTTACCTTCGTTCCGCGGTTTCTGCTCATATCCATTCCTAGCGACAAACAATGCAATATTTTAATTTGAGTTACGTAAATTGCGCTGCTTCTGGCCATACGATTACTTACAATTGGAGTCTCTGACAATGACATTGTCCGGTCGCAAACGCAGACGACTTAAAATTGGGAGTCAGTGCTGGACACGCAAGAAACCTGATGTTACTCAACGTGTGTTGCTGACAGAAACACGCTTGAAAGGCAAACAATGAAAATTCAGAATGATAGAGTGTTTGCAATTGTTAGCAATGATACTTTGAATTTTATTAATGTCGATTTTTGTCTCAGTCAGCTTTGTATCTTTTGTTGTTGAACTAAAATCCGGTATTAACGATGATATATTGGATCTGTCCAAGGTATCCGATGAATTATTCTCTTTGTCCATAGTCATATCCAATCCAAGTACATAAACATTTAAACGACAAGAAACAGAAGGTTAGCAGCAACAACGCGATGATCAACATCAGTGCAAAGACCTGAAGTAATTTAAACATTAAAACAGCTGAGTGTCATCAGCTAAAAGAATGAACTGACGTATTCATGATTTATCAAAACAAATTTTTATTGCTATAAATATAAAACAATGCGACGTTCGACGCGGTAATCTTGTACATACATACATATGAGCTTTAGATAATGGCTAAAATAATGTTTCTCATCAAGATAAACTTGGCAAACAATGTTAAATATTAATATGCATGGCACAGAAACCGATTGGTGGTCTCTTTTGTATCGAATTGCAATAGTTTTGCATGGTCCTCAAAAATGAAAAATAAAATATACTTTGATGAATAATATAAAATCGGTACGATAAACTTGAAACTTTCCTACATTAAATAATCTAAGTTTTATTACAATATTTATTATTACATTTTAATTGCTTGTGTAGCCAATCAAGCAAGCTTAAAATTTTCAAAAATCACAGATTTAACATGAAAGTTCATCGTTGGATTTAGATTATTGTTTAAAAAATTTGTTTACCAAAGTATTTACTTAATCGATTCTTATATAATTAGAATTATATTTTCTAATACGAATAGAATCATCTAATAAATATACAACACGTAAAATTTAATAGGTCCTTTTTTTCAAAATTATTCTCATCCTCAGGATTAGACATCGATAAAGCTATATAAAAAAAACTTTAACGAGTAATACATACGCCAAGAATTTAATAGTTTTTTATAGGTTGCTTATTACTTAAGAAACGGAATGTTTGATCATTTTTCTAATTTAATTTTGTTCTATTTTTGCGCGATCAAAAACGTTAATTGAATTAGTAAGGTTCATAAAAAAATTAAAAATAAAAATTAAATATTTTTGTATGTATATTTTTGTACAAACATTTCATCAATATCTTACAAGAAAACTAATGTCTGTAAAAAACATTCATTATTATCACTATAGCGTTGATTCTGATAAGAAAGGAATATTTTAACGTACAAATATTCCAATAGATAATGACGAATCATTAAAATTGTTATGAAACGCTTTATCTAGAAATTTGTGTAATGTAGCTGCATTGCTGCCTAACATTTGACTTTAGGTATATTTCTAGCTTTCATTTATGCAAAATTAAACTTCCCATTTTTAATTAAATTTTCAAGCGAAGCTTAACAAACTTAGAAAAAATATCAAAAAGTAAGCACAGTAATAAATATCGCAATTGAATTGATTTCAATTCCGGCAGTTATAGTTCTCAGTATATGATTGAACATTACACATTGTTCTCACAAAAACAATCGAGAAACGAACTAAACATGATACAACGTTTGAAATAATCGTTAACTTCTATCCTACATCATTTTATACGATTGATAAATATTTAGCAATTGGGAAATGATAATCGCAGCTGGTTTTCGTTTGTAAGTAAAACATTATAGATCACTAGCGTTAAGATTTGAAAATAACGATAACTTTGAAGCTTTAGAAGTTGCCAAATCTAAACGCCTTAACTTACAAATCAAAAGTACAAGTAATACAAATGTCCTGCATATAAAATAAAAACTCAAACTTATTACGTGTTCAGCTTGAATATAGCTGTATGTACAACGTGAATGCATATCACGAGACATGTACATATATATCATATTATGTTGCAGATATCTACGGTGGCACAAAAATGCGTTAAAACTTATATCCACGTGATATGCTGATTCTTTTGTCATTCTATTGTGTCAACTAAACCATCTGTCCTGACTAGATTGGCGATATAATCGACGTCTCATTGATCCTTATCCAAAGGTACACCTTGCTTTGTTCGTTTTGGTTTTATATTATAAGTTGGCAATGGAAGCTTAGACATACTGGTAATTGTCATCGAGCAAAGGCATTTTTTCTACACCATCTTTCTTATTGCAAGTCTGCAACCAGTCGCTGCTTGGTTTCGCTTTTAACCCGCAAAAACTGCAATCACAAAAATCTGCTGCGTTTTGTAAGGCTCCTCGATGGAACGGATTACCTTTACTGAAGTGCTTATAACGACCGGCGTTTATGCGCTCGTTCGTAGTCATACCCAAAATCATAATCTGAAAATAAGAAATTTAATTAGGTATAGTTGAATAAAAATGCTAGTTTAGCGATTTTTTTTGTGGAAGCAATAATTTACTAACCTGGTAACACTGGCAAGCAAATAGTGTACCGACCCAAAATGAATGAAGAGCAGTGTTGGCTGCGACCCACATCACCCACGCATCACAGGTTCCAGCCGTAACTAAATAACTGTCAGCGGTGTGGACGTCACTTAAATTTGTCCAACACTCAAACTGCCAATACTGTATGGTTGCTCCTAGTACTACCAGGCAAAGACCGAAAAGAGATAATAAGTAGCCAAGGAAATACTTATGGTTTTTGGCTCCTATAATGAAAAATAGGAAATATTTTAGAAAAGCAAGTTACGTCGATTTAGTAATTTCTTTTAATTTAGTCATTAAAAACTTACCGATACAATTATTTACCCACGGACAGTGATGGTCGTACCTAGCAACGCAAACGTCGCATACTGAACAATGTTTTGATCGTAATGGTTTACTTACTAAGCAGGTATGACAAAAGAGGTGAGGCTCAAAGCCACCATTTTCAGCTAAATTTATAATACACTATAACAAAGATTGTTTAATATGAAGAAATGTGGCTTCATATTTTTATATTTTACTGTAAAAACTTACATCAAGTTTCTTCTCATGAGAAGCTTTAATTACACCAGGATCTCCACGCCATGATTTTAAGAAACAGACCCACAAAGGAACTGAACCCGTGACTAGCAAAAGCCATAAAAACCACCCTGCATGGATTCCAAGCCAAAAGATCCAAGTTATGTAGATCCATATCTATAAAAAAAGTATTTTGTGAAAAATGGCTATCGTGCTTTATGTTATCTTGTTGTTGATAAGATTTTTTCTATGAACATACCTTAGTTGCTAAGTAAATCGACATTGGCAGAACAAAATAAAGTCTTTCGTCGAAAATGTAGTTATTTGCCGTATAAATTGCAATATAGAGGGCAACAAGTGCCATCAATTTTATTAAATAGTCTATATTACTTTGGAATATCATACCTACAGCATGAAATATTAAAAATGGCGTACTTATCATACAGTACCAGCGTACATTCTGAAAATAAAGGCAAAGTTTTTTTTCAATGGCAACTGAGATTAAATGATATTAAATTACCTTATTTCTACACCACACTTTACTCCTTCCTTGCTTTTGTCTTAATTCATAACTGAACTTATGGCCTAACCATGCTGCTCCAATATGAGGTTCCAACATCATCATTGGTGTTTCATTTTTGAAATTTGGTGTGTCTAACGACGCTCCATAATGAACTAATGTCCTAATAGCAGTATTATTCTTAGCAATAATGGCCCAATGGAGTGCTGTATTGCCATGACAATTATCTGTAAGGCTATGTGACGCTCCCAAAGTCAAAAGCAATCGTGTCGGATCTAAGCTGTGAAAATATGCGAAGCTTAAAAAAAAAAGAGTATTTCTCTTAATATGGTCTTGTTAAAGTTTTCTTAAATGAACTTTATGGATGGTGAAGGCTCACATAAATGTTAAAATATGAGTGTTAAAGAAAAAGGCATTTCTAGTTAATATATTGATAAAATAATATAATGATTAATGGTTAAGAGAAATGAAAGAAAATATTTGGTTGTTGTAATGAGTGAGTGATAAATTAATTAGGTGTGTCATAGTTTACCTATTTATTTTATAAGCACTCCACATCAGTGGTGTCATGGCACTTCTGTCTGGCATATTTGGATTAATACCTTTTGCAACAAGGTAAGCAACAATAGCTGTATGCCCAAATTGAGCAGCCAAATGAATACAAGAAGAACCTTCGCAATCCCGCAAAGTAGGGTCACCACCAGCCCTCATCAATATAACTACTGTTGCCAAATGCCCTTGTCTGCCCATAATAATAATAATTATTTTGTGACTAATTCATATTTAACATAGAATTATGAAAACTAGAATAACACCTTGTAGCCCAATGTAATGGAGTTGACTGAAGCTCTCCACCAATTGCATCAACGATAGCCCCTTTTGCTATCAGATATTTGACAATTTCTTTTCTGTTATTGATTGCTGCCCAGTGCAGCAATGTGACTGTTTCAGAATCAGGCTGGTTGACATCAGCACCAATTTCCACCAGCTCTGTAACTCTGTCCAGAGCTCCATACTAAAATATCAACATGGTCAATCAATGCTAGACTTATGAACAACTATAAAGGGGATAAACAAAATTACTTGAGTAGCCTTGATAATATCAAACTTGCTGTAGTCTTGATTGACATGATGTTGAGGTGGTGGTGGCTCTTGCATACAAGGCTCAGGCTGGGGCTCATCTTCGCCCTGACAGGCATTTTGCATCTGCAGTGCGTACATCCTAAAGAGGTAAAAATCTTGCGAACTTCAACTCCACGATCGCGATAACCTAGTACTCACCTGAGTAGATTAAGTTACTGTCAGTAATCATTCATCAATGTCATAATAAACAACTCTCGCGCAAAACCGTAAAAGCTAACCTCTAACGAGATCTTCTTTCGATTTCACACAGTTCACTAGTATCGTAGAATGTTATGTAGCTTCTGTATGGTCTGCTAGTGTTTTCATTGTTGTACTTATTGCTTGCAAAGCAAATCCAATCACATTGTTGCTAAACGTAAATCTTTGCCCGCCACACACTATCTCAAACTAAGCGTTACGTTACTTTGGAGTAATACGCGCGCGTGTGATCAATGAGAGAATCGGACAAACGATAATGACTAATTTTATAAGCACCACTGAAGCGCACTGAACTTGTGTGTGTATGTGTGCGTGTGTGTTGTAGCGTGTACTGTACTATACTGTTATGTCTTCTGCTACGCCCCGAGATCTGTCAATCGACTGTGATGCCTTTGGTATTAGTCATGTGATTTAATTTTATTTAAAAATAATTTATTATCATCATCCACTGCTATAGCTTTGCTATAGTGTAGGGCGGAAGAAATGGATAGCTGAATATATAATTTTTCTGCTTCGATCAAGAATTAATATGAGAACGACAGTCGGTATTGTAGGTTGATTTATTCATTAGTATAGTAAAGGACTGGTATGATATGCTGTCGTACGTATACGTAAGTAGTAAAGGTCGAAATTAGGGTGGTCATGCATTATATAAACTCCTTTTTATCCTAACGAAACTTTATTAACAGACTTTTTATAAAAAATACTGCACTTTATAAAGAAGTTGAGTTTCTTTAGAATACTGAAAAATCACATTTTTCATTCAAGACTACCGGTTTATAATTTATAGATGTTGCAACTTTCTCTGAAAAATCGCATATTTGTTCATATATTATACATGATATGATTCAACACTACACTTTTGTATACAACCATAATAAGTTTGGTTTTTGTCTTTTTTCTGTTATTAAAATAGCCAAATAAATATGCGCGCGCGCGCGTATGTATGCAGGATACCATATATATGTATATATAAAACACCCTTGATAACTGTTTTATATAGTAGCTTGTTGTAAGGTCATTTTCTTTAAAGATTAAAAAATTTAAAATATATATATATATATATGCTAGTAATACAACATCAAGAACTTGAAATTGTAATTATAACAATGCATGGTTTCCTTTATAACAAGTCGCAAGCGCGCACCATAGCTAATAACTTGTTCATTCACACTTTTCAAGTGTCTTGTGTAATAATTGAGTCGGGGTCATTCGCATCTTACGCAAACGGAAAACGAAGTAACTGAGCATAAGTTAGAGTCGCATGGATGATTTTAGTTATTCTCGGGGATTGTAGAAGAACTTGAAAAATGGCAAAGGCTTACTCAAGAGACGAACGACCCCGCGAATTCTAACCGGCCACCACCCAATCCAAGAATTTCTCATCGTTCGTTTGCTTCAGCTCGTAAGCGTGTAGCCAGTCGATACGGGGTTTGACACTGACCCCACAGAAATCGCACTCGCAGAAATCTGCAATATTCTGTATGGCGCCGCGATGGAAGGGATTGCCTTTTCTAAAGTGCCTGTAGCGATTGGCATTTATACGCTCGTTTGTCGTCATACCCAATGCCGTTATCTGCGAACAATTGAAAATAATAATGAATTAACACTGCGACGATGACAATGAATCGATGACGCGTGAACTCACCTGGTAGCATTGACAAGCAAGTAGCAGTCCGACCCATCCTAAGTGAAATGAAATATTAAGAGTGACCCACATGATCCACGCGTCGCAGCGCATCGCCGCAAACAAGTAATCATCGGTCGACTTCGCGTCTTTTATGTTGGTCCAACATTCGTATCGCCAATATCGAATGATCGCAACCAATGTCAAAATGCAAAGGCCGAACAATGACATTAGGAATCCAAGAAAATACTTGTGGTTTTGAGCTCCTTCAAGAGAAAAACGATCGACTGTCCTTTTAAAAAGACAATGACACTGGCTTTGAAGCTTACCGATGCAATTGTTGATAAATGGACAATGATGGTCGAATTTAGCTATGCAAACGTCGCATACAGTGCAGTGTTTTGACCGCAACGGCTTACGTACTAGACAGGTACGACAGAAGAGGTGACTTTCAAAGCCTCCATTTTCAGCTAATTCTACAATGTACTGAAAAAACCATGATGGTATAGTTGAAACCAAGAGGATATTGTAGGTAGCCTTACATTGAGTTTTTCATCAGGCGTGGCTTTTACGACACCAGGATCGCCACGCCAGGATTTGAAGTAGCAGAACCACAATGGAATTGAACCTCCAATCAGTAGCGTCCAGAGATACCAAGTGGCGTGTATTCTCAGCCAAAAGATCCAAGTGACGTACAGCCAAATCTGCAAACGCTTGGCGATGCAAGCACTCTTCTTCTCGAGATTTTCCTTTTTCGATGCACTTACCTTAGTTGCCAAGTAAATTGACATTGGTAGAACATTGAATAGCCTCTCGTCGTAGATGTATTTGTTGGCAGTATAAATACTAAGACCGAGAGCTACGGCGGCGGCGAATTTTAAAAGATAATTGAGCTCGCTGTGGAATATCATGCCCAGTGCGTAAAACGCTAAAAACGGCGTGATTGTCATGCAGTACCAGCGAATTTTCTGCAAAAAGAACGTATCAAATTCGGATACGAGGCTCCCGAAAAATGAATAAAATGAAGAACGAAAGAGTACCAACCTTATTTCTACAGCAAACTTTGGATCTTCTCTGTCGTTGGCGAAATTCTTGAATGAATTCGTGGCCAAGCCAAGCTTCTCCGATATGTGGCCCTAAGAGTGTCATAGGCGTTTCATTATTAGAATTTGTTGCAGTCAGTGAAGCTCCATGCTGTACTAATGTCGTGATGGGAATGCTATTCTTAGCTATTATTGCCCAGTGCAATGCTGTATTGCCGTGCAGACTATCCTTCGGACTGTGCGACGCTCCAAGCGTAAGGAGCAATTGGGTTGGATTCAAACTTCAATAAAGTATCATTTAAAAGGCCGAATAATTCTGTAACATCGATGACGATTAATCACTCACCTGTTGACTTTGTAAGCGCTCCACATGAGTGGGGTCATAGCGCAGCTGTCGGGCATATTTGGATCCGTACCTTTGGCCACCAGATAGGCTACGATGTGCGTGTAACCGAATTGGGCTGCGCGATGGATACATGAAAAGCCAGCATAATCGCGAACAGATGGATCGGCACCAGCTTTCATCAACGCGACCACTGTATTCAAATGGCCTTGTCTGAAGAGACAAGAAACATTGTTTAGGTGATGAAATACATAAACAATTTGTTACTTTCATACGGAACGTATTGACTTAAAGGTATGTTAACTAACCTTATAGCCCAATGCAAGGGTGTGGATTGGAGATCACCACCTATGGCGTCGACGATAGCTCCTTTGCTTAGCAAGTACTTGATTATGTCGAGGCGACAGTTAATGGCAGCCCAGTGGAGTAGACTGACAGTCTCGTTGTCGGGCTCGTTCACGTCTGCGCCATTCTCGACTAACTCGACAACTCTCTGTAGAATTCCATACTGCAGAACAAGGAAAATTGAAAAGTATGGATTTGACTTATCTAAAATTAATTGATTAATTTGCGATGATACCTTAGTTGCTTCCACAATATCAAATGTGCTATAGTCTTGAGAGTTAATTCGCTGAGGCAGTGATGGCTCGTTATCCTGCAAGCTGCAAGGATCCCCTTCAGTCTGACTTGTATCTTGTAATTGTATTGCGTTCATTCTATATGGGAAATAATCGTTTTCAGCATTCGAAACAAGCATAATGAGAAAAGTCATAACTTACCTGAATGAACAATGGTCGTATCAGTGTTCATTCATCAACATCATATGGATATACCACCTCTCTCTCTCTCTCTCTCTCTCTCTCTCTCTCTCTCTCTCTCTCTCTCTCTCTCTCTCTCTCTCTACCTTAGTATACGAGAAAAACTATAACGACGAGGGATCGAACTGACTCACAAAAACGTAACACATACACACACACACATACAAAAGAGTGCCGAGCATTATCACGTTTCATCCATTGCGTATCAACCCACGCACGACAGTGTCTCATTGTTGTGCAAAACATTCAGCAGCAGCAGCAGCAGCAGCAGCAGCAGCAGCAGCAGAAAACTATCACGCGGCCATGTATTATGCTATACGCTCCATATAGATGTGCATAACGTGCACCCGCGACCTCGATTCTCGTCTGTACTATAGATACAGACAGAGATTAATTGTTATCGACGAGGGCGCTTGCGTCGTTGCAAACGTACTGCTCCCCTTGCGCGGATGTCGATAAGCAAGCTAGTTGGACTATCCACTGCTGGGAGGGGTTGCGTTAGTTAGTAGCGACGAGACTCGGTAGATGCGGCGAGTGTTCGTATTCAAGTAGTACGAGTCACAGTTAAGACTGACCATGACTGTAAATGCACATAAGAAGGGCTTTTTTATTTTTTTAAAGGAGAAAATCACATAGATCCAGTTTGAACTGTATTAAACGACCGTTTTTAATTTCTTTAACGTTGTTTTCTTACTTTCTCATGGCTTTCGGTGTTGATTAAACCGCAAATTAAGCGGCGTCATTTCTTTATTTTTGTTATAATTCTATCGTGGTTGTCCAACGTTTCTTACTAAGCCCAGCATAAGAAACGAAATGTCAAATTATTCAATTAATTAGCGCAATAATTATCTAATTTACCCTATCGACGTATCTTGATGTTATATATTAAGCGATAATTTTTTATATCCAATTGGCATATTGAAGTATGTATATTTAACAAACGAGATATTAAAGGTTTTAGAAACAGCTGCACGTACGTCCATCGCAAATTCGTGTAGTAATAGACGCATACATCAATCCATCGATTCATAAGTAAAAGAAAAAAAAGAGAATACTTCACGAAATTATTCCGCGAAATGATACGATTTCACTTATAGCTGACAAAGCAATCTACAAAAAATGAAAGAGAGAAAAGGAGAAAAGACGATGATAAAGAACAGCAATTGACAAATTTTCACTTGGCGCGCTGTATGCAGGCAGCCAAGCCTGAATCGCTGAATATTCAATGATCCAAAAAATTATCAAGAGAAGAAGAAAACGCATGCAAAATTATTCAAATGCCGTGTAGGGGAGGGTTGTTGGGATCATTTGTTCGAACAATAAGCGCGCGCCGGAGGCTCTGTCTGTTGAAATCTCACTCGCTTAATTCTTCATTTTTTTAACGAAAGGAAATAGGAGAAAGTTGCGAGAGGAAGGGAGGCTAGCGGTGGTGGATAGTGACCGTGCCTTGGCGTGCATGTCGATGAACCAACGGCAACAGCCTCTCTAATCAGGATGCACTGCGAGGGGGATGCTTTCTCTATCCCGAGTCGTTACTCCAACGCATACATTTACATCCAACGACTCGCGCTCGCACTCTCTGTAGCTATATATATGTATCTTTACGCTGGAAAAATTGAGCTTGAGAAAGAAGAAGAGAAGAGAAAAGGGATTGTGTCGGAGAGAAAGAAAGCAAAGTAATAAGTTCATTACGAGGTGAGCGCGAGGATTAAAGGAAAAGAGGATAAAGTATCTCGTCGTCGGTCGTCGTAAGATGGTAAAAAGGTGTAAAAGCGTCTCTCTCTCTCTCTCTCTCTCTCTCTCTCTCTCACCCTTCAAAGTAACCTAAGACACTTCGCGCACGCTTCAACTCGTTCACCAGTGGATTTATGGTGCTTGCGATAGATGCATTTATATGTATGCTTTGCTTAAGGGACCTGCGTATCGTGATTCTCAGGCGCCTTTGGAATGAGCTGTTTTCAATGACAGCAGTAACGGAACATCTCTTCTTCTTTTTCGTGCCAACTCAAGCTAAGTTATGCTCAAGCATGAAAAGTAAGATTAATGCTCGCAGCCAACTTGGCCAGGAAACTCTAAACTCATTTTTATATATCTTCGCGGGCAAGGCTCTAAACTTTATTATTTTTTTGCGTCGCCCGCTAATTTCACGCCAACCCGTGCATCGTGATTCTGATGGGATTGACAAAGTAACCTTCAAATATTCATAGATAATGTCTAACGATGATTCATCGTGCGAGACTGCTACATTGATAAATATATTTTCTTCTCGAACATTTCACCGATAGCTTTTGCAACGGCCAATTTTTTATTTTATTTACTCGACGTTTCACCAACTCGACGTTTCAGCTCGACGATCAAAAGAGGATTAGCAAATCGTTACAATTTTTCTCTCGCACTGACAGAGCGTATAAAAACAATTTGCGACCAACATCAATTTGGAGCAATGTTTCCCAAACGACGCTATGTTCATAGCACGTTTGAAATCGATACCTATGAAAAAACCTATTATCGTGTCGTGCAACAAAAACAAAGAAAGGGCTTTTCCAAACTGTTTGGACCTTATTGACCTTTATCCAATTTTCTGGTGAAAAAGCGCTAATGTAAATGTCTACATGCCGAACAAGGACGCGTGGTCTAATATTAAAAAGAATTAAGAATAAGCATGCACAGATGGCGGCATTGATTCTTGTCGAGTCATTAGAAAGTATCTCGCACGGCCGATTGACTACGATCGTCCGCGATGTTGCGAAAGGCTTTTTTCCATCTCCATCGATCAATAAGTTCCACGAGACAACAATTTATTCTCCGTGTGTCTAGAGCATTCTTCCTGCCGAGATCGGTGACGGTAACGAGAGCAACGATAAGGACCTTGACTGGATGCGTTAAAGCGCCGAGAAAATCAACTAACCGCTACTCGATTTTTGGCGAGATTTCAAAACACTTGCGAAAGCCCTATACAACACGCAGTAAACATACACAGTCGGCGAACGCGAGAGAGAACGAGAGAGAGAGAGAGAAAGCCAGCAACGTTTTTATCCACGGTCCGCTTATAAAAGCTCTCGGTGAAGGATCCGGTTCTATTGACAAGCCGATTTGCTAGCGTACGCGTCGATACGCAAACCAAGATGAGCGACAAGTGTCGGAGGACGATCAACTGTTTGATGGTGACGATGATGATGATGGTGATCGCGGAGACGCGACCGCCATCAAGTTACGACATGCAAGTGGTGGGAACGCTGCGTCGCGAGGTGAGACAACAGCCAGCAGTAGTCGCCACAGAAGTCAGTGATCTGCTCGCTCCGGCGCCGAGTAAACAGCAGCTCGACAAGAAGCACAAGAATACCTCTGGTAAGTTCGGGAGGTCTTTTTCTTTTTTACCTATCTCACCGGCGTGATGTAAGGTAGTTCTTCTCCTGGTAAGAAAGAGAGGGGCGACCGACTAGGAAGATGGTGAGAGCGCGGAGATGTGCGCGGTTGCGGTTTTCATCCGAGCACTCGCTAATCGTCGAAAACTCCGGCGACTAACTTTGCGCTGTAGGTATGCGTCGACAATTTCTCCGTTACTCTCTTTCAAACTTGGCGATCGGAACTTTCAATAGAAATAGCATTCTGATCATAAGACGAACTTGAATCTTCTTGCTATTGCTTGTCCCTGATGCTTTACTGTTCTTTGTGAAAATTGTTTGGCATGCAATTGAACAATAGAACTAGTTGTCACAATCGCGTCGAATATTAGATCCGATGCTGACCCAAACGTCCACTTAATGAGATGAATGGCATACATATTGCGACACGACAATGTTACAATCACACTCCATTATTTTACGAGCACCAGCACGAGCTGCTGATGAACTACCTAAAGCAAACCTGACACAAACGCACGTTCGCAGGTAAAAGTAACGAGGGCGGTTTCTATAAGCAGTTCGGTAACGACGCTGAAGGCGAGAAGGGTTATCTGAAGAAAAGCTACAGCAACGGTAACCACGGCTACAAGAACTACGACACCTTCCACAAGACTATCGGTGACCGTTATGGCTTCGAGGAACACGAGGAGACTGGCCAGCAATCCGCTGCTGACTCCGACCGCCAGCAAGCTAAACACAAGCAGACCAAGAAAAAACAGAGCGGTGATCACGAAGGGGCTGGTACGTTCGTCGTGTCTTTGCAAATTGCTCGAGTTTATATAGATAGAGAAATAGCTTTTCCGATCGATCGTGCGCCTGTAGAGAGGAAACTGTTTTCATTATGACACATTAGTCTTTATATATCAAAATAGCAAAATTTTAGTTGCGTTTGTACATAACCAAAATATATGTGAACTAAAATTCATTTTGAATGACGATCATTACTCTATATTCTATGATTTTTTATAAAATCTCTATCCAAAGAATTTTGTTATTTGAATACTTTAACGATCCGAAAGTTGTTCTACGTTATGCGCACAATTCGTTTGCCTTCTCGCGGATGAGTGAAAACAATCAAAATCAAATAAATAACCAATGTTAAAAGAATAAATACGATAGAACGAAATTTGGATTTACGTATTAATTGCAGGCACCGACGACGTCGAGTCGTACTACTCGGGCGAAGGCGGCGGCGACTACTCAGGCTACAGTGAAGATGGCGATGGTGGCGATGGCGAGAGTTCAAGTTACAGCAATGCAAGTGGCGAGGGTTATAGCGAATCATATTCCTCGGGTGACGACGGCGGTGAAGGTTACAGTTCCGGCGAGACTTATGCAGCATCAGGCGAATCCGATGGATCTTACTATTAATTAAACCTTTCCTACTTGTGATTTACTGTTAATAAATTGTTGCGCTTTATTATTTAAATTAACAAGTATTTCTGTCACTGATTCAAAATGTGATATCGTACAATGACGTTTCCATTACATTAACGTGGTTGTGATTGTTACTAACTGCTTACGTCATACAGCCGATTCAGTCAAATCTTACTACAGACAGCGATAATGAATAATCCAGGGTACTACGTCACGCGAACTTACAAGAGCTCAACGTTACGATATATCTGAGAAAGTTTCACTGACTTGAACGCAATTATTTCTATAAATTAAATACACATTATTGTGGCACAACATCGGATGTTAATCTACTGTGAGTGAGGGAAAACAAGATGGAAAGATAAACGGTTAACAAGGGTTTTCACGCCATATTAACGTTTTTATTCGATCCATTCTATTTCACCCTTTTTTTATCTTGACGACGACGACGACGACGACGTACCAGCCACGCATCAACCCTGCGTGCGTCGAGAAAAGGCGAATCGTCGCACGCGATATATTTGTCGTTCGAACGAATAAAAGGAGAATAAAATAATAAGAGAACGAAGCATTTACAGTCACGCGACGTACGTTAAATATTTATTCATCTCTGTCGGCAATTTTTTCCTTCTCGTTATCGACTAATTGATTTCAATTACATACTTCGTCATTTGTTATTTGGTTGAAGAGAAAAGAAGTAAAATAAATGAAAACTGGAATTTCAATAGTGGTGACAAATGTGAACGGCCCACTTGAAAGATAGCTGAAGTTGCGATCGTATATAACGAGTAAAGTTTAGCGTGACTACTGCGGCCACAATAAAACGGACGCGCGCGTTAATTGCGCGTGATAATTACGGCTAATCGTTGTCAGTTTCGCGACCCACCCAACGCTTATTGCTACGACATTCGTTACCCTCCCGTTTGTGTGCTGAAAAATCGGAAGTTCTGTCTCTACATTCCTCTTTTTTTCTTTTGGACGCCGCTGAAAAGTCACAACGCAACACTTATAATTTGAATTGACCGTCCCGTCTGTTTAGAGATATTTGACCGTTGTCTCTTCTATGACCATTTCATTAATTAATGTAAGACCGCATTTGAAGGAATCGGACCGTGTACATTTCACACGCATAATTTTATTGAATGATTCGGAAGAGCTTTTTATTCAACCGGTGACTTTGTCAACGAGGCCAGATACATATTTTTATAAGGTCTTATTCAAATTCCTTTGACGCTCAATAATCGTTAGGTACTTGAAAGTCGATTTGAATACACTTAAAGCAGTTTGATAGGCGTCTTATTTTCTCCCAAAGGCAAGGAAAAGAAAGAAGAAGGTTCAAAAGAGGCGCATCTGACTCAGTCTTCCCATGGAAGATTAGCCGGATTATACAGTTGCCGGGGGATCCATTCGATGGAAACGTACGCGCGGGAGGGCTGCTACTCCCCGTGCAGATTGAATTAGAGAGCTGCGCCCGAATAGGAGAGATCGCTTTGTAAGCAGACAGTAGCAACGGCAACGGGCGTCTATCTCTCTGATTGACTCGAACGTGACCCACGGCTTTTCCTCGTTAACGTTCATCTTTTCCGTCGACTTCCAAAACAGAGGGACTCGTTGTCGTCGTCGTCATCGTCACTGATTAGAGTGCTTTGCCTCTTCCTGTCCAGTAATTTCATTTTCGCGCAAGCAGAAAAGGATGCCAATGTTTGCCGACAGAAGAATGAACGAGAGAAAATTTTTTTCCATGTTACGTGTTGCCATTGTCGCCATTATCTAAGAGACGACACGCTCGATCGATTGGAGCTTTCTCCTTCTAGCAACGACGGCGGCGAGCTCCAAAAGAAAGAAAATATATATAAAAAAATGCGGCTAGATGAAAGGGGGGAATCGGCATCTTGCGCATGAGCGACCATACGATTCCGCTTCCGATTGAATCTTGGATCGGAAAGGAAAAAAGGATTCGTCGGCTATAAATAGGGAGCCGCGCGCGAGTTTGCGGACGAGTCTCTCTAGCGACATGGCTCTATTCCGTTTGATCCTGGTGTTCGGCTTACTGGGCTGCGTCCTTGCCAGGGCGCAATACGAACTGGTAAGGACGCCCCGTCACGATTTGACGCCTGCGGCCAGTCATCATCATCATCATCACAAAGATCATCACGGCGAGGAACACGGCGGCAAAGAGCATCACCATCATCACCACGAGGAGCACGGCGAGAAAGGCGATAAAGGACACCATCACCATCATCATCACGACAAAGGCGAGCACGGTGAACACGATAAAGAACACCACGAGGGCCACCACGAGGAGCACGAAGGGCACCACAAGCATCATCATGATGAGGAGGGCGAGCATGGCGAACACCACGAGGAAGAGAAGGGTCACAAAGGTGGCAAATTTGGCGAGAAGAAAGGTCACAAAAAGGGACATAAGACCAGTGGTTACCATCACAAGATTCACAAAGACGAGTACCACAAAGAGCACAAATTCTACGATGACTATCACAAAGGTGGTCATCACGAGAAACACGGTCATCACCACGGTCACCACGGTCACAAAGAGGGTCACCACAAGAAGGGTGGTCACCATCACAAGGGCCACCATGATGAACATAAAGGTAAGAAGGGACATGCGTCCAAGGGTCATCACGATGAAGATCACAAAGGTCATCACGGTAAACATGGGCACGAGGAACATCATCATCATCATGAGAAGCATGAGAAAAAGGGTGGCCATCACCATGGCAAGAAGCATCATTACAAGAAGGGTTGACGATAAGATTAACCTCAAGCTTTTCTCATTAAGCTTTTATTTTATAGTTGTTCACTCTTTTAATAAAACGTTCAATAATCTGATATTGAGTGATCATTTATTAACCTCCCTCTCGCAGCCATCTCCTATATGTATATTTGATCTTTGTATTCCGTGTTCCAGAAATTATTTGCTGCGCGAATTCAGTCCGTCTTTGATTCATTTGAAAAACGAAATTCTAGAGATTTAATACATTTATCGGTCTTGAAATGGAATATCGACAAAAAGCACACATTTGATTCGTAGCTTTATCAAAATTAATGCCTGAAATTTAAATTCAAAATAGATTTTTTGCAAATTTTATCTGGCTAACGAAAGATATACATAGATCACCGGCTAATGAAGCCTCTCTGTGAGTGATGACTGCTGCTTTTGATTTACTGAAAATTCGATCGCAAGTTCTATATAATATCTATATGTCGCACACGAGTATGAAAAGTGAGTGATAGTATTTTCCTCTTTTATTTATCATTGCGATATGGGTGGCATCAAACGCAGAACACGCGACACATCATCATAATCGTTAGCACGTCACTTGAAAAATGGACGCGCGCGGGAATGGCATCGATCGAAAAAAGGCTTTCTGCATTTATGTACGGGAACCGGTCATGCATTGCAAATTATTAGCGCACAAAGTCAAGTGTACGAATGACCACTGGTAATGTATGTATAAACGTGTATAATGCTGTGGTCCAACAATAGCCGTGTGGAAAGTGTTGATTTGTCAGGCAGCCGCAAACAGACAGACATGTACAAAAAAATGTGAAATCGTTAGCGCAAGAATCGGTGGCGCGATTTCAATTGTGGCTGTATATCGGGTGCTTGCGTAAGCTCTCTCTCTCTCTCTCTCTCTCTCTCTCTCTCTCGCTATCTCGCGATTAGGAAGGATTTTAAGCAGGTTAAGGAGAAGAACTTTCGCAACGGGCTGCTGACCGGTAAAAGAGTGAGTGAGTGAGTGAGAGAGAGAGAGAAACCCTTCCCACCTTGTGGTCGTATATAATCGGGCGCAACGCGGATTTCGGTCACAGACGGATAGCGACCGAGGCACCGACGAGATGAGACTGTGGTACATGCTAGTTGTGGCGTTAATCGCCTTCGCTTGCTCGAAGGCGCGTCGAATAACATTACCCGAGCTCGAGGCGTACGATCTGTTGCCAGCCGCGTCCCATCATCACAAGGGTCATCACCACGAGGAGGGCCACGGTGGTGAGTCGCACGAGGATCATCACCACGAGCACGGCGACAAGGGACACAAAGGTTACAAACATCACCACGAACATCACAAGGGTGAGAAGGGTCATCATGACAAGGAGGGTCACCATCACCATTACGACGAGGAAGATGGTCACAAGAAGCATCACCATCACGACGATGGCTATCATCATGAGCATCACAAAGGCGAAAAGGGCGAGAAGGGACACAAGTTCCACGAGAAGGGCCACTTTGGCAAGGGTCACAGTACCAAGGGTCACCATGAAATTCACAAGCTAGACGAGTTCAAGAAGGACAAGGAGTTCTACGACGAGCACCACGATCACGGTCACCACGAGGATCACGGTGGCCATCATCACGAGCATCATCACAAAAAGGGCGGCCACCATAAGAAGGGCCACCACCACAAGGGTCACCATGAGGGTCATCACGGTAAGAAGGGCCATCACGAGAAGGGCCATCATCATCACGATCACAAGGGTCACAAGAAAGAAGGTGGTCACGACGATCATCATCATCATCATCACAGTTACGGCAAGAAGGGCGGACACGAGGATCACAAGCACTGGCACCACAAGAAGGGCCACTGATTTTCAATTCTGTCCTCTTTGCATTTCTACTTGTTATCTCTTTGTGTTAATATAGTCCGAGCGAACAAAGCACACGCATCTACCAATGTACCGATGTTGTTACTGTACTCTAAGCAATTGAATTGTGAATAAGCGACGCACGCAATTTTGTAAAGACGACAAATGAAGTGTATTAAATAACTTTTTACAAATGAACTCTGACGCAGAATGCTATGTTTCTTTTACCGCTCTATCTTGAAATGCTATTTTTGTTGATGATTTAAACTGGAGAAAGAGCGCGGGGGCCTCTTCAAAGAACATTCTCTTGCAACGACAATAAATATTTAGTTAAATTATTCTAAAGGGATTAGCAAGGGAGTAGAGAGGGAACTTGAAGGAGATAAGAGTGCGAAAACCAGCAAGCGTTGACTCCGGCCAAAAAGGGGACGAAGGCGAAAATAAGGCTTTGTTTCTCTCTCTCCTCAACCGTGGCAAAAGTCGTCTGGGTGGGCTTGCGCGCAGTAAATAAACCAAAAAGACAACATCGACGAGCCACACCAAGAGAAGCAGCGAGATGAGAGACAGAGGGAGAGAGGGAGAGATGGAAGTTGGTCGGCCTCGTTGAAATTTAAACCTCGAGCAGGTGCACCGGACAGTGTGCTCTGACCGGCGAAACAATTGGATTTTGTCGCCTCACTCTCTTTCCCCGCTCTCTTTGTCCATTATGCACGGAAACCGTGTTGGAACCGCTGGCCTCTTTTTTCCATTTCATTCTCTCTTACGTGGATGCCATAAATCTAGCTAGTCATAATATCGATTTATCGGTCGGACCAAGTTTTCGTCGTAAAACCACACTGCTGTATCGAACGCTGCGCGTATAATTCAAGATTTTTCGCATGCGCCTCTCTCGCTACTCGGTGTAATCTATTTCCCGGACGATAACTCACGATTAATTTGTTATAGCCTACATGCGAGCGAGAGAGAGAGAGAGAGAGAGAGAGAGAGAGAGAGAGAGAGAGAGAGAGAGAGAGAGAGAGAGAGAGAGAGAGAGACTGTACACATTACTTTTTACGCGTAATTATTGCGAGAGAAAAAGAGAATGCGCGAAGAGGGCGATGATGTATTTTTGGTTTTAGCTTATACCCCCTCATCGAGCTTTTATTAATCGACGCGATAATTAATTCGCAAGCGCCCCTCGGCACGTGAGTAATTGCATGTTTGCGCTCGTGTGCGCCAGGCCGATAATTCGATCGCGAGCTTGGGAAAATTTGTTATTCCGATTTTTTCTCTTGAAAATTTCATTTATTTTGACACAAAAGAACAGATTTATTTTTTCTAAAATTTACATTTTTACACTTTTTAGTTGTCCACTTTTCAAAAATTGCAATTAATTACGACTGGACAGCTTAGAAAAATATATGTTTAAAAAAGCAAGAATTAAAAAAATCTGCAAGATATGATAGTGACAAAAGAAGCTTTAATTAGAATGAAGTTAAAACCGAATGAAAAGTTCAGGTTTAAAGAGCGTTGTGTTTCATATCTCCGTAAAATAAGCCAGCAGCGAAAGAGTAAAAAAAAGACCGACGTTTAATCCACACGCCCGGCAACATTTATAATTAGCTAGGTCTATTTTATGATGGAAGAGAGGGGACATCGCTTATCTTGAAAGTTAAAAGCATTTTCATACGAGAACGCGTGCTTGGTAGTCATCGGAGAGTCAGGATGGACACTAGCGAGCGAGCGAGCGAGAGAGAGAGAGAGAGATAGGATAGAGAGAAGGCAGCACACGAGAGTTTGCAGTACGTTCCGCAAACATGCCTCGCAATTGCGAGAGAGTGAGCGAGAGAGAGAGAGAGAGAGAGAGAGCGGCAGAGATTGAAGTAAACTACTCCCCGAACTTTAATTACTCTGTCCTCGAGAGCAAGAGCAAATAACGCGCGAGATGAGTCAAAGTCTACCGCTGCTGCTGTTGCTACGTCACGTCGTCGCAGGAAATTATTTTCTGGCTCTCGCACGCTCTGACATTTTTCTAGCTTTTACTTCGCTTCTTCGTTGGTGGATAATACGTGTCGTAGTGATTCAACTGATCGACGAATATACGCATCTCCGTGTGCGGTGGTACGATCCTCGTAAAGACGAACTCACCGCCGTCGGCGATGTAACGACAGTACGGCATCCGAAACACGCATTGCCAGCCGAAGCTCTCGGCCAGACGTGTCGTGTAGCTACAAACGAAATGCCTCCGTTTTCTCTTGCTTCACATTGGCTAGAGTTGATTATTGAATGACGGGACCAACCGACCTGCTGGTGCAGTCTATGCGAAACAGTCGGTAAGCAGTGTCCCTAGCGAGTACCCAGCTCTCCTCGACGAGTCTCTTTGCCAAGCCTTTGCCTTGATGTTTGGGATGCACGGCTACGTAAGCACACTCGAACAGTCTGTCCACGCAGTAATTCCTCCACGGATCGCACTGCCTCGAACAGAACGCGTAGAAAGCCAACAGATCCTTGACTCTCTTGCACTCGGCGCACGAGGCGGCTAGTTTCTCTTGCTTGCCGACGTCCTCGCGACGCATATCCACGTTCACCGATGCTCCGACCACGCAATTCGTATGTCTGTCCTCGATTATGATCGTCATTCCACCGCCAATCGCCGAGTACATTTGATGCATTAACGTCGGAGTCAGTTGGCTGGCTAAACCTGCGTTTACCAACGATGGCTCACTGCTGAAGTATGTCTCCACCATGAATCCCATAACGCGATCGTAATCACATGGATAGGCCAGTCGGACTTGATACTCTGCTGGCTGTAGGAGGATCGAATAACAGTTACCTCAACGTATTTCCATATGTCTGCCATGCGAATGTTTAGTTAGGTAGAATATTCCAGAAGAACGAAAGTCGGTTGGGTTGGGTTAATAATTCAATTTTCATTTCTAATGAAAAGGCTAAATTTAAGCTGAAGCGATCCACAACGGCGATGAACGTCGACACTCGTACCTGCTTAGACGGGCAGAAGAGGTTGCGCACGGGGCCACGAATTCTCGCAGCGGTGCTTGCCGAAAGCAGCCTCGTCAACATTTTTGCCATTATTTTTGACGCTTCGTTCGTACACAACTCGTTGAGAATTTCGAAAGGAGAAAAGGGAGAGCGGCAATGTACATCGCTTGCTCGCTATACGCGCAGCTAGCAGCAGCAGGCAGTTACAACTTCCGTATCCTCCACATAGTACAAGTCCTCTGCGGATCGGCCAATACCGGTAGGCAGCAACGAGACATACTGGGATTTGATTACGTATTCACAAGCCGACATTGCCACTTTTTTCTCGGTTGGGAAAAAGAGGTTAAAAAAAAACAAGAAACTTGCTGCTATACGGCGGCTGTGCGGCGCACGTGTGTGTGTGTGTGTGTGTGTGTGTGTGTGTGTGTGTGCGTCGGTCGGTCGGCTCGGGTCTAAAAGTTTTCGACAGAAGACGCTCGATAATCAATAAGGAGCTGCCGCATACTAGCCGTCCGCGTGATTTATGATGGAAACGGCACAACTTGCTGATCTGCATACGTACTGCACTATAATCGCAGCGAGAGCAGCAAAAGAGTGGAGTCGAAAGAAAAGTTAGGTGCGCGCAGGCGCACGGGCTTACTACATAATTGAGCGTCGCCGAGGTAAGCAATATATCAGAGTTCGCGCGCTAGACAATGAGAGCATTATTAATGTCCATTAATCAAGCGCTCGCAACGCTCGACGTGTAAACAGGCTGCAGTTGCTGTTGCCGCCGCGAAGAAGTGAGTGTGCGTGTGTCATTAACGCGATGCTCAGCTATGGTCAAAATGCCGACTACAGTCCTATCAAACTGCAATATCCTTCCGAATGGTCCACATTATAATTTTCGAATTTTCGCCGAGCGCCGTGCGATCGATGCCTCCGAAACTTATATTTTGATTGGAATTCGAATGGGGGAAAAGCGTTAATTATCGCGCTCGCGGCGGAATGCTGATGCGGGGATGCGGGCTGACTCGTAATTTCTTTTCAAGTTCCCTCTAATTTCGATGTGGAGCTTTCTATGCGTTCACTTGTATTTTTTTCTTATTTAATGAAATTACGTAATGAGTCTTTGCACAATGACATTACAGAGCGCTCCAAGAACTGTTCGAGGAAATACGCTGCCGTGCAATTACTTTCACCTTGTTGTTTCTTATATTCGCCGTCGTCCGCTAGCTGAGGAGCCATTAAATGAATTATTTTAATGATTGAGTTTTTATTCAAATAAAACTTTATTATTGATCATTTTAACAAAATTTGAATTGCGCATAGACATGCAAAATTGTACACAGTTACACATTATGGCAGCACTTTATGTTCTGTTTATTCTCGAAATTGGATATTCATGCTTTATAATTTTACAGCTGCGGTTGCCATGTAGACAACAGCAATCTCAGTATTGAGAGTTTCGATGTACAGTATGCACCATGAATGATTTTTAGTCGATGTATACCATTCGTTGCTACCGTCAAAGGTATAGAATAACACTGCTAAACATATCGCCCATAGCATTGGCTGAATGAAAAAAGGCAGAAACGATATTTAATAGAATTCTGTGTACAGTCGGACATTGAACGCCTGCAATTGCTTTCAAGAAAAGAAGCAACAGCAATTAGATACAGCGCGCAGGAGAAACAGTGTACTTTAACGTCAGCGAAAAAGAAGTGAAGGGAACTCGTGTATATAAATGAAAGTGTAATCTACTTTATTTAGTGTGTCGATAAATATACAAGAACAAAAGCATCGATCAGTCTTATGCTGCCTGTAGACAACAAAATAAACGAAATAAACGAAATAAACGAAATAAACGAAATAAACGAAATAAACGAAATAAACGGAATAAACGAAATATACGAAATGGGTTCTACACCTCGACCATCTTGCCCTGATATTCTCTCGTCATTTTAGCATTAGGTACAACCTCTCTAGTCATCTCCATGTGGTCGACACCCGGTGGCTTCACATTCTCGAAATTCGCTGGTAACATCTCAGCATGCGGTTCCAATTCGTCATCTTCTTCGTTCTCTTCGCTACTCGCAGCAGCACTCGACGTACCAGAAGTAGTATCCACGGAGGACGATGATTCGCCGGCAAATTCGTCGAATTCAAAGTCAAAATCTTTCTCGGCGTCCTTCTTGCTGCTGTCGATGGCAAACGCGCTGATAGTAGCCACCAGACTGACTAACAGTAACAGAGTCCTCGTGAATCGTCTCATGGTGAAAACGTTAGAATGCGCACTACCCGAGCAAGAAATTTCGTCGTCGCTTTTATAGCGCACCGCCTAATGGAGCGTTACAGTTGCGCAGTGCTCTGCTCGTTCTCCATTACTTTCCTATTATTCTTTCATTAGCTGTGCCTGCCGTACAGCCTGTGTCGGGATTCATGCGCGCTGTGGGCTTATTTTTTCGCCTCTTCTTTGTCGATACTTTCGTTCACAATATTGTTGTTCAATCTCCACCACCTCGCTCTCCTTTTTACTATTGAAATTGCGCGAGAGAGGCATAAATGTGCAGCTTATTTTCTCGTGTCAATTTCGTTTGCGAAACTATCTGCGTGATTGTATTTACATTAAGATAAGCCTGCTCGTTTTTATCGATGAATGTTTGATATTTCTGCTGCAACTTTCCCGTTATTATGCTTAAATTCGTATAAACAGTTGACGGCAAATTTCCAGTGCTATGGTTTACGTTCTCGGCAATACGTTCATTAACGTTACTTTCAATGCTCACTGAAATCATACAATTTATTCATTAACGCTCAATCGTGAATTATATTCTCGGCTTTCGCGGTATTACCAAGTTCACTATTCACTTCATCAAATCATATGCTCACATGCATGTTGCACTCTGCAAATTTCAACTAGACGCTTTTCTAGTTTCAACATTCATACACGCGATGGATAAGACTTTTTACGAAAGTATAAAAGTTTCTGTTATTGAACATTTGAAATTTCTCAGTAAACAAATCGAGGAGGAGCAGCAAGGAAAAACATTACACATATACCATAGCGAATGTGTCCAATCGGAATTTTAGGATGGAACAATGCAGACACAGAATTTAGTATTCAAACATACGAGTATGTACGCGTATGCTTTCCAACTTTTTATCGAAATGACTATGCTGGACGTCGCAAGTGCTTGTAATATGAAAAACTTCTATCAGTATATTTTTCTAATATCGCAATTCTTTTTTTATGAAACGCCTGCGTAAATTGCAATTTGAAGAGAATAGCAACAAGAATATTTGACAGAAGACGTTTTTTTTCAACGTAGATTTGGCTCAGCAAAGCACGTAGAACCGCAATATCTATGTATAAGCACCAGGAGATACCTACAACTATTTGGATTTATAATAAATTTTGAGAAAAGTAATTTAATTATAAAGACTTACTTAAACATTTATGTCAGAATGTTCATCGTCATCATTATCTACAGCTGTATTATAGACGAACTCAAATCACGTAATGCGAATACTGAAAATAGAATGTATTTAATGACATGCCTCATTGCATTATACGATTTGCGCACTCAAAAATTGCCAACCAAAAGATAATGCCACAACTTTTACTAGCGGACAAGTTAAAAATAGAGATAAAAAAGCAGCAATTACTATCGGGAAGCTTGAGCAGTACCACGTAAGTCCAACTATAAGCGATAGGCGCAGAGTAAAACTCCGCGACGATAGCGCGACAGCAGTAGCAGTAAAGGTTTGCCCCTCGCAATGTCGAAATCGGAAAAAGCGATAAAAAAGAAAAAAAAGAAAAAAAAAGAGAAATAGGAAAAAGGGAAGGGCGAGCTTAATGGTCACGTTGCACAATGAAGTTGAGGCCAATAGAGGAATGTGCTGCTGGTGCTGAGCACACTGTCAATGGCAGTTGAGGTCATACTTGAATCGCCGACGTCGACCGTGAAGTATGTTCGACATTCGCTATCACACGCAGGCCTTGGTTTTCTCGCCTATGCCCTGCCCCCATATATATGCCTACACTACATATTCTCTAGCGCGATTCAGTATAAAGCCCACGACAACTGACCGTCTGCTCCACTTGGGCTTTTCACTCTCTGCATAACTCTTGTATAAATAAATATATATATATATATATACACACACACATATATACGCACACATCCTCGTTCTCTGTCTGCGTTTCTATCCGCTCCTGTCGTTGAGGTGTGTGTCTCTGTGTGTATTCTGCGCTGCACCAAAACGATTTACGAGCAAAAGGGGTGCTCTTACAAAAGGGCCTCGTCGTCACCGCTTGCGCCTTCAACATCTGCGCGTGTCCCTGTGTCACGCACTGAATATCTCATTAAATAAGGTAAGTTCTGTTGGCGCGTGAGCACCATAAAGTTAGATTATTCTTGTTTGCCTTGTTGTATGATTGGACTTGCATGATGAATTATTGTATGAATTCAGTTTTACGCTTGTCATTCAATGTTATTTCGTCCAAGTGGAATGTCGAAGCTTGTAATCTGCATTAAATAAATCGATGAGCATTTATAATGTTTTCACTCTCGTGAAATTAGTCTTTAATTTTATTCAAGCTTACCATAAATTACCAAATGAGTGAAAACTCCAGTACCTATGGAAGGCTTGAAAGTGCTACGAATCAGATGATCGAAATGCGTAGCATCCACCTCGATAAAATACGCCTATTGAAATTCCCTGAGTAATCATACATGATAACGTGAAGCAAGGCTCGTTGATAATTTAAGCAATCAAATTTTCGATATATTTAATTGATTTAGATGATTTTTCAATTGATTAGCAATAACTTTAAGGCTCGCCGAAGCAGATACCGAGAGTTAAACAATGAAGCAAGTGGCTCGAATGCTTTTTCTCGTCATGCTATTGGTCTATGCAACGGCGAATCCAGTCAAACAAGTGGAACGCATGGTAATAGCAAAGATGCGAATGTCCGACCAAGACGGCTCTGAAACTGGCTACGCTTACGAGCAGCAGCACGGAGCACCAGTGTCATTCGTGCAATATACCACTCACACTGGTAGTTCGGCTGGCTTGCCGTACGAAGGCGACGCTTATGCGCCATCGCATGACGCTTATCCATTTTATCAGACATACGGAGATTACGATGTGCCTTTGCCACCTTACTATCCTCAAGCATATCTTGTACCACCACCGCCATCACCGGCAGTACCGGCAATCGTTGAACCTTATTCACATGGTCATTATCATCAGCATCCTCACGGAGATGACGGGGATGAAGAATCTTTCGAAGAAGCCGGTGGCACTGACCACAACGCGCAAGATAACTTGGTGCACGGTGAAAAGGGTGAAAAGGATTATGGCAGCTTTCACAGCCGCGACGAGGCTGATAATGTTCATCACGAGGCTGATCATAACGATGGTGAGCGTCTCGCGTTGCGTGAGCTTTTGTTATCGGTTAATTTTATACTCCTGCAGGAAACATATTGCAACTTTATGCAAGGCTTCATAGATTTCTCGGATTACAGTGCAGCGATACCCGCGATATCAATTCAATTTCTTTTAGCTTCTAGTTCGCTGAAATTAATATGAATTTTTTATCTTCTCCGAGAGCAACACTGAAGTATAAATGAAAGTAACTGTTCTTGTGAAACGACTCTAACATAGCTCCGACCCGATCGAACTGCATAGCTCCTATTCAGCTAGATTTCATAGGTTGTCTGCAGGGCAATCAACTTTTATGTATCTATTATTGTACCGAGATCTCTCTGATCTGATTTTCATCTAATTCAATAACTATTTAGTATGTCTATCGATAATGATTAAATAACTAAGAAATTCCGAAATGCACTATAAATTAATTAAATAAACGTCAATTTTATAAATCAATTGATTTCAGGGGAATACAAGAACGAAGCAGGTCATCAAGGTGGTCACGAGGAGACGGACACTCGCTTCGACTCTCACGACAAATCGGAGGTCGGTCAACAAGGCACCAACTACGGCAATAAGTCCTATCAGAAAAAAGGTCACCGCGTCACCGGGTTTCATAACGTTTATCACAAGGACGAGTACAAGAAAGATACTGATTTCTACGATGAAGATCACGATGGTGGACATTACGAGAAATACGGCGCTTATGACGCTCATCATACGGACGAGGCAGGTGGTTATGAAAAAGATGGTAAGCACGATGCTGGTTACGATTTCGCGAGAAGAGGACAACAAGGACATTTTGAGAAAGGTCATGATGTTAGCTCGAAACACGGACATAAGGGTGCTCAAGGTAAAGATTCCTATAGACAACATCATGCCGATTATGATAGCACAGGTGGCAAACGTTACGCCAGTCAACATGGATATAAACAAGGACATGGATATCGATAGGAATATTTTCTCTTTTTGCATTTTCTTTTTTATCACACAACTAGTTTCTTGTTAGTAAGCTCGTGTTATTTTTTTTCACTTTCCTCTTTGTAGATAGATACTTACTCATCGAGTGTCAATGACGTGCGTCAAGATTATACGTGGCAAATGTTTTGTTATTTTTTTTTTTATTATGTCTTATATTGTGTGTATAGTGTCAAATTTTGCTTGTAACAAAATTATTTTTTACGTTTTTTATCAATTAAGTATAAATATTTACCTTTTCCATTACATAACAGCAGTGAAAGGGTTGAAAAAAATAAAACAGCTAATGTTTAATTCAAAATCTGATAAACTTGTGTACTTTTTTATATGACTCCAATAAATAATAATTTATAATAATCCTAACGATTGTACACCTGATTCCTAACTTATTAAAATAATCCAGCTTAATTATACAATCCAAGTGGAGCTAAATGCTGACAATAATATATTCTAAACAGAAAATAGAACCAACTTTTACACGTGAAGAGCTGATAATCAAAAGAATATATATGAGTACCTATCTTTGCTTTTGCGTTCTCGTTATCATTTCAGTCCAAATCAAATGATTTCTGCTTTTAAAACAAAAAAAAAGCGATTCCATCAACCCGTTGAAGTGCATATCAAAAGCTCGTGAAATTTGAGGTGTGAAGACGAAAGATAAAAAAGAGAGAAAGAGAGAGGGAGAGAAAGAGAAGGTTGCGTACTTGCATAATAGTCGATGTGTACGCACCGCAAGTCTGAAGTCATGTCCTTCGCGCATGTTTGAGTATCGAGGTGTGACTAAAAGAAATCTCTGCGGATGTGTTTCGGCCAGTTGGTAATGAGGCCTTCACTCTGACTATAAAATACACGTTTAGAGACGTATTGGCGCGCGATATAACGATGACGAGGATCCTGCTGACTTTCGCAGTACTACTGCTGCCAGCGCCGGCGGCACTCGGCAAGGAGATACCCAAAGCAGCTGCAGCTGCAGCCGCAACGGACGAGCAGAAGAAACAAGAGAGTTCGACGACCAAGGATCTCAAGGTGGCGTCCAGTTATAGCTACAGACAGAGTAGCGCCGATAGCGACAACGACGATGCCACGTCGTTGGATGACTTTAGACCAAGTAGGTTTCGGAGTTTCGACTTTCATGGTGGTGCTGTTGGCGGTTTCAATTTCCCAACCAAATATCGAGTTGGCAGTTTTGTCACTGGAGGTAGGTTTCAGTCGCATCGCTCTAATGATCGCGTTCTAATTCTCCAGAGATCCCTGCGAGAAAATAAGAACATGTTGTTATAGTTGGCAGTGGACTTGATGGTTTCGGACATGGTCTAAGACGAAAGCATTTTTCGAATATCGATGTCGATGAACACAAACCGATTACTTTCGATAATCATCATCATCATCATGAGGATACGGATGATTTGTTGGACGATGATCACGAGGAGAAGCACGTGGAAAAGGGAGAAAAATCGCATGAGAAGCATGAGTCTAGTGGAGAACACGAAGCTTCTAAGGGTTACAAGGTATATAACCATTAATTAATGTTTTTTTAATCATTGAATGTCATAGTATTGTTATATATTACTGTATGTCATCAAAGATTCCAAGAACAAAGGATTATTAAGCGCTTTCTTAAATAATTCACTAATGGTTACATATATCTTGAACCTTTCTATTCCATATTGGAAGTCTATAAAAATCTTGCAATACTTTGAAATATGCTTTCCAATAATATAAGTCCTTCGTCTTTGGAATATCAATGAAATGAAATTAGTTTCAATTCCCTTTATAGGTGTCATGTAACATTAAGTAATATCGTAGGATATCTGTAAATAACTTATCTACAACTATTTTGCAAGCAGCCGCAATTGTAAACTAAAATTATAGGTTTAAAGTGGTAAATAATGTGATGTGCAGAAAGTTGTCAATAGATATCATAAAAATTATTTTTAAGTCCAGTGTCGAATACATTATCGTCTAAATTTTACAAGAATTCTAACATAAATTTGCCGATCTTTGTTTATTCAAAAAATCATAATTTATTTATTTATTCTCAGGTAATTGAGGAATTCGACAAAGGCGAGAAAAGTGATAGTAAAAAAGAAGAAAAGTCAGGTAATGAATATGAAAAAGCATCTCTAAAAAGAGGCCACGAAGACGAAGATAAGCATTACGCGGCACACGAAGAATCAGCGCAGGGCGCAAAAGGTGATCATTTCACGAAAAGCGATGGACACAAGAAGGGACACAAGACGACGGGTTACCACAATATCTATCACAAGGATGAGTATAAGAAGGATACGAGTTTCTACGACGACGAGTATCACGACGCCCATCAAGAGAAATACAATCAGGAGGATCACAAGCACGCTAAGAATGAGGCCGAGCACAAGAAAACCGAGTTTGTAGACGCCGCTTACGAGCAGGCTGACAAGGCCGAAAAAGGTTTGTTCGTTAATGGCCATCAATACGGTGTCACACAGGGACACGATCGAGAACACGGCGTCAAACAGCATCATCAACACCAAGCTAACGCACACAGAGAAGCTCAACACGAGTCGTCGCAACACAACGACCAGTCCTCGCACTCGCATCACTAACGCATAACATACTTCTTCCTAAACCACAGATTTAGTGTTTTCTATTTTTTATACCTTTTTTCAACTTTTTTACTATGAGAATAAAGACAGAAGAGAGTATACGAGTAAGAGTATAATGGCCTTGTCTTTGTTTGATCGATCGCCAAGCGATTATCACGCCCTATAGCAATTTTCCGGCCGATCACCTGCTGATTGGCAGGCAAGGCGGGTGTAGAACCACGAAATTTCAATTGAAAATAGGGGAGAAGAGAGGAGGGAGAGAGAGAGAGAGAGAGACAGAGAGAGCGTGCGAGCGACTTGTTTTCGACTGTCGTGTTCCCACGCGTTGACGATAATGACGTGCCGCAGTTTGACGAGTCGTTTGTTTCACCTACTTGGCTATTGGGTTTAACTTTAACTACAGGACTGAAATTTAGATCTTTTCTTTAGAAATCTTTGATGAGAATCCGATCGGAAATGGAGAATTTCGCAGGTATATACTTGTTGAATGAGAGAATTGACGACTTCTTGTTTGGCTGGTAGCTTGGAAACAAGCATCATTTGAAATTAAATTGAAATGAGAATCGAATTCGCAGTCGACGTTCCAAATGAAAAGTTTTGGCGATGAAGAAAATACAAAGTTTGAAAAGTCGCGGATTACCTCTCGTTTAAGAGAGCTAGTTAACGCCAATGCAGTTCTAGCGACTTTTTTGATTTATCTCTCATTCTTTTCAGCGAAAAAGTCCTACATTAGCCCAAGTTTTTACGCATGCTAAATACACCAAACTCAGTACACGTATAGATATTTTATCGCGAGGACAAGTTTATGTGACGCGCAATTCTCCCAAACATGTTAAGTATCAAACTCATTGCTAAAAAGAAGAAAAACGTGGGAGTTATAGAAATGCAGACGCAAGCCGACAGACGTGTCGGTGTTCGGTAACGGTTGAGCCGCACATAATTTCAATTAGTAGAACGAGAGCGTAAGTCGTTGCGCGCACAAGACAGAGAGAGAGAGAGAGAGAGAGAGAGAGAGAGAGAGAGAGAGAGAGAGAGAGAGAGAGAGAGAGAGAGAAGACGCTTGGCATATCCACGCGCACGAGAGAGGAGGGATTAGCTGACACACAGCGAGCTCGTGCAGATGCAGTAGCAGCGATGTTATGTTAAATTGAATAGGAATTCCTTCGAGTATAGAGTTTGCCGGCTTCTGACATAACTCGCGAGCCGAGGCAAAACTTGAGAGTCTCCTGAATTCGCCCTCGAGAGCAGCAGCAGTAGCGGCAGCTATAGCGCAGAGTCCGTGGCATGTGCCTCTTCGACTTGATAGTCGACTATAGGACTAGGGTTGTCTCCAACGGAACGCGCAGTCGACTTACACTTAATCATCTGAATATCTGCGTACATTTCCAAGATCGTTACAGATAATAACGCGATCAGCATAGATTTATAGTTGATTACATTGGCAATTTATTTAACGTCGTTTACAGCTGATTACATTGGCAATACACACACACACACACACCTACACACAATATTCGATATTCCACTTTTTGTTACGCGGTAGCATATTGTATAATGGAATTTCATTGAAATTGCACCTAAAAATTAATTGGATTTTGTTGGATGTAAAATGGATCCATCGGAACGGAATTCAAATTTCACGCTCAAAGGGCAGCCCTGCTGCTTCGTTTTTTTTTCTTTTGATTGCACGCAAAGTAATTTGATTATCGAAGTATGTGGCATCATTTCGCAAACAATTGAATTCACCAGTTGACCTGCGTATGAAACAAAGTGATTGCTGAATTTTTCGTGGCGCCTGCATCTTTAAAAATTTGACTGCATATATATTTGAAATACACAAAAGTGCCATGACATGAGTTGTAAGTTTTCATGCCTTTCGGCATTCTTGACACACAGTTTTTATATCATAAAAATGTTAATGGTATATGGAGAATTCCTTGTCGGAAAAATGATATGCTATAAATAATTTGAGTGATGATGAAAGTTTTATTTATACGTGCTAGGAGGGTGCATAAGCCTAGTTATTTTTTATGTCTTCTATTATTGATATTACATTCGGCAGGTATTCCAAATTTACTTTACAAACGATAGAGACTATCCAAACAAAAAATGTACTACGATGCTGTAGTGGCATTCAATCGTTTATTTTAAACGAATTACAAAATCTTAAGACGGCAGTGTTATTGTTTCTATGGCTATGTAAAGAACAGACGAATAAAGCAATATTTCTTATTGAACCAAAAATAACGCAACCCAATTCCACTTTCGGTGTTTTTAATTGTAAAAGTACTTATTTTTGCGTATAAAATCCCGACTGCACGGTTGATTTACTGAATAGCACTGTGGTGTAGAATAATGAAATAGAGAAAGAAAAATGTAAAACAAAAGGTTTTTATCGATTGCGTTATCCACTGATTCTTGGTCATTTTTTGAACAATGACGTAGATAAAATTACTATCCCAATTCATTATTGCTACTTAACGCCAAGCTTCAGAAGAAATTTCGCTTGAGATTTTCTACTTATCAGTCAATCACTAAATAAGAATCAGCGAATAAAACTATGGACACCTTACTTCCTGAACTGTTAAAAACACAAGCAGCTAAATGTTCTTTTCTGGTGAATTACATCGACGTGTAAAGTTTCGCGACAATTGGAAAATTAAAGTCTGGATATTTTACATTATTGTTGAAATGCAAACACAAAAGCATATAGTTTCTTCCAATCAACAAAAGATTCCATTAGTCCATCCTCCCCCACACACTTAGTTTGTCTTTATCCATCACGAAGATCTTTTTACTTGTGGCTGCCAGTGCGAGAAATAAAAGCGACACGTTAGCAGTGCAGGAAAAATAATAACGAGACGCAAACAATTGCGTCGCGCGGCAGTGCGGGTGGTTGAAGCAACCATTGTGTACATACATACTTTCCTCGCTGCTAAAATTGTAAATAATGCCTCGATAGAGAAAGAAAGAAAAAAAAGCAGCTCGACTTTTCCGCTGCTGCTTTTCAAACGCTCTTTCTCTTGTTCAACAGTTGTCACGCCAAGCTAGCGTTCGATTGGTTTCGCTTGACTCAAATAAAAAGTTCATTGTTTCACAGGCAGGGTTTCTTTCATTTTCACAGAGAAAACGAAATTCGCACGAAGAGTTACACAGCAGCAGCAAGAAAAACGGTGGACAAAATGATGCCAAGCTAAAAGTTCTCTTATATACTTGAATTTTTATTTATTATTCTTACCAACGTTAGATAATGTGTTTCATGTTTCGCTCGTTCAGCATATGTCGCAAGTCATTGACATAACTAAATAGTGGGCATCCCAACAAAGAACCCTGTGCTACTTCTAGAGAAAGAGAAGCAGTACAATAAATTTTCTTGATTTTTTGTTATATATGCTATATATTCACTGTGAATTGGGATTTCAATCTTCTTCTTCTATGCTCCTGACATAATATTACCTATACAGGTATGTACTCGTGTACTCTTCTCCATCTTTGCCTTTTTTTCGCCAGTTTATCCGATGCATTACTCTTGTGTACACTACAGCAAACTTTGCGCGTTCTACGTGTTCTCTGCACGAAATAAATGTACCTCTGATATTTTCATTGCCCACTACCCTCGTCCTACACTGATGTTGATGTTTTATCAACAAATGGGATGTTTACGATCAGCTTTGGAGATATCATTGTAAATAAGCAAATTACTGTTTGTTATAAAAATATCATAGTGTTTTTGTCTCTTCTTTACTTTTTCATTAACCCATTAAAGCCCACGCTAAGACTGGTTGAGATAGCGACAAACAAACTGTGCTATCTTTTGCATAAGTGAAAAATAAAATATACGTATTTTTTTTTATGTTATTTTCAATTGTTTATAACAAATTATTTAAACAAATTACAAAAAAATTCATAATTATCAAAATCTAAATGCGGGAATCGATTCTGGAGGTGAAATCAAGACGAAAACCTATATAACACTTTTTTGTCAGAATTCAATTTGTTAGTGTAACGTAGGAATAAACTATTGCATGTTGGGGAGAAAAAGTGACCATGTCAAGTCCCAAGCAAAATCTATCTGGAATAGCAAAAAATAAACTGTGCTATCCTTTGCATAAGTGAAAAATAAAATATATATATTTTTTCTTATGTCATTTGCAATTGTTTATAACAAACTATTTAAACAAATTATAAAAAAATTTATAATTTTCAAAATCTGAATGCGGAAATCGATTCTGGGGGTAAAGTTTAGACGAAAACCTATATAACACTTTTCTGTCAGAGGCCAATTAGTTATTGTAATGAAGGAAGAAACATTCGGCCTCCTGAGAGTGTTTCAAAAAATCGTATAAAATGAAGCTAATTATTGTATTTACCCATCAATATTGGCATGAATTATTGTAAATATAATCGGTGGGATTGAATTATTGTTCATTGCCATGTCCTTCTTTATGACTTTTGCAAACAGGCATAGAACATTTCTCACAATACCATTCCGTTCTTGTCCGACATGTTGAAATTCCACATTTCCTAAGACTCCCATGTTTCATCACGTGTTCTTGGGATGAAGTTTCACTCTGTTTCTGTCGTTTGGGGGGACGTTTGGAAGATAACTTGTCAATATAATATTCACAAACTTCTTGAACAATATCTTTGGAACCTTTTCTTTCGTCTGGATGTAACTTATTGTAAATCACTGTAGCGTTTGCTAAGGATGCTTGGATGAGCCGTAATACAAGGCACCATGTCCATTTCTTACTTCGAATTGTAGGCATCAAAGCATTACAGTGTTGATCATGTAGATCGACGCCACCCATGTGTTCATTATACATAGAGAAACAATGAGGAAAAAGAATAGATTTTTTCGATGATTCCTGCCATCTCTGCATTTCAACTTTTGGTTCATTTCCATATTTCGAAGAGAGAATCGATACTGGCTTTGAGTCCATAACTGTAATATAATTCAATTTTGAATTCACTTCATGCATTGAAATAGTGTATCCTCTTTTAGCTTTTTTTGGCATTTCGACTTTCACTTTCACACGATTATGCCGAACAGTTCCTGTCGCCGATAAACCATTTTTTTTCAAATGAATCATAAGATCTGGGTTTGTGAAAAAGTTGTCAAAATAAATATGATACTTTTTCAGTTCTTCTCTCTGTGTTTTTTCTAATAAATTCGAAAGTAACTTTATCACCACTCTAGACCCTAAACCAACGGCAACTAAAGGATTTCGTTCATCGATTCCTGATTTACCAGTGTAAATATCAAGATCATATATATACCCATCAGAAGAACAGACTGCCCATTCTTTTATTCCAAATCTAATGGGTTTATTCCTTATACATTGCTTGATACCAAACCTACCAAAGTATTTTACCATTATCTCATCTATTGATAAATTATAGTCAAAGAAACCAAATTGCATACAATTCTCACGAAACATATCATACAGAGTTCTAACCTTCCAGACTTTATCATTTTGATCAGTTTCTTGAAGTTTATAGAATCGTATGTTCTTTTTTATGGCAACGAAATTATTTCTAGACATAAGTTCCGCAATTACTGGACACTGAAGTATTCGCTTTTTTGACCAGTAATCACGAATACTTTTTCTAGAATTGAAGATAGTAATCATTATGATTGTAATAAATTTTTCTAGATCATCCATACATAAATCAAAATGATTTTCAGAAGTGGCTTCAATGATATGGTTTTTCATTGATTTCGAAAAGAAAACCTCAAACAACTCAAAAGCATTTTTGGATTGCAATGATGAAATAGGTGAAATATTGAAGTTGCTCTCGACATGCGGAGAAATATCATTCAAAGCATCATTTTTCCAACTGTACTTATGATTCGGTTCCAACAATTTCTGAGTACTTGTGTATGTACTTTTAACATGTTCGTAAGAACCTGATGGTAATTCATTTGATAATGTATCTTCATTTGGATCACCGTCCGAATCTCCATCTGAACTTTCATATTCATTAGGAATGAATGCTATATCAATATGTTGACCTTCATCACTATCAGAATCTTCAACTAAATTTGGTAGATCGCTAATTCTCCGTCTCGGCATTATCAGTAACGTTACCAATTTAGAACAAAATAAAAACTAAAAGTTTTCCGAAATTATTATTTCAAAGAATAGATCCAATGTATAAATGTTTTCAACCGTTAGCCCGCCACTCAAACGTGATCTCTAACACGGAAGGATTTACGAAATGAAATAAACTTATCCAATTACAGTATAAGATCTCAAAATTTATCAGTAAAAAATACTGATATGATTCCAGATACCATGTGTGAGAATGAAAACACTTATTTGTCAATAGTTTATTTCTACATAAAGATATCAAATTGAACTCTGACAAAAAAGTGTTATATAGGTTTTCATCTCAATTTTATCCCCCGAATCGATTTCCGCATTCAGATTTTGAAAATTATGAATTTTTTTGTAATTTGTTTAAATAATTTGTTATAAACAATTGCAAATGACATAAGAAAAAATATATATATTTTATTTTTCACTTATGCAAAGGATAGCACAGTTTATTTTTTGCTATTCCAGATAGATTTTGCTTGGGACTTGACATGGTCACTTTTTCTCCCCAACATGCAATTGTTTATTCCTACGTTACACTAACAAATTGAATTCTGACAAAAAAGTGTTATATAGGTTTTCGTCTTGATTTCACCTCCAGAATCGATTCCCGCATTTAGATTTTGATAATTATGAATTTTTTTGTAATTTGTTTAAATAATTTGTTATAAACAATTGAAAATAACATAAAAAAAAATACGTATATTTTATTTTTCACTTATGCAAAAGATAGCACAGTTTGTTTGTCGCTATCTCAACCAGTCTTAGCGTGGGCTTTAATGGGTTAAGAAAATATACAATTATTAGTAATCATAGTTACGTCTACGGGGCCAAAGTAATGATGATATATTTATTTTTGAAAGTTTCAATTTTTTAAAATAAACCTCGATCAACATAAGCTACTATCAAATGCACGTCATTATCGTATACAACCATATAGATAAGTAGCAAACTTATCGATTATCAATTATGACGTCATGCGGCTATATTGCTATAAATATTCGTTATTTTTCATAAAAAATCAAAAATTACAATTTTAATGACAATAACATTTGACATAATTTTATCAGATAATAAAGGATAATTTGTTCATATATTCTATTCTTTATACTAACGTTTCATTAACTTATTATTTTGTAATTTGTTGTGTCCTCATTTAACAGAGAAGAAGAGCCGAACGCTGCAACTTTCACTTTTCCAGCTCGTACACTAGTCTCTGCACACGCATCAGTTATATAAAAACCAGTCAGTCCGCGCGATACAACAGTATAAGTTAGCCAGTTCCGTAATTCTTCGATCGGAGCGTAAAAAAGTGGGGAGAGCATGGATTTAGGTTATCACTCTTCAAACTTGGCCAGTCGTCAACGATATAAACGTTAGATCTATGATACAAATTGGTTTCAACAATATAAACAGTAATATTATAGTGAGTGATGAAAAATCCAATAAATATGAGATTTGGTGATTGAAAAAGTGTTACATGCGCCTAAAACAAACAAAAGTCGAATGACAATTGTAAGCGTTATTTTTATACAATCCGATCGATAATGAATAAATCTATAATGACCTTAAATTGTGAATACGATGAGTTAAATCTCGATGAAGCCTGTGTAACAGTGAACAATGAAGTTAATAATCCAAATCTCTGGTTATACACGCTGTCATCCGATTGTGCACTGGTGAGTAATCATCATCGAATAACAAGATTCGAATCCACTGATTAGACTATCGTCACGTTATTTATTGACTGCCACAGTGTCCTTACACTAGGATAGCCGAAATAACACCAGTTCGAGCGTTAAACATTACAATAAACACTGCGAGAGAGCAGCTATGGAGGATTATTGAAACCGATGGAAGCGAAAAATACATTTCCGCTGCGCAGGAAGAGTAAGCTTCGCGAAAAAAAATTATCATCAGCTAACTGTATTCTGTTGATGGCTAAAAGTGTAAAATTTCAGAGGAGTTTATTGTCAGCTGAAACCTAATGTGGAACAATATGGGATTTACGAGCTGGTTGTTGATCAAAATAGTACTTGTAATCTGGTGAATTATAGAGAGCCGATAAACCAATATGTTAGTAAGTGAAATTGCTGGTTTGAGCGATCGAACGATCAATTAACTGCGTCAAATAATTTGTTTCAACTGTCGTGTTGACTGCTTTTTCAGCACTGGCAATTGCATTTGGATCAATTATCTTGCTACTCGTTGGCTTGTCCATCTTAAAGCGGATTCGACGCTCGATACATGAAGCAAATATAACAGCACAAAGTGCACCTGTCAAACAAAGAATTCGTTCGCTCGACACCGTCAGAGGGTATGCTTGAAAAATATTCAAGAATAATTCATCAAGTGATCTTAGCTTCTGAGTTAATATTAGCATGCTAAAATATTTTATGAGTGTTTGATGCATACGTATAATGATAATGCTGATGGGTAGCGACAGGCGCTCATTTCTAGCTTAAAAAATGACACTGAATTACAATGCATGGACAAGTTCAGAGTACGATCAAATATTAGATATATATTTAACGTAAATGTTTTTCCTGCATAGTTAAAAAAAATGTAAAATTAATTAAATGCAGTTATTTTATATATGTAGATGTTGATATACCATAATATTATCAAATTATCAGATGTATTAATAAACAGCCACAAACATTATGTATTTACATTGCCAAGTTTACAAAATTATATCGCTCACTTATTTTCTTAATTTTTTGTTGGAATTCTAATAAATTTTATCTCCAGAGATTTAGACTACTTGACGTTCGCTCGTTGCATTTCCTACTAAACTTTCACCCCAACGTTCTTAGAAACTTTTGAAAGTCGAGAGTACTTATCCGGCAACGTTAAACTAATCAACACTGTCGAGTGGATGTAAAGTTAGCAATGAATGCAATAGAGTTGGCAGTTGATTTAAGAAGCTTTGCAAGCGAAAAAAATTTTACAGAATTTGTATCGTGCTGATGATTTTTGTAAATGGTGGAGCTGGCAGTTACGTGATCCTCGGGCATGTAACTTGGGATGGGCTATACATTGGAGACTTGGTGTTCCCATGTTTCCTGTGGATTATGGGTGTATGTATTCCATTATCCGTTTCGTCTCAACTATCTCGTGGGACAACGCGCCGTCAACTCTTGTGGGCTATCGTTAAGGTATGCGACGGTAGATGTGTAAAATTTTATTTTCCTTCCGCGAGACTTGATCCTTCCTTCTTGCATGCTTTTTGCAGCGCAGCTTCTATTTATTCTTCATAGGTCTCTCTCTCAATACTCTCAATGGAAATATGCAACTCGAGCGTATTCGGATTTTCGGGGTACTGCAGCGTTTCAGTGTCTGTTATTTCGTAACCGCAAGCGTATACACCTTGGCTTTACGGATAGACAAACAACCCTTCAAGGTATTTAAAAAACAATAGAAAAAGAAAAAGAATTTATGTGCGTAAAGCTTTCGAGTTTTTTTGTTAGCGTAGGATTCTGTTATACGGGATGTACTCATATTAATGCCGCAATGGGTTGTGGCTTTCATCGTTCTTGCTATTTACTGTGCTATTGCCTTCAGTTTGCCTGTACCTGGTTGCTCAAAGTAATATAACGTCTATTAAATTATTGTTCTCAAATGACTAATTTTCTTTTTCTTTTTTGTTAAATAATTGTAAAAAGAGGTTACTTCGGTCCTGGTGGTCGCCACGAGAACGGTAAGTACTTAAACTGCACCGGTGGGGCTACAGGTTACGTCGACAAAATTATACTGGGCGTCGACCACATTTATCAGCATACTACTGCTGATGGCGTTTACGGATCTGGTCCTTTCGATCCCGAAGGAGTGTTGGGTATGTCTTATTTGCATTTCACTGTCCTTCCAGCACTACTCTTGCTCACTCGCTACCTTATGCAATAAGTATTAACTGCGCCGCAAATGTTGAATTGATACTGCGATCATATATAGGTTTTCCTTGACAGATACATTTTTGTCGAATTGTATTTTGTTATTATAGAAAACAAGTTTTTGCAAGTGTTGATTAAATTATTTACAAACTTGTTAAAAATGAAAATTATAATGAAAGAAAAGATAAAACACTTTAGAAACCAATCAACCAGCGAGTAAAGTATAGCCCTACAAAAAAATTTTATTCAACTTCGACCCTTAAAGAAATCATTGCTGGAAAAAATAAAGAGAAAAGAATTTTTTCCATGCTCGTTCACAGGCTCGCTTACCTCGATATTCCAAGTGTTCCTGGGCATCCAAGCAGGCCAGACACTTCGAGATTTCACGAGATGGAAGGAGCGGTTTATACGTTGGCTCAGTTGGGCATTGATACTTGGCCTCTTTGGCGTTGCTTTGCACATTTTTGGCAATGTTCCTATTAATAAAAATTTATGGTACTGCGAGAAAGAAAGTAACTTGTAAAAAATATGTCATCGATCTCCTCATTTTTTCTCTTCGTAGGTCAATATCCTTCGTTATGGTAACCACGTGCTTTTCGCTTGGATTGCTCATGGTCTGCTATCTACTGGTCGATGTGGTCACCGTGTGGGAGGGTGGCCCATTCAGGATTCCGGGTATGTTAAATTTACTACACCAAGAGAAAGAGAGAGAGAGAGAGAGAGAGAGAGAGAGAGAGAGAGAGAGAGAACTCTCTTGACCATTCAATTGATGCTTGACACTACTCTTGCGGGAAGACTAATTGTTTGGGGATTTCAAGGATATTTAATTCTGCAGGTCCTACTGATGTATTAATTTTGCACCTATGGTCAGTTATGCATGAATTACGTGAAATAGCGCTATACAGCGAAGTATTCTTTAAAACTATACTTAGCGTTGGAGGTTCTACTATTTATTGTCTATTGTTTTTCTTTGTAGTTGATGTACTAGTAAAATCGTAAGAATAAATTTGAAATCGATACACATAAGAGATTCGATGGTTCATAAAACGCTATCGACTTATGCAAATAAAATATTTATTATGTGGCTTTCTATTCTCTTTTTTTTAACGACAATGTTAAAAAATGTTAGCTATAAACATACATATTCACGGTGTAAATTATTAAATAGTTTAAGTCTTTGCGACGTTGATTTTTCTTTAATATCGTTTATATTAAATAAAATCAGAAACACAAAGTGTGTATATATATATATATATATCCATCGTAAAATAGATTATATTGAATTGAATGCGGAGGAGGAGGGGTAGAAGAAGTAGTAAAAGTTGTCGATGCGAAAATTTTCCAGGTATGAACGCTTTAGTGATGTATGTGGGACATCAGGTCTGCTACCAAATGTTTCCGTTCCATTGGAAAATCGCTAAGATGAACACGCACGGCTGGCTACTTGCTGAATGTTTATGGTGTGTTGCGTTGTGGACTTGCATAGCTTACGTGCTTCATCGGAAAAAAATTTATGTGACACTATAAAAAATAAAGAACAAGAATGCAGCCTCGAGGCTATGTAGACTTTCACGATAACAATTTTTTTGTGAATAAATGATGCCTTTTTCTTTTTTCTTCTATCGTACAAATTGTTTTATCGCTTTATTGGCAAACTTTTATGTAAACTTACAAAAAACTTTTATATTATCCAATTTAAGATCAATCGCATTATTAGAAGAAAATATATTATCTACTCTATAATAATTAGATGAGCTAGCCAAAAGGAAAAGTTTTTATTACCGTTTAGAAATACAATCTTCTTTAATTGTACAAAAAATCAGGTAAGCTTTTATTGTATATGCAAAATCTGTTTTAATAACGAGTATGGCGCTGACCCCATTTTGATAATGGTATAATTTGGCTAATCCAATGCTTTGCCGTGTCATAAGAAATTCATTTGAGTTCTGCGATAGAAAAACTGAAATGATATCCAATTTGATGACGAAACTACTTCCTGAATATTAAAAACCTTTATCCGTTGGAAGAAAAAGGTTCGACCGACTGATTGTGGAATTTCTCTCTCAAAAGCAAATACTACTCTTACTTTTGTTTTCATCACGCCGATAACAGTCATCCAATAATTTCCAATTCCCACGTTTAATCCAGCGTGGATTTATTTCAATTCTCAAAGCTCGCCTCTCGCGCACTCGCGCGTAGAAAGGAGAGAGAAAGAATTTACCATCTACGAAAAGAAAAAAAAATATTCCTCGAGCTGATTGAGGAAGAATCGAAGGGGCGTGAAAAGGAGAAAAAAAGTACGCTCAGTGAAAATCGCGGCATAATGGAATAACGCTCCGAGGTACGTAAATGACGCGGAAAAGCGAGCCGATTACTGCGCCGAGTATTGTCGTAATTTTTGCCACAGAAAAACTCTCTCTCTTTCCCTCCACTGAGTGCTTTCGTTAATTAAATAGCGTTATTCGTTCTCCCACTTTTTAATGGAGTTATCGTGCGCGCGTGCCAAAGACTACAGGACTACAGCTACTACAAGAAACTGCATGTCTCGACTTTGAGAGAACATCGCCCTTTTTCCGTTGCGTAAACATATCAAGCTCACTCTCTTTCTCGTAAGCACGTCTCTAATTAGACTCAATTATTCGCTTTCTCGCGAGCGAGAACGGAAAGTTTTCGAGCAGCGCGAAAATTAACTACCAACTCTCGTTCTTTTGCTGTGCACGCTCGCGCTGTTCCAGCTTTTGTTTGTTCGCGCGTAAGCTCGAGAGAGACCGAGAGCTATTTTCGTTTTTCGCTCGTGAGCAAATTGGCTTTGTTTTAGGCCTCTCTCTCTCTCTCTCTATCTCTACCCGCCAAAGAATAATCAAACATTATAACGATGCTTCCTTTCCATTAGGGGCCTCGCATGCGCTGGCTTTCTCTCACTTTTTCCCGGCTCTTAATTTTTCTTATGTATGTGTGCGAGAGACAAAGAGCGAGGGGCGCGGGCAAGCAAAAGCTCGTGGGAAAATCCGATAATCTGGTCCCGTGCGCTACGTGACAAGCACTGAATCTTGTCTAGAGTGCACGACTGACCCGTTCTCCTCGCCCTCTCTCAAAATTTTACGATGATTCGTCTAGGTAAAGCATACGTGTTTAAAACTTAACTACTTTTCGGATATGTTAGCTTGATTACTTTTATATTTTTATGTGGCAGTCGATCGTTATGTTGTTTAAAAACTCAATTTACGTACTCATAGTAAATTATATACGATCATGCTATAGCAAACTGCTGGAATGAAAACACTTGTTTGCGGACATACGTTGCATTGATTCGGGTTTATTGTAGTTTTTTCTAATAAGCAAAAAGTTCAAGTCAAGTAATAGTGTTTACAGATATGTACATTGATTTTTGTGCTGGAGCCATAATGCTTTTGGAAGTTCTTTTCTTCTCTGAGTGTGGACAATAAATCAACTGCTCTTTATGTAGGTTAACTCGGGCTCGCACGCGTTAGAATTATCCGTAGAATTTACGAGGGCCGAGCAGCTTGCCAAAAAGCTCGCGAAGAAAGAAAGAAGACGCGACGCGCGATAAAGACACGCGGTGGCGGCGGCGGCGGCTCTGCAAGAAAACAATTAAAGCTTGCGCGCACGCGTGCCAAGACGTTTCTCCTTCTTGGGGCAAAATTGCAATCCGGAGAGTAAGAAGTCATTAGGATGCATTCTGCTTGGCAGAAAGAGAAATGGAACGAGCAATTTCGAGTTGATTAAAGGGTCTTGAAAAATCAGCGACGTCAAAGCTATACGGAAAATGAGATTCGTACGTGCGGACTAATGAAAAATGCGAGAGGGAGAGGGAATTCAATCTGGTGACTAACGAACGCAAATAAAACGCACCGGCGACGTAAAAGCGTCATACATACACAGATCTACTGCTGATCACTCGGATGAGATAAGGAGACGAGGAAATCGGCGAGGATTAACGGATGATAGTTTTAGCTTAAGAGAGCTTTGGAAGGTGATGATGAAACTGGATACTTAGGGCGCTGCAGGATTAAGGCTAAGATAAACAAGAAATTCGAGTGTATTTTCAATTGGTTTGTGAGATAGAGGCCAAAAATACAAAGGTTATTTTTTAATGAACTTTCGAATGTGAATAGTATAGTTGAAAATCGGAATTGAAGCCAATAGGTAGAAAGGTAACGAGTAGCGGCATTCCGAGAGCGAGTTTTCTAGACAATCGGCATTTTCCAAGCTAATTTTGCGCGACTCACGCGTGTCGACTCGCGCGACAGAGGCATCGACAAAATTGCTTGGAAGACAAGCTCCTAGAGTCAGTATGCTTGTACCTAGATGCATGTGTGCGAAAATGGAACGAGTAGAAAAATTCACCACGCTAAAAATGCAAAGATTTATACGAGAATCGTACTCCGGAAATATCTCAGCCTTTCTTCTTTCTTCAGCAGCGAGGGAATGTTCATTTCTCGTGCACGCTGCAACCTCGATAAGCTCTAGTCGCGGAGAGCGAGAGACAAATTTGTTGCCGTTGAATTGCCGGGATTTTTTCGCTTTATACATCTATATATGTATACACATGTGTAGCTTACATTGTTTTCCAGCGGGTCACGTGCCGCGTGCACAGCCCGCACTACGGTCAGCCTTTACGGCTCTTCCTCTCTCTCTCTCTGCCCGTAATGACGCGCAGTAAAAAGAGAAAACGGAAGAAAGAAGACGACCGCGCTCGCACGTGCTGCGAAAGTACGATATGTCGATTCCACTTCCGCAACTGACGCTCCGATCTGCTCTGCCCTGCTTCTTTACACAATTGTTCTTTCGTTTTGTCGCCAGCGATTATTGTCTAGAATACAGGATTCATACTAATTTGGAGCTCAGCTTCGCGAGGCCGACGTGGCTAGATATTTTTCTTTCCAAAATATTCCTACTATCTTTATAGATTTCTGTTCCGCTCGGGTTTATATATATATTCCAGAGAGCAACGTCATTTCATACATCATAAGCTTGCCGAGCGATGCGTCGTTTCATACATCTCTGCCTCGCTGCTGCGTATTGCACCGAGTGATACGCTGTTTTCTCCGTAAATCTCCGTGACACACCGCGCCGTCGAAGCGTATCCCGAAAAATTCGATCTACCAACTTACGAGCTCGCCAAATGGAGCGACGCCTGCACCACCACCACCGCCGCCATCAGCATACGAGCGAACAGCTATTGATGATATACACTACTCGTGTCGTGTATATATCTGCACCTACACACAACATCGCGGGTGTAGCACGCTATTTAAAACTTATTAATATGATAGATCACGTTGATGCAGATGGGCCAAATAAAAAAATCGATTTAATCGATGCTTCGGACAGGATGCGCAGAGTATTCACCTGCAGTATTTGCTTACTAGTATCTCTACAATTAACCTAAATTAGTTTGATTGGCGAATTTCGAGCACTCTAGTAAATTCAGCACTCAAGTCAGTGTGTACACATGAGCTACATCAGCTAAAGCAACATTTCGAGAATCCACAGGCATTTGCATGGTCAAAGCAAATTCTGTTGCACTCGAGTACATTAATTATACATTCTTTCTTTGTTCTCGATCGCGTTCACTTGATGCTTCTCACCTCTAAGACTAGTATGTAGGATGTGTAGCGCGTGGAGAAGCCGGAGACTTTTAATTGGGCAAGTTCGAGGTGCGCGCTACACTTGTCAGAGTTTCCGAACAAGAGGCCGCTTTGTAATCAAGTGTCGGCTGAGAGAGAAAGGAAGCTAGGGGAGCCTATTATTACCACGCTACTATCGCGGAGGCATGTTGATCTTGATTATAAACCATTATCTGCGTCCTCCCAATCAGACGCTATGCTATATATTTCAAATCACCGACTTATCAATTAATGTTTGATGGAGTTAATCGCTCGACACGATCGATGCATACACACAATCTCTCTTGGCCTACATACATGCGTGCGTAATTATCTGATTATTTTACGCTGATATATACATTTATTTTTATCACGCAACTGACAAACAATATTTCATACAACCTAAGTAAACTATTGTATATACGATTACAAGTGTGAATGGCTATTCTTGAGTGATAAATGACAATTATCATTTTAAAATTTGCCAATTATCTCAAATTATATTGGTTTGTATAATTAGCTGAATACGCGCGCTTCGTAATATGATGGTCAAGTAGAAAATTTCAGGATTTTTCCCTATAACGTTGAAATTGATCTGAATACGTTGAATTTTTCTTAATCCATTGAAAAATGCAAAAAAAACAAAAAAACATCGGCATTGCAGCTCGCAAAAATGTAAACGAGAATGTAAATGCGGAAATACGGGAAGAAGGCAAACTGTGAGAAAAAGATGAAAGTTTTTAAAATAAAGTAGCCGTAGTCAGATCTACGTATCAGGGTATCAGTCGAAAAAAGCGCAAAACATTAGGCGGGAGGAAAAAGAGCCGGCGGGAGAAGAAGCTGGAGAGGATATAGGTTTACTACGCGGCGCGCCAGTGAGAGAAAAAATCTCGGCAAAATTTAACCCACTTGGCGTGC